CGTGCTTTCAGCAGGAAAAGCTGAAGGGCAGTGTGATGCGACCTGGATGACCTGCTTGCGTCAGCGAGGCTCAGGGTAGGCCAGTGTCCAGATCCGTCACCAATTGCACTGCGTTGTTGGCCTTTTCCATCCTCAGTGACGGGACAAGTGGTACTGGGCACATCGATTTCGGCGGGAAAGCTAGCAAGCACAAGCCACCTTTTGGTTACATTCAGTTCTTTTAAGTGTCTCCGGTCACTTTCAGCTTGACTTCTACTACTGTACATCGTAGATGGAAGAAAGGAAGAAGACCAGTAGATAGATAGAATGCATCCGTCCTTCCTTGCAACAACAACAGTGACATTGAATTGCTTGGCAGCTGTATGCGGGGTGAGAATCTGGGGAAAAGATTCACTCCTTTGATCATGACTAAGACAGCATTCCAGACTGGTAACGCACCGCGGCACCAGTGCAATTTAATTTACTACCTGGTCATTCTAGATTCTGATCATCTGTAACCAGAGTGCTTATCAGAACTCTGAACCTACGGCCTACAGGGAAATCTGTCGAATGTACTCTGTTATCTGGGTGATGGTTAGATACAACTTACGAGTAACTATGGACGAGAGGAAGATCATCAGAGACACCCGACGGGAGGTACCTTAGGTACTCAATACAATACTTACACCAAATGACCTGTAATATTACACGTCTACACCCGACCCCAAGAAAAGAAAAAGAAACCTCTAAATGCAACGCACCTTGGCCAAAAAAAGGCACGCACTTACCACCCCTCCCCCCATAAGGCGCCCCCCCCCCCCAAAAAAAAAAAAAAAAAAAAAAAGAGGACCCCCACCCCACAGCTTCTGGAACCCAAAATCATCAAGCCAATCAGACGCCAAGACACCTATCCCGTTGATATCACTGGCTTCTCAGCCGCCGCCCCCAGAGTTGCGGGGCCGCGCTTCCGAAGACTGGGATGAGGATGACTAAACCTGCCCTTTACCCCTCGAGGGGCATTTGCGCGAATCTGAGGGCCATTATTGGTGGAGATGCACCAGACATTACCTACGTAGTAGAAGTTGGGACGGATAATTGTATGTTTTCCCCCTTATCGGTGGTTGATTTCAGGCTAAGAAGGGGTTTTGAGAGCTGGGGGAGGGAGGAGTTCGTCCCTGTGGATTTGGGGAAAGTGGATGGATGGGCTATGGAGGAAGGCTAGGGCTAGGAGACTAGACTCTAGAGAGTGATGGATAAAATGGATTAAGGTATGGGATTATCCGAGGGTAATTGTGTATGTAGAGTACATCCTATCTATGTTTAGATGGTAGAAAGTTGTAGGTGTAGGTGTAGGTGAGTGATCTGTGTGCGAGTATAGGTAAATGGTTGAAACCGCTAGACCTTCCCGGACGAGGAATTGATGCTACCTACTAGTACCTACGTCTCCTCCAGAGGGAGTACGTAGCAAGTATCTAACCTGTCCAAGTTGCCCGGCCCATGAAACCCATTATGTAAGTACCAGAGAGAGGCACCAAGCACTCTTCCACAGTTCCACTAAACATATAAATAAGTAAGGGAAACGGAGTGACCCATCCACCACCCACGTACTTGGGCTCGAGTTTGTTTGTACTTTGTTTCTCTCCGTACGTCGTACTCGGGTTGTTTGTAGATAGTGCATTCATGTGGTCGAGCCCGTCACGCCCGACGGCGTATTTGCTGGCGAGCTTGGCTGATCGTCAGGAGTAGTGATGACTGATCACTGATGACACGTTGCCCGAAAACAGCCCACCGGCAAGTTGAGTCACTCTTGGGCGAGTATCATCTATCGACTATGGAGGCCATAGGAAAAAAAACCTGAAAATCTGAATTCTATGCAGATTGCGAAATTCAGCTAGCCAGGGAGAGGAGGATCACCTCATGTGGATAGAGGGAATATCAATTCAATGGTCGGAAAGTGTTTTCATTTCGGATTGCTATTCGCTCGGACATTGTTACCTGACACTAAGGTAGCATTTAGACTGAGATCGTGCAAATGCTAAGTAGGTAGTTTAATGATAGTTTCTACTCTACTTGACTGCGAGGTGAGTAAATCCCCAGCATGTGCCATACTGATTACTGAGTATCTCAAATCTGTTACTTACTCTGTAAGTAGTAACGACGTAGATAGTAAGAGTTGGTACCGTCCGTGACCTGATGGGGAAAGGCAGCTGGACTCTGTAAACCGGTCCAACTTCATAACGGGACTCCGTTCTAACTGCTCCGTACCTGATAGATAGGGAATAGATAGTTTTGCAGCAAAGGAGAAAGTATGATAGTCGGGACCCATTCTGCTTATTTAATTTTGAACTTTATGAAGTTATGGAATGATGATAAGCTCTCTTCAGAGAGGCGCAGAGTACCCTGACGGTTGCTTGAGGGTCTGACTCTGGAGTCTCGACCGCGCGGACCATCGTTCGATTCTTAAGCTGTATATTGCTATTGCATTAGGCGATGCAAGCCCTTTCCTCAATCTGTAACTCTCAACTTAGTTTACCTGAAGCTGTAGGGATTGCATGATCTGGATTGTCTACTGTCTAGGGTTTGGGGATCTGTGCGCCCATACTGGCATATCTGACTAGGATAGTTCACCCCGTTGACTTTCCCAGTTGAAAAAGGCGGGGCAAGAAAAAAGGAGGTGAAAACAGAAAGAATTAAATTGAGAAAAAAAAAAAAAAAAAAACAACCAAAGAAAATGAAACGGGAAAAAAACCGGACATTGCGTCATGGCAATGATTTGCAGCTAGTCCAGGAGACGAGACATGGGCCTACCGTAGTGGCGGCCTTCTAGATGGCAATCTCCCGCTCAATCGACTAGCAAATACATTCTTTGATGTATTTATCGTAAATTGTAAATTGTAAAGTGGGAAAAGTGATATCATGTTGTATCTCTCTCTCTATATTTGACTTCAATCTTGCTTTATTGATCCTGCCAAGAATGGTTTTTGCAGGGATACTGTGTGAGTAATAATGAGGATGTACTACGGAGTAAAGTATGCTCGGGATGTCTAGCCAGGTCCAGAGTCCAGACAATCAGCATTATTTCTTGACTCCAGACTCCGACTCCAGACTCCAGAGACGGGGATCGGATGATTTCGGGAAAATGCCGGTCTTTTCCAACTCTCTCCATCATTCTCGCTTCCTCCCCAATCTTGGGGCGTGTTGCAAGTCTTCTAGCTGGTTGGTTCACTTTGGCTGGGTGATGAATTTTGTCGACTCTCGGCTATTAATGATCATAATAATAATAATACTACAGATATAGTACCCTATCTACCTACTCCCTAGTATTTGGGTACCCCGAGTCCCTAATACATGATTTCTCATTATCTTTCTCTCCGCGTTGTGCGAAGGATAATTAGAGAACAAACCCAGACACTAAGCTAAGCTGAGTCTAGCCCGGAACACAACTCCCAAGAGGTTCCTCGGTGAAGAAAAACTTTCCCTTCCCCCCCATAGTTACAGCCAATAATGAGCCAAGTCATTCATACTGCTTGGGTATCTCCTCCGTACTCTGTAGTATCTTGAATTCTTGATATCCTCCCGTCTACCACTTTTAGCGAGGTAGTATTAACTATCAACTGTACTGTATCAGACTAACAAGCGCTCCCCAATCCCCATCCTCGGCATGTCCGACCCGAGTCCTCTCTAGGATGGAAAAAAAATTCTCTCAATACCTTGCCGAGTCTATCCCGATCCCGTGGTGGTGGTCTGAGAGACTGAGAGACTGAGAGACTGAGACTGAGACTGAGACTGAGACAGCAGCTGATGAAGGCCCCACGGCACTTCCCCGACCTCTCTCCTAGGTTAGGCATACTCCGTGGGTTCATCCCTTAGCTAATAATCTGCCATTTTCGGTAATTCTGTAACTATCCCGTCTCTTCGCCCATTTCACATTCAGGGGGTTTGTCCTCGCATCCGGTTGGCATTAGTTGTCCACGTGGAAATCCTGTTATCTCAACTACCTACTCCATACGGAGTACGATCACTATAGAATGCGGATATGCTTTTTCGCCGCATTGTCGCCAATTCCTCCTGTTTTTCCCTTCTTGGGTTTTCTTCCTCGGAGACTACTACGGAGTATGGAGAGAAGAGTAGTAAGAATAATGAAGCTGGAGATTAGCGGTGAGGAAGTTCCGACTTTCTACATAGTAAACGTCCTTGAAGTAACTTGGGTGGGAGTCCTTATCTGTCAGGCACCAAAATCAGGCTCCTCGTCGTCATGATTCAACCAGACTAGGTACTCTGTAGTAATCTATACAGAAGAAAGACCGCTATTCAAGGAATCATCATGAACCGGCTGAGTTTCTTCCCCTGTTATACGAGTACTCCCTACACTTGAATTATTTCTTGTAGAGCATACTGTGTAGGATCAGTGAGTGATACAGATTGACCCGCGAGTTATCAACCACGCATCGTCATCGGCGAGCTAAACCAATCGAGGGGAATAGCGCCATCTCACGTGTCTTCCATCAGCTTAAACACTACTGAACAGCTCAATCACCCTCTCAACTCATCATTCTGACACCGCCTCAGTCGCACGCGTTTGCTATATGACGGTCTATCTTCTGACCACAATGCAACATTTGTCCACTGCTTAACTTGAGGCTTCCCATCACCTCTTCTATCTACCCCTGTAGACATATGAAACATCACTGATAAGACATGCTGACAAACCAGATGATTAGGGCTGCCCATACCACTAACCCTTATCCACTAAGCCTAATGCAGCCAGACAGGTCGCGCCTCGGTATTCTGCCGCGTCTCGCCGCCTCTAGACAGAGAGCCGAAGTAGTCCCAGGCTCATCTTTTTATCGCCCTTCAAGCGCAATGAGATCGGATTGCTTCGTCTGGCGATTGGGGCATGATTCCGTGATTGTGGTCTTGAAAGACTGCCGTGTTGATTTATCTTGGAACTTACCATCCTAGATCTCGTCTCCCCCCTTTAGCCTACGAACTCTCACTCCTGTCAGTTCTCTCCTCTCCAAATGGCTCCGCCGCGACAACGAACGGCAGCCGTGCAGGATGACTCTCGCTCCGAAGCCTCCACCAGCACAAGAGAGCCCAAGGCAAGCACGGCAAAAGGCCGCAAGACGGCTGCTACTTCGTCGGCCCTGAACTCCGTCTCCAGCCGTGAGATCAAAGCTTCTGCACCTGTTGCCAACGTCACCAGTGCCCCCGCCAACCAAGCCGAGCACGCAGACGAACTGCCAAAGGTAACAACTTCTTGTCTCTTCATCTCCATTCGCAATCCCTTCATCACACCGTGCTAAATCCGCAATTGGTCTCTTCCCACTAGATTCCCTGGTCCGACATGCCCCTCGACTTCCTCCACGCCTACCGCCATGCCTACAAACTCCCCTGCCCCAGTGCCTTCTCCGGCGACTACTCCCAGCTCCTCCTCTCGCAGGGCATCGGTCTCCGCTCCCCTACCGCCCTCGCCGCACAGCGTGCCCGCCTCCTCCAGCAGCAGAAGCACAAGGAAAAGGACAAGGACAGCGCGAACGACCCGCCCGCCTCGCGCGACTCGGACGGCAAGCCCAGCACAAACGGCGCTATCACCCGCCACCATCACCACCGCAAGTCCCAGCACCCGGAACCCGAACCAATCCTGCACCGCATCAGCGCCCAGGACCGCGTCAGCAAGAAGGAGCTGGCGACCGCCGTGCGCAAGCATTTCAACAGCGCCGCGCTCGCGGAGCAGGAGGCCATCGCCAGGTTTCTGTACAAGGTCCGCGAGGAAGGGAGGGGGCGCCAGTTCCGCTTGCGGTTTCAGCCGTAGGGCTGACTGTCATCCTGAGCTCTGGTCTTGTTCTGTCGTGTTCTCGCGTTCGGCTTTTCTGCATCGGCGTTGGTGCTGGGGGTTTCTCTTTTTCTTGCATGTCACTGCTTGGTGGCCGTGGGCATGGCCCTACGCTGCTCCTTTCCTGTCTTGCTCTCTCTCTCTCTCTCTCTCTCTCTCTCTCTTCTCCCGGCTGACATGTTTATCATTGCCCCCTTCCTTTTTCTTCCTCTATGATACCCACTAGTTTGTGTTCCTTTACTACCTGTCTGAATGTATACTCTCCTCCTTATCATTTTTGGCTCGATGTCTCACTGTCTGTGATTGGGGTGCAGGTTTCAAAATCCCCCATCATCTGCGTGTATATATAATATGTGTGTATGTGTGTTCTGTGTAGATTGTACGGAGTCGCTAGCCCATAATCATATCCCTTGAATCATCACTCACGCCTTTGCAGCAGTTTCATTGAATCGATACTTAACGGAGCGACCGGCTCGCAGACAAGCCGCTTAGAAAATAAGACTCTCCAATTAACCGTTCTTTGAATAGCACACTGTAGGTACACCAGAAGAAAAAGGAACCTACTAGAAAGAAAGTTTTTGGAAAGGGAAATGAGAATATATACCCAGCGATTACATGGAACATCGAACAAGAGAAATACGGAGAAAAAGGAAGGAACATCGGAATAATAATAAAAAAAAGATATATGAATAACGCCGAGATGCGAAAAAAAAAAAAAACCGCACAACGTTCCCCTCCCGCATGTCTATCATACTTCATGATGGCTTAAAGAGCTTGTAATCGTTTCCCCGTTGAACGGGCTTCACTTCCATGCATTAAGGCCAGCCCATGGGTCGCCGGATGAGGATTGCGACTGCGACGGGGCTTTGTGGTGTTGGCTGCTGCCGTACGGTCTACTCTGCGCGTATCCCCCGGGGCCGGCCGGGAAAGGTCCTGCCGACGACGGGTAGGAGGCTTGCTGTGGGCGCGGCGGCGGTGGCGGAGGTACATAACCCTGTGGCATAAACTGTGACGGCGCGGTTGGCGGAGTAGGGTGGGTATACCCGCCGTAGGGGCTGGGTGTGGACGAGAAGTACTGCTGGGTGGGTGGTGGGGAAACCGAAGGCGGCACTGGATATGCCATAGGGTTATATCCTTCAGACAGCGGCGCCGCAGCGCCCTGGTGGAATGCCTGCCCCTGCATGTAGGAGACACCCCCAGGAGGGGCGCCGTATTGCGCATACGGTGCTGGGGAATGCGAGAGGGGCACACCGTGTTGTTGACCTGCAACAGACGGCGGGAAGTGCGGTGACATCTGCGGGGAAGCGATACCAGGACCAGGATATCCGGGCGCCTGGATAGGCGGTGGAGGGGACTTGGCCTTGGACGGACCGGTCGAGGATGAGGGGGTGGGTGACGGCTTGGGCTCGGTAGACAGCCGCTCCATGAGCTGTCTCAGCTTCTCTCGTTCCCGATCTTCCTGTTCAGTTGCGCTGCTTGCCCTTTCTCGTTCGATCTGGCCGAGCAGCTGAGCGCCTTCGGACCGTCGGTTGTTGATGAAAGTCTCAACATTCTTCTTCAGACTGTCCACTGTTTCGCCCATCTCACTGTAGAAGGTCTGCGCTTGCATGATCCCAGATAACAGACCATTGAAGGCATCGTAGATCTTCTTGTACCGCGCCATCACGGTGTTGCGCTGGCGTGTGATGGTTTCGTATTTCGATTGTTCGGATCGCACTCGCTTGTCCTGTAGCAAATCACCGTAGACCTTGGTAAGCTCCTTCATCAACGAGGCCTGCTTATGGTTGGCTTGAAGCAACCGATTCTGGTGTGGACGGAATTTCTCCAGCTCGGTCTCAAACAGCTGGCTCTCCTGTCCGGCGATCGACTTTTTGTTCAAGATCAAGACATTGGAGATATCATCATTGTGGACCTGCGGGACATATCCATTAATTCATCAGGATACATTTAGCGTCGCTGATCATAGCAGAGGGCAATACCTTTTCTTTCAAATCTTTCAACACTTGACCCCGATCCCGCTTCACAAGGTTCAACTTCTTCAGAATAGACTCCACCCTGGCGATCTGCTCGGCAACCGAAGGGGACCCCTCATCATAGACATCATCCAACAAGCTTGCTTCTGCATTGGAAGCGTACGGACTCCCAACCCCGTTCCTGCCCTTGCCGTGTTTCGATCCGGCTTTGATCATGGCACGCTGGTAGAGCACATCGGCCTCGTCCGTCTCGCCAGCAGAGCGCATCTCGTCGAAATCGATCTCGTACTGCCTGAGGGTGGCGAGAAGCTGTGAGTCGCTCGCACTGGCTTCGTTGACAGTGTCCCGGTACGAGCGAATATCACCGCGGAGTGTGGTGTTTAGTCTGGCACTGGGCTGTTGACTCCAGTCTGCCCCGTACTTGGACCGCATCTTTTCGCAGACACTTTCCTCCAAATCGAGTTGCTTGGAACATTGATCTAGTTGCGAAAGGATCTCGGCTCTGCGATCCTGCAAGCTGTCGAACGCTTTAGTAAACGATTGGTGGCCGGCCAAGTCGTGGCACCATTGCTGGAACTCGTCATCGACCGACATCTCTTGATCCATGCCACCTTTAAGGATGTTGAGGCTACCAGGGAGCTTCAGATAGTCCAGGCTGGCGGCCATTTCGCCATCGGCGGTATCTACCTTCTCCGTCTCTGCCCGAATCAATTTTGCTTTCTCTTCATCGTAGAGACTAGCGGTTTCCGTTACGGACATGGGGACGAGCTTCTGGAAGATATCTGGTCCGATAATGCGCTGGATATCCTGGCCTTGATAGAGCTCGCTCACAGGGATTGCCTTTGCAGCTGGCAGTTTGGCTACTGCCGATAGCCCGGCTTCATTGGGGACGGGTTGATGATAGATATAGTCGTTGTCCTTGATGAAGGTAGCCAACTTGCTTTGGACATTGGCCTGATGGTATTTGATGAGGTCGATCAGGCGAGCTCCCGACTCAGAACTCAGGTTCGAGCTGGTAGGGACGGTCGTGGGGAATGATTTCGCCGACAGCAGCGCGGCCGCTGAGTTCTTCTCGGCGAGTTGGAGCCTGGCGATAGCGACGCCGTGCGAACCGGCCTCATAGTCCGCCAGCGCCTGATAATATGACGCCATTGAAGTCATATGAGCGGCCTTGGCCTGGACAACAATGGTCCATGACTTGTCGAAGATACCTTTGGCGTACTCCTGGATCCCTTCGACCGCCTGGAGGTATAGATAAGCCGCCTGGCTGGCTAGCTTTGCGAGGAACGCAGCTTTCTTCTGATCCGCCACTTGCTTCTCGAGGAAGACTTCCTGCGCCTGAGCGAGAGTGACGTTGATCAAGGTCTTGACGGTTTCCCGGTTCAGGTCGGTCGAAGGAGCATGTAAGAAGTTCTCGTTGATGTAGGTGAACATCCCCGCGGATGCCTGAAACGAATGATAGGCGGTCTTCAGCCCGGCGTCTTCGGCGCGATTCTGGTTCGCCGCATGACAGGAGAGAACGGCAGAGATATTGAAGATGATCGAAGCCTTTTCGTAGGCCAGCGAGTACTGAGACGTTGGCTTGTGGGTGAATGCATCATACCTATCATGAGATGAAGGCCGTCTGTCAGCAAGGGGGATTCCCCCACCGGCAAGGAAGCTTTGAGAGGACACGAGCAAAATCCTACCAAGTGAACGAGATCTTGATGTGATTCTCATCAACAGGGAACCTCAGATCCAAGAGCTCCAACTGTCCATAATACCGATAAAGTAGATCGCGCCCTGTCGCACTGTCCTTGCCAGCACCCCTCATGTCCTGGCGTAAGCGGTTGAGGGTGGCGCATTCTTGATTGTATCGCTCAGGATCCTCTCCATAGCTCTGTCTGATGTAGTCCTTCAGAGGCTGGATCCAATCGATTTCGTTGGTCTGCTTTAGCGGACATGACAGCATTGGCGATTGAACCATGTTGACGATCGGGAGGAGCGGGGAGCTCCCATCCACGTGCGGTGAAGAGACCGTGGGGACCAAATCGAACGAGACGAGATGGAGCAGCTTGCGAAAATACGGGGATAGGAACGGCAGACGACGAGACCAGGCGTGCGTATTGGGGGAGGGGGATCTGGGAATTGAGATGGAGCTGCTTTTGCTGCTGTGGGGTAACAAGGAAGGGGGCGCGGCCTAACGTATGTTAGCCCACGGAGCCAAGATATATGACGAACATTTGGAGGAGTGGAGGAGAGACCGACCACCAGATGGGTAGATGGGTAGATAGATAGTGCAAGCACTGCGAGATAGTTGAGTTACGCAATCTATACAAGCAGAGCACAGTGGGATGAAAGGCTTCAAATATTATCTGGGGTGAAAAGAAGGAGGGGCCTAAGGAATCATCACCGTCGCTAATCAACAGGCCGACGGTCAGCAGCAGCTCCAGATGGGCGCCAAAAGTGAGAGATTCAACGTCCACTCAGAAGGAGAAAGACAGCAACTATCATGAAGTCTCGGAACAAATGGGAAAAAAAAAGTAGAGATGCTCTCTATTCATGGTGCAGCTACCTGGTTCTTCTTGTTTTTTTTATGGTACATGATGCATGCAAGCTTACTACATACAATCCAATTCCAGAATCCCACTCACCTTCTCTCATCAAAAGGACCAGAAAAACCATCCCATCATGGCAAGAAAATCAATCACAGAGGAACCCCCAACCAGCTCGCCGGCGCTATGATATATAATTCCAGAAAAAAAAAAAAAACACACACACAGGATAAATTATACAACCTTCGAGGGTTGTACATCAACAATTATACCCGTCGAAGTGGTTCAGAGATCGATTACTTGCTGTCCTTGTCGTCCTTCTTGACGTTGTCCGAGTCTTTCTTCTCCTGCTCGCCGGTGGAGCTTTCGCCGTCGCCGTGTTTGGCGGAATTCATGAGCTTCTGCCAGGCGGACTTGAGGAAGCCTCCGCTCTGGTTCGAGTCTCCCGACGCATCGGACGGAGTGCTACTCAGGTGATATCGCGTGGTTAGCAATGCTTGAGGAAATAGCACCAGATATTCCTGCTTACCCATCCTTCCCAACCTCCATCATACGCCTCGCTGTCTTGTCATTCATCTCATCCGCCAGGACCTCCAGGATAGTTCGCTGGTTGGCCGTCAGGTACTTGGGCATAGCAACCTTGAACTCCACCTTCAGGTCACCCATTGGCGTGTAGCCTCTGGGACGGCCGCCGAGCTTCTTCATACCCATGCCAGAAAGCGTGATCCGGTCGCCTGTGCCGGTACCGGTGGCTACCTTGACCTTGACCTCGCCATCCAATGTGGGAATTGTCACCTCTCCGCCGAGCAGGGCAGTGGTCAGAGGGATGGAGGCCGTGTAAAGAATGTCGGAGCCAGAGCGACTGAAGCGATGGTCGGGCGCAACCCTGATAGAGACGTAAAGATCACCCCGCTGAGTGCGGGTGCCTGGAGCAGCTTGTGTTCCTGTAGGAGGTGCATCTCCTTCACCAGCCACTCTCAAGCGCATGCCATCCTCGACACCGCCGGGGATGTCAACCTGAATTGTCTTCTTGTCCCGGACCACTCCGTTACCTCTGCAGGTACCACATTCAGATCCCCGAGGTACGGTCATACCAGCCCCTCCGCACGCGTCGCAAGTAGCTGCCACCTGGAAGCCACCTTGCATAAAGTGAACCCGAGTGCCAGACCCGTTGCACTGGCGACATTGTGACTTCTTCGCACCTGCTTTCAACCCCTCGCCCTTGCAGGTACCACATTCAGTCAAAGGATTGATGACCACATCTTTCGATGTACCTTTGGCGGCTTCCATGAAAGAGATGTTCGTCTGAACCTCGATGTCCTCGCCTACCAACACCTCCTGGAAAGGACTGCGCCTACCCCGTCCGGCACGACGCGCGCCGCCGGTAAAAGCACCAAAGAGATCCTCAAAGTTGATATCCGCAGCGAATCCACCAGGGAAACCGCCGCCTCCAAAACCACCTCCGAAGCCATGGAAGCCTCCGGCACCAGCGAACGGGTTGCCGCCGGCTGCCGCATTGGGATCGAACCCGCCACTGCCATCGAAAGCAGCACCGCCAAACCGATCGTAGGTCTCTCTCTTTTTGGCGTCTGAAAGCAACTCGTAGGCAGATTGCGCCTCCGCGAACTTCTCCTTGGCGTCTGGGCCTTTGTTGGTGTCAGGATGGTACTTCTTAGCCATCCCATAGTAAGCTTTCTTGATATCTCCGGCGGAAGCATTCTTGTCCACTCCTAGGACTTTGTAGGGATCGGGAATTGCGGCGAGAGGTGCAGTCGTATGGAAGCTCTGCAACGAATTCTATCAGCCCATATTCGCTTACGAGGAAACTATATGCCGTTTGGACGAAGGAGAAAAAAGATCGCGGACTACCTACCCTTGCGGAGGCGGATGAGGGGAGTTTCCGACCACAGACACCGTCACGCGAGCGTTTGCCGGTGGAAGAGATTGTCGAGACATGGTAGTTCCGAGCACGAGTCGATGTTTGAATCTTGCTTGTTGGGCATTGATTTGAGCCTTGCCGCGAGGTCCGCAGCAGACGAGCGGGTAGAGCTGCAGCCTTGGGCATTGCCGCGGATGTATTCACCATAGATGAAATGTAGTAGGTAGTAGTATATCGACGGCAGCGAACAACTGAGTGAATATCGACCAGAAAAAACACAATGTTTGAGACACCAATGGCTCTAAATTACAGAAGACTTGGCGAGACAGCCTAAAAGAACATTGCAATGGAAGAATAGATAAATCGATCAAGCGAATCTAGATAGATGGATCATGAACAGACAGCCGTCCCAAGCAAGCTCTGGGAATCTTTAGAAGCTTCGAGTCGGCTTTCGAAAAAGTTTCCCCGACGGGCCGAGCGGAGAAATGATGATGCGCGGAGTGGTGTATGATGAAAGCATGCTTGCTCGGTAAGCAGTCACCTCCGCTTCTTCTCTCTACTGTGTATGTTTCAACTCTTCTAGGTTTCCTTTCGGATTCGGCCCGATTTTTCTTGTACATTGACGCTTTTGTTTTTCTCATCTCCTATACGGAAAGCATTTTATCCTTCCTTCTCAAATCTAACCTGTCTACCCGTCCCTCGAGTCCATAGCATGCTCCGCGGCCAGACCCTCCCCTGGAGAGCCGCGCTCCACCAGACGCCACGCCCTCTAGTGCTTCGGCCTTTGTTTGCTTTTCCTCGACAGAATGCTCCCGTACGATCGATCTTGAGCTCCTCGCGACTTTCTCGCTCGCCCTCGTTAGCTCCCCGCGCCTTCTCTACAAGTCCCATCCGACTGAAGGAGAAGCCCCCACCGGCAGAGGAGAAGGAGGATTCGAATCAACAGGAGCAGAAGGATACAAACGAAGAGAAGGAGATCGAGCGTGGGTCTGAAGGTCGCCGGAAGACGACGGATTCATCAGGGAGACATGCGCCCTCGTCAGAACCGGGAGCTCCGACTTCGGGCTCTGCTCGACGGAGAGATAAGCTCGTTCAGGAGAAGGAACAGCGTGGCGTGGAGGAGGATGTAAAGAAAGGAGAGAACGCGGTGGAAGGGAGATCAGACTCGACGGAGAACCCGTCTCCAATTCCTGTGAGTGGAGGAAGCGGCTCGGATTCGAAAGCCAGCGCGAGCAACGGTGGAAACGAAGATGGTGGAAAGAAGAGTAAGAAGGGTTCTGGTGAGAAGGCTTTGCAGAAGCCCTCTGTTCCGGAAGTCTACCCGCAGGTCATGGCTATTCCCATTGCCAAGCGACCTCTGTTCCCTGGCTTCTACAAGGCCATCACGATTCGGGATCCCAACGTGGCAACGGCCATCCAGGACATGATGAAGCGAGGACAACCGTATGTGGGTGCATTCTTGTTCAAGGATGAGAACGCAGATGGCGATGTGATTGAAAATCTCGACGACGTCTACGATGTCGGAGTGTTTGCTCAGATTACAGCCGCATACCCGCTCCGGGGGGAAGCCAGCGGCGTGACTGCTGTCCTTTATCCGCATCGTCGGATCAAGATCTCTTCCCTCCTTCCCCCCGGCGAACAACCCAAGAACGGAACTGCCGAGGATAAGAGTACCGAGAAACGAGGAGACGTTGTCGCTAGTTTCGAAGAAGGGGGAGCAGAGCCCGCCCCCAAGGATGTCTATGAGCCCACCTCCTTCCTTCGCAAATATCCAGTCAGTTTGGTGAACGTGGAGAATCTTGCAGAGGAACCATTCGACAAGAAGAGTGCTATCATTCGCGCGGTGACGAGTGAAATCGTCAATGTCTGCAAGGAGATCGCCAGCTTGAATCCTCTGTTTCGGGACCAGATTTCCGCATTCTATACTGACCAATTTCCCGGTAATCTCAGTGACGAGCCGGCCAAGCTAGCTGATTTCGCTGCAGCCGTCTCAGCCGGAGAACTACACGAGATGCAGGAAGTTCTTGAGATCATGAATATCGAAGAGCGACTTCCAAAAGCACTGGTGGTTTTGAAGAAGGAATTGATGAACGCGCAGCTGCAGTCCAAGATATCCAAAGACGTTGAAGCGAAGATCCAGAAACGTCAACGCGAGTATTGGTTGATGGAGCAGATGAAGGGCATCAAGAGAGAATTGGGCATCGAGTCGGATGGTAAGGACAAGCTTGTGGAGAGGTTCAAGGAGAAGGCGTCGAAGCTGGCTATGCCTGAGGCAGTGAAGAAGGTGTTCGACGAGGAGATCAACAAGCTAGCCCACCTGGAACCGGCTGCATCGGAATTCAATGTCACTCGGAACTACCTCGATTGGCTGACCCAGATCCCCTGGGGTCAGAAGAGCGTCGAGAATTTCGGCATCAAGCATGCCATGTCTGTCTTGGATGAGGATCATTACGGTTTGAAGGATGTCAAGGATCGCATTCTAGAGTTTATCGCTGTTGGAAAGCTTCGCGGAACCGTGGAAGGCAAGATTCTCTGCCTGGTCGGACCTCCAGGTGTGGGTAAGACCAGTATTGGAAAGTCGATTGCTCGGGCCCTCAATAGGCAATACTATCGATTCTCCGTTGGAGGTCTGACGGATGTCGCTGAGATCAAGGGCCACCGTCGGACTTACGTGGGAGCCCTCCCTGGCCGTATCATCCAAGCGCTCAAGAAGTGCCAAACCGAGAACCCACTGATCTTGATCGACGAAGTGGATAAGATTGGACGAGGCCACCAGGGCGATCCCTCATCGGCGTTGCTCGAACTTCTCGATCCCGAACAGAACTCTTCGTTCCTCGATCATTACATGGATGTTCCAGTTGATCTGTCCAAGGTTCTCTTTGTGTGCACGGCCAATGTCACCGACACTATCCCTCGACCGCTGCTGGACCGCATGGAGATCATTGAGTTGTCCGGCTATGTCTCTGATGAGAAGATGGCCATTGCCGAGCGATATCTTGCACCAGCCGCTCGGGAGCTCACCGGCCTAAAGGATGTTGATGTTAACCTAGAGAAGGGTGCCATTGAAGAGCTGATTAAGTCGTATTGCCGCGAGAGTGGTGTTCGCAATTTAAAGAAGCAGATTGAGAAGGTCTATCGCAAGGCGGCCTTCAAGATCGTCCAAGATTTGGGAGAGGATGTCCTTGGTGAAGAGAAGGCTCTCACCGAGGAGGGCAAGGCTGCACAAGAGGAATCGAAGAAGGAAACCGAACTGACTGATCCGATGGAACCCCCTGCAGACCCCGAGAAGGCGACGACTGAGACTCCTCGTCTCGCTCTCAAGGTTCCCGAGACCGTGCATCTCCGTATCGGTAAAGATAGCCTTACGGACTATGTTGGCCCCCCCGTCTTCACCGCGGACCGCCTGTACGACACTTTCCCCCCTGGCGTCACTATGGGTCTCGCATGGACCAGCATGGGTGGCGCCGCGCTGTATGTTGAATCGATTTTGGAGAATGCACTGACTCCCGAGTCACGACCTGGCATTGAAATTACCGGCAATCTGCAGAACGTGATGAAGGAATCCACGCAGATTGCATACTCATTTGCGAAGTCTGTTCTGGCCAAGCAATTCCCGGAGAACAAATTCTTTGAAAAGGCCAAGGTCCACATGCACTGCCCTGAAGGCGCTGTGCCCAAGGATGGTAAGTCGCTAATTCATCTCTGTCAATCTTTGCGTGACCACGTGTTCACACATATAATTAGGTCCATCTGCTGGTATTACCATGGCCACATCTCTACTGTCGCTGGCCCTGAACCGTTCACTTGACCCGACGATTGCCATGACGGGCGAGTTGACTGTTACTGGCAAAGTGCTGCGGATTGGCGGCTTGCGAGAGAAGACGGTAGCTGCCCGTCGCGCTGGAGCGGAGAAGATCATATTCCCTGCAGACAACATGTCTGATTGGCTTGAGTTGCCTGAGGTGAGCCTCAACTATAGCATTCCATGTGACGAGTTTTTTTTTTTTTTTGAGTTTTTTGTTGTTGTTCAACGATGACTGATTGCGTCCGCAGAACATCAAAGAAGGCATTGAAGGCCACGCGGTGAGTTGGTATTCGGAAGTATTCGACATCCTCTTTGCGGACCTCGACCGGAATGCAGCCAGCAAGGTCTGGCAGAAGGAACTTGCAGAGCCACCTAAGAAGAAATCGAACAACGAGGACGATTGAGACGCTTATTCTTTCCCCCGGGCGTTCTGACGATCTCGCTTCGCTTTATACTCCCGCTACTGCTGTGCTATGTATCTTACGCTAATTATCAGCGACCGCTTTGATGTCCAAGGCGTTCATTACGGAATGCATGGGTCTGGCGTTTTGTTTGAGTCGATATTTTTTTTTTTTTTTTCTCTTTTACTAGATCTCGTTTTGGTCTTGACGATCTGCTTCGGCGGTGTGGAAGCACTGCGAAGCCAGGCCAATCTACTGCTTTCAGGTCTGAACTCTTCCATGATGGCTCTTGAGAAGAGGGACACTGGCTGTCTTGGTATGATTGGAAAGAAATCACGGAATGTATCTCCGCTCTTAAAGAAACGGCCGTTGATAGGGGTTCTCGTTGGTTCAAGGGTCATGAGCACATGCGTGGACACTCCTATTCGACGGACTCTATTGTTGATGTTGTCTGTATGTATATAGAACAAGTGTGGGGGATCGTGTCCCTGCCAGAAGAGCTCGGTCTACCAATGGAAGATATCATACAAGCCTCCTGCTTCACGAGTCGGATAAGGAGATGACTGGAGCAAGCTTGACCAGCTGTAGGGTTCGGCAGATGGTCTCCCTGGAAGAAGACCCGCTGGCAAGGCTGATACCCGATGCTAACCTGCAACGAGTAGGGACGGAGGATCGTGCTGCCATTTTCATTTTCATCCGTGTAACCAGAATGAAGAACAATGAAACCCGCTGAAGAGTCTTCTTCAACGAGAGAGAAGGGATGGGGGGGGAAGGCGAGCGCGCATGGCCCGGGAAGAGATCGGTTGGCAGCGGGCTCCGTGTCGTCCACGGAGCCCTTGTAGTCAGGTAGATAGAGGGCTGAATATCCACCAAGCAGCTGTTATGGTTGCAATGATGCCATCCCCACGATCCAAGCTAGGGCGTATCGCTGAGGGTGATTGGACGCATTGGTTGAGATCCGGTCGTTCTATGGAAGCATCACTTTGAAACTCTACCGCAAGGCTAAGAAGGGGGAAAGAAAACGTGACACCGTTTCTATACCTCTACCTTTCCCTCTCTCTCTCTCTCTCTCTCTCTCTTTCTCTCTCTTTCTCTCTCAGCCTTGCTCTGGGCTGCATTTTTTTGTCTACATGCCCCGAGTATGGGTTGTTTCGTCTTGTTTTCTACTGCGGATGCTACGTAGTCGTCGAGTTGATCTGTGACGATCGAGGGGAGGAGACACCACTGCTGTGACTAACTAACTAATCGCGCGTAGAGCGATACGCCATTGTCCCTCGTCATCATGGTTGCTTGTGATGTGGAAGGTAGAACGGACAGCCAAGTGTGAGCATGGAAGATGGCCAGCTCATAAAGATCCATCGAAGGAGGGCGTTTAGTACTATTCGGCTGGTCCTAGCCTTACTCCCGTAGGTCGTCAGACTCAGAACTAGTCTCCGTACTAGGTATCTAGATAGACTGTAGCCTATCAACGGCTCTATTCCAGGGAGCAGGAACACAAGCTATAAGGCTTCGAGAAGGACTTGGGCTGTGCATGGGTTTTCCATGCACGATAAAACCATCTGAGCCCATGAGAGAGAGAAAAACGACACAGAGAAAAAGATAGAGAGCGATGCGATGCACATACGCAGGTTTCCCCTTTGCAACAGGGAATAATTATCATCGCAAATGAGATATTCTGATCGAATCACACCGCGAGCCAGAGGGAAACGAACAGCGTCCGTATATGAATCAGGCACAGGTCAGGCCGCCATACATGGCCCAAGAGGAAACAAATATGATCAATTTTTTTTTTTTTTTTTTTTTTTTTTTTTTTTTTTTTCGATTTGTGCGTTTGACGGTGATTTGATTTGATATTTGATTTATCATATTTTATTTTATTTTATATGCTGTTTTTCGATCGATGCGATAATAAGATATAGAGAGTGCTCTACAATTGCGCTGCCTCGCTTCGTCTATCAATATCAGTCTTCAATCTATGTAGATACTCCAGACAGCAGTGGTCAATGGGCCTCAACATCTCACGCTACTTACTATATACTCAGTCCCCATAGACAGAGAACCAGAATAATGGAGTGACAACGGTCCGCTGGCGATGATCCATCTCATTCTATATGAATAAAATCAATCAGTTAACAGTCTGGGATCTAAACGAAACACAGACAGACAGACAGACAGGCAGACGCCTTGCAGCAGCAGGGTTCAACCACCCCATCACCGTCGATTCTTTCTCTCTCTCTATCACTATCACTACCTTAATTTTTTTTTATTCTGTATCTTTTTTTTTTTTTCTTCTTCTTTTTCTCTCGCGACATCTTCATACATTTATCCTTTTCATACTTCTCCCTCGACGAGAGTGTTCATCTCCTGATGCCCTTCGTCTTGACTCACACTCTTTCGCCGTCATTGTTTGATCCTCATTAGGCTGTCAGAGGAAAAAAAAAAAAAAAGCCCAGCCACTGCCCGAGTTGGCACGGACGAAGCAAGTTTTCTAACGACAACAATCAAGAAGAAAAAAAAAAAAAACCTCACCGACTTCTCCAGGGGTAAGAAAGACCCAAAGACAGGGTTAGAGAGACAGAGAGAGACAGAGAGAGAGAGAGAGAGAGAAAGGAGACACGGAAAGAAGACAATTCGACGTCCGTTCTATCGATCTTGAACTTCTTCACCTACTCTCTCTCTATCACCTATACTCTGGAAATTCTGGCCTACTGGCCTAGAATTGGTAGTATTGGCACTATCACACGGATCGCATTGAACCTCCCCCTTCCCTCCCTCCTCCCTATCCTCTCCCCCCCCCAGTGACGGACTCGATTCTTATGGACATCGAGATTCCAATTGGTGGGGTGTTCAAGTCGTTTCTTGCTCGACAGTGGAGCGACCGTGTCGTGCTGTATGGCCATCTCCATCGCAGACAGTTCCTATAGCCCCACGAGGCATCTGGGTCTAATTCTGGACCCGGAAAAAGCCAAACCTCGTCCCAAACAGAGCATGTGGCATCGACTCGGTCTTCGACGACTGCTAGGCCGCGATGATCGCGATTTATCCTCCCGCTCATCTTCCGGTGACTCCTCCTCACCCACCACGAATCCTCCCGCCGCCGCCGCCTCTTCCTCCTCCTCGAAACCCCACAATAATCTAACCCGCAGACTGTCTCGTCGTGTGGGCGTCGGTCTACCCCGATCCACCACTTTCAAGCGACAGGACTCTGAAAGACGAGATCGTTTAGCCCCTATCGAACCAGAGCCCCGTCGTGCCGTTTCCGCCGACCGCCATCGCCCGCTGAGCGCCCAGCGGACCAGGTCTCCACAACCCACCGTGGACCCCAGATTGTCGGCGCCCGAGGTTCCATGGCACGACCACGCGGAAGAACCCACGGTGGAGGAACCTCCCGCGACGAATGAAGAGAGCGAGGTCATGTCGGAATGGAATCCCTACCCCGACACCACGGACGTGCCCGAGGAGCCACCCCAGCAGCACCAGCACCAGCAGGAGGAGGAGGATGTGGTCGAGATGGAGCTGGATAAACGATGGATTCTGAATTTGAGTATGCATTTCCGAGACCGGTCGGAACGCGAGAAATTTTTCGTCACCTACGCCGAGGCCCCCAACCGATGGCGCAGGGTGACCATCTCATGCGACTACCGGGATGCGGCCCCGGATTCACTGGAGCAGGATCTTAAGGAATTGCGCTACCAACGAGACAAGTGTGCTCGTATCTACGAGTCTATCCGCGAATCGCTCCCGGAAATCCAATTCTACGATACCGTGACGAATCTCAAACTGGAGACCCGTGACGGCCGGCTCCATGTCCATGTCACCGAGGATGTCAACGAAATCATCCCCTATCCCCCGATCTCCTGTATTGGACATTTGCCCGAGGCTCGCCTGGTTCCCGAGTACCAGCTGCATTTTGAGGCCCACCTGTCGGGCTTCGTCTATAATGTGCAAAGCGGTGGCAAGAATTGCATCAAGAAGGAGATTCCCGGCCCGGATACAGTAGACGAATTTCTTTACGAGATTAATGCTCTCCACGCCCTCAAGGGGTCCCCTAACGTCATCCAGGTGGAAGGAATCGTCGTCGACGACCAAGAAGATGTCGTCAAGGGACTCTTGATTAGTTATGCTGAGCAGGGAGCGTTGGTCGACATCTTATACGAACAGAGAGGGACGATCTCATGGGAGCGGCGATTGCGGTGGGCCAAACAGATCGTTCACGGACTCGGGGAGATCCACGAATCTGGATATGTGCAGGGCGACTTTACGCTGTCGAACATTGTGGTGGATGCCAATGACGACGCGAAGATCATCGACATCAACCGGCGGGGCTGTCCTGTCGGCTGGGAGCCCCCGGAAATTGCCGCAAAGATTGAGAGCAATCAGCGCATTTCCATGTACATCGGTGTCAAAACCGACCTCTACCAGTTAGGAATGACCCTGTGGGCGCTGGCCACGGGGGAGGACGAGCCCGAACGGCAGCCTCGCCCCCTGATGCTGGGCGAGGATATCGAGGTGCCGGACTGGTATCGGAGAGTGGTTTCTATCTGTCTAAGTCCTTCTCCTCGGCATCGACTTTCCGCCAAAGAGCTTCTGGACTTCTTTCCCCGAGATATGTCTGCAGTGGCGTCCACTGTACCCTCGACGCATCTTCCGCACGCAGGTCTCGGCGTTGGGCTGCATCACAGCTCCTTGCCTCTGTATAACGCTCGCGCCATTGCTGCTCCTTCAACTTTCTTCGGCTCAAGCCCGAGGTCATCATATCAGCAATTTCAAAATCATTATACGCATATTCCCGTCGATGAGGCTCATTTCTACAATAATCGCTCAGCGTCTCTACAACCGCGCTCTGAAGGAGATAGTTACCATGAACAGCTCGTCACCACCGATGAGCCTCCGGACCTTATGCAAGACTATGAGCTTGACAACCAACCGCATGGCCTTGCGCAATACCACGACCGACAGCAATACCTCGACTCGCAGGGCACTGAGGTATATCCCCCCTATTCGCACCCTCCTATAGATATGGACGCCCAAATGCCTCGCGGCCACCCCCCTGAACATGATGGAGCAGACAATATCAGCCTGGATGCCTGCGAGACGTCTTGCTACCCACCAATTGACCAAGAGGCGGATTCATTATCTTTCCAGATCGACCATTTCCCACAAGAGCTCGCCGGCGTCGGCGGACATCCGGCTTGCTCTGTGGGAAGCACTAGAGAGCCCTCCTCGCATTCCATTAACTACCATACCTCTTCTGCCTCATCAGCCACCACCCAATCTACTCATCCGCGCTCACCTCACATAGCCGACCTGGACCATCCCTACTTAACCAGTCAGAACTGGTCCAGCCAAGTATCTACGACAAACTCCGTGTCTTCCCTCCTTCATTCCGTCTTACCAATCAACCCTGCTTCCACTCTGTCGAAGCCAAAACCGGTGGAGCCAAACACCGATCGATTATCACAGTTAGCCATGCGCTCTGCCTTTGGTTACCCCAGCAGACACCTCCAAGAGCAAACACCCTATCTCAGCGACTCTCATCTTCCCATCAATCCAGCATTTGCCGAGAAAGCCTTGAAATCCTTATGACAATAGAAGGAAACTCAAAACAAATCACACACAAAAAAAGTCCTTTTTCAGCCCAGCGATCCATCTTTTTTTTTTTTTTTTTTTTTTACCTCCGCAGCGATTTTGACAGACCTCTTCGAATGGGAGGCTCCCCAGACTGCTCGATACCCCCTTTGATTACAACTTCCTGTTTGCGCTGTACAGTTACCCCATCGCATTCCGCCTCAGAAGGCGATTCCCCTCCCCCCGTCCGCAAACAATGGATATACACACGGCGAAATCGGAGTTTTGAAACTGGTCATCCAATGTTCTTCTCGTTACAGGCCCTTCCTCATCAGGTTCTCGAAATCTTACCTTCAACTTGACCTCTACCTTGCTCCATGTCGAATGACAGACATGGTATTGAAAGGCCGGCCCTTGCGTCCTCTAACTACGATTTCAACGCATCCTTACGGGAAAAGGTCCTCTCTTACGAATTTTCTTGCATGATATACGAATGGTGGCTTGTCTTGCTCTCGGTGCTTTTTCCTCTCCCTCTAAAGTGAACCTCAGTGTATACTCTTGATTCGTGTCATCTCTCTCTCTCTCTCTCTCTCTCTTTTTTTTTTTTTCTCTTTCGCAAATGCTGTATTTATCCAATAAAAATTTAATGGATGCCGGTTTGCAAGCATGTCATATAAAGGAGCCCCTGCTGGGTTCGCACACGCACGCAGAACATATCGTTCTGTGCTTTGGCGATGTCTTGGAGAGAGGCGCGAGGCTAAAGCTGTGTAAGCCTGGCGTTTAGCCCGCGTAATGTAAAGCTCAGCAGCGAGTTGAGCTTGTATGCTGTCTGGACCTATTTCTTTTCTTTTTTTATCCCCGCGAATTTCACACAGCCAACGTGTCTCTCTAGGTCGCCCTCCCTGCTGTCATTATACGTCCACGTCCATAAGAACACGACCTCCCCGTCTAGAGCTACTGGAAGCTATTCCTCCATCGCGAGATACGCCTCGAAATTCGCCTGCCACGGCCGCGCATCCTGCCCCAGGCCACGACCAATGAGGACGATCTTGCACTCACCGCTGCCATCCTGTCTTGGCTCCGAGTCCCGGATCTCGAAGACGTCCCGCACGGCCTGGATGATCCTGCAGGACCCGTCTTGCAGGACGAGGATGCCCTTGAGGCGGTGGATTTCGAAGTCCTCTGGTCCCGGGGTCGGTGTGCCTTGCACGGTGGGGATCTTGGATTCCCACAGGACGGACTGCAGCCAGGTGTCGATCCAGGGGATCTTTTCGGGGGAGATTGGGGGTGTTACGATGGCGATGGTTGAGATGGCCTTTTTAGGGGAAACGGGTTAGCAGGGGTGGTATTTGGGGGTTTGTTGGGGTTTTTGTTTTGGTTGGGTTGGAAAAAAAGATGAAGAAGAATAACCCACTGGGTCGATATGGCTGTGTCCCTTGGCGCCAAAATCCAGGCTATCCAGATGGTCATATGCATGGAGATCCAGCACGACGCCCTCGATCTGCGGCGTCCTGCTGTGATCCGTGACGTGGATCTTGGCCACGTTGTTGATGGCGAGGATCCTGTCGCGGACCCGCTCGAGCTCGGCCGCGGTGACGAGGTCGGCCTTGTTGAGAATGATGACGTCCGCGTGCGAGATCTGCATGTGCGCCATGGAGAGCACGGGCCCTTCGTGCGCGTGCTGGTCGCCCTCCGCGTGAGTCGATGCTGTTTCCTCCGGGGTGGGTTCGTCCAGAAGCCGCAGGATGTTCTTTGCGTCGACCAGCGTGACGATACCGTCGAGGTAGATGGAGCTGCCCAGGTTGTCGTCTACCCAGAAGACTGGCGCGATGTTGCCGGGGTCTGCTAGGCCGGTCGTTTCGAGGAGGATGTAGTCGAAGGTGCCCCGGCGTTCCATGAGCGATTCGATGGCCATGACACCGGAATCTCTGGAGATGAACGGGTGAGAAAGGAAGGCTTCTTCCTCTGGACGAAGACCATGGGAATCGATCGCTTACTTGACGGAGCAGCAGATGCAGCCGTTTCCGACCTCCATCCACTCGGTAACTTCCTTGCCATCTTGATTGACCGTCAAAGGCTTCTCGATGTCCGTGGCTTTGAAGGGTCGAGTTAGTCCACAACGGCGACAATGATACCATCCACTGTCATGCTGTCTATAACTTACAATTCCCAAACTCTAACATTCACGTATCAGCAATGTCCTTCCCATAACCTTGAGCAACAAACCATTCATGATCACGGCAATCTTCTTGCCATGCTTTTCACTTAGAATGTAATTCAGCAGAGTCGTCTTTCCCGCGCCAAGATATCCTTTTAATAATCAGCCTTGAAGCCAAACAATCAAAGCTGATATCCCTTCTATAGTCATACCAGTCACCAGCGTGATAGGTACACGATCCTGCGCCGGCGTGTCTAATGTTGTCGACGGGGTCTTGGAGACATCGAGCTTCTCTGAATCGGGCAGCGCTGACGCATCGATCAGCTCTGGAGGCCCGTCTTCATCGTCTATGAAATCCGCCATCTTGATCTCTCATCCACCAGGCGATCTATCTATAAAACGACTGCAAGTACGAAGCACTCAGACTGTATTGCTCTTGCGGGGAAGAATGACGTCTACTCTATTCCCAGACGGGATACTACCTAGGGCTTAGGGCTTTCCCCGGTCATGGGCCTAGCCTAGTCATCCTTCTGGCCATCGAGCTCCGATAGCTTCCCTATCAGTCATCGCTGGTTACTGGCATTAGGTGGCAGGCTGTGTCTCTTCCTTTCGTTTCCTTTTTTTTTTTTCTTTCGGGTTTTTGTTCTTTACTAGTTTTTCACATTCATCATGGCTGCTGCAAGTGTGTCGCCGTCCAGTTCTCCGCGCTTACCCAGTCCTCCCCCGTTCACAGAGGTCCAGATCGGGCCCATATCACCGTCGGTCGGGGAGTCGTTTGGCAAAGAGACGGAAGAGTTTCTGGCTGCCTCGAAACAGAGTGACGATGCGTCTACGCGGCGGATTCGACCAGGGACAAAGGCCGCCGATATGGCAGTTGGTCCTCCATTGATTCCCCTATCGCAGGTATGTCGAGTGTAAACAAACGGGCCAAAGGTTGTTATCTCCGTTAACCGGGAGCGCTTGGCTTTTGATCCAACAGCTCGATTCTCCATTCCAGCTACAAGAACACCTGAAAGCGCTGTACAATCACTACACGAGACCTGAGGGTTCGGAAACTGTCGTGCCTATCAGTCGAGAGGTTGCAATCCAGCTCGCCGAGCCGCCCGAGGGTGTGGACCGGTCGCTCTGGCTTTACGAGCTCTGCCGCTTCCTGACGATGAAGGTCAACAATCTCATCGTTGCGTTCTTTGCCGAAGACCCCCCATGTTCTTCCCAGACCTGCCCCGAAATGCGCGCCTCCGAGTGGCAGTATCTCTGCGCCGTCCATGATCCTCCCAAATCCTGCTGCGCCATCGACTACTGCTGCCACACGCTCGACTGGGCCACCAATATCCTTACATCCCCGAAACATTTCCCGAGCCGGCTCACATTGGGTTCGGAGGCCGGTGGGTCGCAGGCCAGTTTGAGGTATCTCACCAATATCTTCCGTCGGCTGTACCGCATCTTCGCGCATGCTTGGTTCCAGCACCGCGACGTGTTCTGGCAAGTTGAGGGAAATGATGGCCTTTATATCTTCTTCAAGACGGTCTGCGACATGTACAAGCTTATTCCGGAAGATAACTACACTGTTCCTGCTGAGGCAGAAGGCCTCGATGCGAATCAGTCAGCACAAGAAGTGGATGCGCGCCGGTTGACGATACTACGCAAGGACAGCGAGGGATCACTGGATATTGAGCCCCCTTCAATCAGCACCGGCGCAACTACTCGACGCCATAAGAATAACCCGTCGATTAGCTCTCGCGTCACAACGATCAGTGAAGGTACCGAGGAGGTTGAAGAGCAGCCGCAGCCGCCGCCTGTGGCGGTATCAGAAAAGGAGGAACCGAAGGAAGAAGTGGCAGAACCAGAGACACAGCCCATGGAAGAGGTGACTGCTGAAGAACAGAATGAGAAGTCCGATCCACAGACGATTGAAATGGCCGAGCCCCAGGTGACTGTTGAAGAAGTCCAGGAGGAGGGAGAGGCAAAGTCGTCGGCTACGGACAAGGTAGAGGCGCAAGAGGTAGAGCAAGAGTCGGAGCCAACAGTCAATTCTTCCGAGAAACCAGACGCTACTACGACTACAGAATCGCCAGCGAATGCGCCAGCGAGCACAGAAGCCAGTTCAGAGGAAAAGACCTCCTCGACGGAGGATGCAACTACCGAAGAAGTTGAGTCGGAGCCAGGAACCAAGCAAGCGACAGAGCAGAAGCCCGAACCTGCACTCGAGCCATCTAAAGAAGCCTGAGCAGTCACTTCCACCTGACTCTAAACTCTGTGGACGCCATGCCTAGCGTTTTGATTAATTCCCCTTTACTTTCTTCATGATATTACTCACGCTTTTTTAATGTCACTCCCGTCGACTAGGTCGAGCCGAGGCTTGATCGAGATGTAATATATACCATTGAGACTGGCTACTATTAATGATACCCATTATTTTGCAGAGATTAGCAGCAGACTCCTCTGGTAACTGAAGGGAATAATATGAAGACCCCCTGTAGGCTGTAGCCTGGAAGCTGGAGGCTTCGATAACGATAAGAGGGGCCATCTCCAACTGAACTCCGCATTTTCTCCGACACAGCCCAGCAGCAAGCTTCTTGTACTATCTTTTAGATCAAAATCAAAATCAAAAGCAAAATCACCAACTCATCTCTCTCACACTTGCATTACATCCCAACAGCCGATCCATGTCCTCCCCCAACCGCAAGCCCGTCCCCACCATGTCCACCGCCCTCAAGGGTGCCCAGATCTACTTCGGCCCATTCCTCGTCACATCCCAGGTACTTACTTCCTTCTACACACCCAGCCCCCTCCCCAAACTCCCACATCTACCACGAACTGACCGATTTCCGCCGCCGCAGGTCTTCCACCTCACCCCGCTAAGCTTCGCCCTCGTGAACCTCAAACCCATCCTCCCAGGGCACGTCCTGGTCTCTCCCCGACGGCGCGTCCCCCGGGTCTCCGACCTCACCGCCGCCGAGACGAGCGATCTCTTCGCGACGGTGCAGCGCGTCGGACGCGTCGTGGAGCGCGTGTACGGCGGCTCCAGCCTCAACATTGCCATCCAGGATGGGCCGGAGGCGGGCCAGAGCGTCGCGCATGTGCATGCGCATATCATCCCCAGGAAGCGGGCGGACCTGGACCACCGCGGCGGGACGGATGCGGTGTATGGTATGCTGGATGGGGAGGAGGGGGATTTGAGGAGGGCGTTTGCGGAGGAGAAGGAGCGGGGGACGAAGTTTCCTGCTGTGGATAATGAGGCGCGGGCGCCGAGGAGTATGGAGGAGATGGAGGCGGAGGCGGAGATGTTAGCGAGGGAGATGGAGAAGGAAGGGGAGTTGAGGTGACTTAGTGGGTGGTGGTATCCCAGAGGGTAGACTATATGGGGTGCGAGAGGTTTGTTTATACATGTTGTTTTCAGCGCACATAAGGTGGTCAGATACCAGCATGTGAATCGTTCAATTCGTGCGTCGTTTGTATGTCGTGATACCCATCTCGGCTTCTTCCTGAGGACCCATGCAAACGCACATCACCCGATCTAAAACTCTAGAATGCCAAACCCAGAAAAACGCCTCCACCGGGTCCCGGTGGGATGATGAACAGAAGAACAAACACAAATATGAATACACATCAACGCTCGCGCGGTGGAAGGGTGTCCCTCATGCCTTGCCATTTGTATTCGCAGTCTTCTCCTTCCAAAAGGCTTCCCGCTCCTTGAGCACTGCCGCCGCCCATTCCTTCACCTCATCCAGCTGGATGCGACCCGCGACATGACAGAACTCGGTGAGGTCAATTCCATGAGCCCGCTCATACTCCACCATCTGTAACAGCAGCTCCATCTTGTCGACGTCGTGAACAAACTGCGCCTCGAGAGTTTCATTGGCTTCGTATTCGTGGAAGACCTTCAGAATCTCCTGGGCCGACAACATGCCACCAGGAACACCACCGAGCAGATTCTTCGCGATATAGTCCATCACTTCGGCCTCGCGACGCGCTTTCTCCTTCTTATCTACCTTGTCGACGGGGGTAATATCACCCACCAGCGACTCAGCCATGTCGTGGACGAGCGCCATCTTCGTGCAGTGGGGCAGGTTGAGACGCGCGGCGAGAGATGGGGGAGCGAGCATGGTCATGATCGACATGCGGTACATGTGATCGGAGATCGATTCACCGGTGTTGATGCCGAAGCGGCGCCAGCCTTCGCGTTTGGTGGTCTTGAGTCGTTCCAGGAGGTGGAAGAACGGGATAGGAGACGCAGAATTCTCTTCGGGAGGGTGAGGGAGAGTGGATAGCACTAATAGAGACGATCAGACACAGACATCACAGTAGGACATGTAGGATTCATGCGCCAGCTCTCGTACCGGATTGAGTGGTCCATAGAGGATCAGAGGGTGCCTCAGAGCCCATGATGCTGTTGGATGAGGGGTACGTCTGTCGTAGAGTGGAGAGTAGAGAAACGAAGAAGGAATAGTTTAAAACGAATACAGTACAGATGCAGCCAAAAGGGATAAGCGATGAATAGACTAAGTCCTCGCGAATGCGCTTCAATAATAAGGAAGGGGATGGGAGAAGAAGAAGAGATGAGAAGGAAGAGCGAGAAGAGCTTTGCGGGGAGAAAGAGAAAAGCGCTTGTTCTTATCGCCGCTGGGTTGGGAGAAGAACAGCAACAACAACCACAGCGAACAATGATAGGCAGACAAGCACTGTTAATTAATTAGTGGATAGTAATCTTGACACTAGACTTTCCTGGGGGTCTCAGCATCATACTCTCTACTCTACCTCTTGGACGGGAGCTCAGTTGCTGTCATCTCAATTCGGCCTTCTATACATTCCAACGGCTTATCGCAGAGCCAGTCAGATCACGTGATTCTATCCGGCCTGAGGAATCCCAACTCATCCCCCCGACGAGTAGCTGGCATTTGCTCTTAAAGCAGCTCTAGAATAAATTGATTTGAGGATCCAGTTTGACAAGTCATTTTCAGACCTGTTCCTCATCCAATTGCCCATTCGATGAACCAATAATGAAGAGCCGTGATTCCGTCCTAGGATCGTCGGGCCGTAAGCCAGTCTTTGTTGACCCTCCGTCATTTCCATATCCACTCGCGCTGAGCTTCATGCTATCTATCTAGATTGTACTCAACGAAGCATGCATGCCCACCATGCAGTCCTCGAAGCAGCCTCCTCGCCTCAAATCCCTGAACTGGGAACCTCAATCGTCCCTCTGTGTCTTCATCCGCAATTTGAAACTGTTGCAACTCGACCTGCAGCCTGACTGGCCCGACATTACCACCCACTCGCTCTCCCCTTCGTCGCAGAACCAGCGACAGCGCATCAAAGCAGTCGAATGGGCATTATACCATCTGGTAGCTCTCTGGGATCTGAAAACGGCTCAAGATGTATGTATCGTCGCGTTCCGGCTCTTGTGTCCCGCGTGCCGCCTGTGTCACTGACAGTCTGTCCACCACCATAGAAACTCCGTCCCTTCTTCCCTCCACTAGAGCCACTACAATCGGTCAATCTACGCGCAGCGTTATCTCGAGTTCTCACCGATCTGAAAAAGAATGGCGATCTGGGCCGAGAAACGATTTTTCGCAAGTCCATGCTGGACGACTGCAAAGGGGACAAATTTGACGAGCTCCTCGCCGTCTTCTCCACTGCCGTGTTGCGCAAGGTCCTAAACTCGTCGGTGGATGGATGGCCAAATCGTGCTACTCGACTGTCTATGGCAAAGGCAATCACTCCAGATGACTATCAATTGATGGTACCGCTGATTCTCGCTCACCGCGGCTCCTTGGCCACGATGGGCGAGCGTCGCTCTCGGATTATGGACATTCATGAACAGTTTTCTCAGCTACTAGCGGTTAAAAAAGCCCAGCTTGAGAAGCAGTCCAAGGGGAAACACCACGAGGAACTGAAGGAGACTGGCAACATCGATGTGCTAGCTCGCGAAATCAAAGAGAATTGGATGGGGAGCGAGGAGTGGGCCGATACTCTGCTCTTTGGCGGTGCTCGCAGTAGCAACGATGCCTTTTTGGAGCTGCCATTTGAAGCAGCATGGACCAAGGTAAACAGAACGACCGTAGAAGACCTGACAGTCAGTGCAACACCAGATCTACTGGTTGACTTGGAATCGCGTATCTCACGCCAGAAAGCGCGTCTGCAGAAATGGCGCGAATACAGTGCCGCTATGCAAAAGAAAGATAGCGCTGGGCACCGAGCGTCGGGTTCCTCGACGGCTACGATGCCATTGCTATTTAGAGACCACCAGGCTCTCACCGTCGCAAGCATCTCAAAGGCCGTCCGACAGCCACTCGCTCGTGCCTCTACGAAACAGAAAGACCAATCTCTGCTCCGGTCGATGAATGAAGCCCTATCGCGAATAGACGGCAAATCTCGACCTTCCGGGCGAGCCGCTCCCCCGCTGCGTGTACCTGCGGCGGAAGCGACTGTCAGAGCCTCTCCTGAGGCTGAACAAGTTGAGCCGACAAGGCCCCGGTCAATGCATCGGCCAAGCCCTCCTCTCAACGACGAAGCGGAGCATGCGCCAGACAATAATACACTTCCGCCAAAGGATCCAGTCGTCCAAATCTCCCCGGAAGCAGACGAGCAAGACAAGCACGACCCGCGCCTCAATACATTCACCCTCGTCGAACGCACCCGCAAGTCCATGTCCTTGCTCCCGCCCCCTCCCAGCCGGCCCCGGGAACCTCGTCGTTCTCGCACAGTGCGCGCCTCCTTCCCCGCCAACCAATTTGAGACGCCCGAGAAACAGTCGCAGTCGCGGGCGCGGGCTTCGACACCGCGCGACGAACTCTTCGAGGAGGAGGCGGACTACAGCAGCGTATTCAAATCGCGGCCGCGCGTTGCGCACAGCCCTATCGCGTCTCCGGCGGTGCATGTGAACCCCCTGGGGGCGTTTGATCTAGAGGCGGATGGGGAGTCGGTTGCAGATCTGGAAGAGATGGATTTTATAGCTTCCCCGTCTATGCGACGACGCAGGATATGACAGGCAGTACTGTATAAGTGCTGTGTTGCCTGGAAGTTTTGGTATACCCATGAGATACAGGGATGTGCAAAGCCCTCACCTTAGTTTATGTGTCATGGTTGTGATTTGATAATTTCGTTAGCATTATACCTATGATGTCCCATATAGTACAATAATTGCACATCCATCCTCTGAACTCCATAATTCTCCCTGATTCTTTTCCATAACCACGAAAATTGTACAGCCGTGCCATAAACGCTGATCCGTGTCTACATGAATATCCTTCCACTGATAGAAAAGCCATCTACCTCACCTCGCCCCTTTACCGGCATTCCGGGTGCGCCTGCGCGTCGGGGGTGCTTCATATTCAGAAGACAACGGTTCGTCGTCTTCAGAGTCTGGGATCTGTGGCGGGGAGGAGAGATCCTCGTCCTCATCTGAGCTGATGCTGATGGCTTCGTTGTCGCGCATTTCCTCATCCTCATCCTCATCCTCCTCCTCCTCCTCCTCCTCCTCTTCTTCTTCCTTGTCTCGCTCTTCGCCTTCGTGAAGGGACAAACGGGTTCGGCGCGGTGGATGGCTTTCGACCACCAGGTCACCATCGTCGCCATCATTTTCGCCAGGAAGAAGGAATCCACCGCCACGGTCAGCTGGTTCTTCCGAGGACTCGCGCAGCGCTTCCTGGGCGGGAAGCGGCCCCTGAGGTTGACTTCTCGACTGTCGACTTGCGAACGGATTGTGTGAGTCTCGTTCCATGTCGAGGTCGGCGTCGTCATCGCCGCCGCCAGGCCCGTACTCTTCGCGGACGCGCTCGGCGATGCGCAATCCGAAGAGGAACTTGCGCCATGTCTGCAGGATGCGCTTCTCGGCCTTGAGCTGCTCTCTCTTGCGTTTCTCGGCGTCGTCGACGCGCCAGGCATCTTTGACGAGGTCTTCGTTCTCGGCGGCCACCACCACGCCCTGGATGACGGGGACGGCCATCTTGGATCCAAATTCGAAGCCGGTCACAGCTTCTGCGAAATCGATGCCAAGTTTCTTGCAGATCCGCACGGTGCCTGGCCAAGGGATGTGGACGGCCCCGCGCGGCACCATGCTGGGCACGAAGCAGTCGATGTTACCGTAGTCGTTCTTAGGGATGATCCCGTCGCGGATCGGTGGTGGAATGATATACTCGGTTTGATACTTGGCATAGAGGCCCTGTTTCGGCTTTTCGCCTGTCTCACGCTCCAGCTCGTCTACCTCCCGCTTGCGCAGCAGGGTGACGGCGCGGATCGGAACTCGTTTCAGCGGCGCTTCTCCCACCTTGATTTGGCGCCCTTCCTTGTGCCAGCTTTCAGCCGACAGACACTTGAGCACGTCCGCCCGCCGGTAGACCTTTTCTTCCTTCGCCTTGTCACCTTTGCCCGTGGTAAAAGTGCGGGCATGCTGCGCACCGGGCCGAAGGGCTTCCTCGCGGCGCAGAAAACGCTCCAGGACGAACTCGGTCGATGAGCGGAGGCTCTGCAGTGTGTCCCCTTCCTTGACCTGTTTCTTCTCTGGCTGATTGGGGAGAAGATCTTTGGCATCCTCGATGTCATCGACTGCTGTCCGGTCCTTGTGCGCACGCTCATACACCCGCATGATGGTGCGAAACCAGTCATACTCGTAGGACTTCCCCTTTCGGCCAGGGACAGGGATTTTCTCCACTGGGATGCGATAACCTTTGGTCTTACCCGGCCAAGTTCGACGGCGAAGATAGCGGGTCGTCACATCTTTGGCTGTCTTGTCGGAAGAGTACGCCACAACGTAGCATATCACCTGCTTGGCCTTTTCCGCTTTGGATCCGCGAGGCTCAAACGCAGCCTGCAGCTCCGGCGTGGTCGCCACAGGATTTGACAGTATTAATGGATCGACTGGAATGATCTCGTGGGTGACCGGTGAAGCTACCTCTGTCCAATAGATAGGAAAGGGAAGATCTTTGTCGTACTTTTTCACGCTGTTGCTTCTACCAGAAGGCGCGATGTCTGAATCACTGCTGTCTGATTCTAGACCAACTATAGCCTCTGGTTCTGTCTTATCCGAGACAGCCCCCTCTTCCACTTTCGGTTTGACAGTGTAAATCTCTGCTTTGGTCCAGCCAAAGCCAAGAGGTTGTAGGTTTGCGACTAGACGGGCTTCAATTGCCAGGGCCCGAAGAAGCGCCGTGAACAGCTGTGCCCCAACATCTCGGGATCCTTCCATTCGCTCTGCGGCAGATCGGAACTCTTCCACGTTGCGGATGCGCTCTCCATGAATTTCTGGGTCGTGTTCGTCTTTCTGGAAGGAGGAAATCTCCATCTCCAGATGAGCCATGGGCCGATATCCACCTTTCCGTAGACCAGGCGCGGTGATTTTGAACTGCTTTCTCCAGTAAGCAGTCAAAATCTTGAGTAGCGAGATGATGGGGTCCCCGCGACTCATGTCTGGCCGCCCCGGCTCCAGACGCGATGACTCGTCCCCCCAATCCCGGTCCGGTTTGCGTGCCTGCTTGCCTTTCTTCCTTTTCGACTTCTTCTCCTCCGGCTTCTTCTCCGGAAGCTCCAGGCCAGAAGCGACGCGCCATTTCTTCACCTCTTTATGTATTCCAGCGGGAAGCTTGCGACGTAAAGTCTCGTGGAGTTTCGCATCGCTAGCCCAGGCATTGCGGACCGCGTTATGGTAAAGCAGGAACTGGACGTGTAGACAGTGGGTGGCGATGCGGATCTGGCGTTCGATTTTCGTAGGGCCCTTCTTGCTGTCAAAAGTCTCGGGCACGTGAAGATCGTTCTTGTCCAGCGTCAATTCAAGATCTTGCACGGGTACAGCGAGCGACAGAGGAGTCGGCGCAGGGACGGATTTGGAGTCGAATGCGTCCTCCCAGTCCACCTCGTCGTCATCTTCGGATTCGGAGTCCTCTGGAGCTTTCTTTTGTTTCTGGACAGCCTGTCCAGCTTTGGGTTCATCATCCGAGCTGGGGGCGTCACTCAAGGAGGAATCGGAATCGGAATCGGAATCTTCATCAAAGTCTGCGATCTCGACGACGGGGGTGACATTTGGACGCTTGGCTGTGGGCGGATCCTCGGAGGAGACACGCTTACGGGGAACGAAGGGTGGCATGCGAGGAAGCAGGGAGATTGGCTAAAAGATGGTGACAGAGTGATCGGAAATGATGAGATGGGATAAATAATGATTTGATAGGAGAAGAGAAGAGAAGAGAAGAGAAAGGAACGGAGAGGCGACGGCGATTGACTGGAGACAACCGAGGATGAAGATGACGGCAGGGAACCCCATATCCATAAATATCTCCCCCACATTCTCCGTCCAAGTGGAAACAGATCGATCGGGTGTCTGTAGATAAATATTGCATTTGTTCTTCTTAACAAATCCCCGATCAACTTCGATTCCTGTCTATCACTGCTTCAATTGATCCCTTACGCCAACTCCTAATGGACCCTGTCAAGCGATTCTTCTCCTCCCCGCGCTTTGCGGTGGCCGGGGCCAGCAACGATGCGAACAAGTTTGGCTACAAGAGTGAGTTCGTCCTTACTGGAAGAACGAGTCGCATAGATAGATCACAGATCAACGGCTGGGGGTATGCTCGGATCGCTAAATTCAAGATAGTCCTCGCCTGGTACCACCAACACTCGCTGCCCGTTACTCCCCTCAATCCTCGCGCACCACAGATCGACCTCCCCTCCAAGTCCTACCCAACGGTCGCATCGCCCAGAGCTTTACCTTCTCCCACTCAGACCTCGTTGTCGGTGGTGACTCCTCCCGCTGTGACTCTGCCTCTGCTCCAGGAGGCGCATTCGGTGGGAATCCCCGCAGTCTGGTTACAACCTGGAACCTTTGACGATGCAGTGCTGGAGTATGCGAAGAAACACTTTGAAGCTGCGATTGCGGGGGATGGAGGACAAGGCCATGAAGGCTGGTGTGTGTTGGTGGATGGAGAAGAAGGCCTGGAGGCAGCTGGAGTGCAGTGGGCCAGCCAGAAGCTTTAGATACCTGTGAATAGTGGCAGGACTCGATAGATAAACCATCACAAAGTGCCTGTTCTAGAGCAAAATATGTTGACTTGTTCCCTCTTCATTATTCTGATCATCATCATCATCATGCGATAAGAGAGAAAGAAACCAAAAGAAAGAGAGAAAGAGTAGAAAAAGAAAGTGGTCTAAGCGTTTTTCCCCAGCCATCTTCAAACATCATCTCGCTCTCTCTGCGCTCGTTCTTTTTCTCACCTCTTTCAACTTATCCCCAACCTCAAGTTTTTGGTATCGTCTTTTTTTCCACCTGCATCGTTCATTTTGGTTTAGGATTTAGATACTTTGTTTATTTGAAAGCCAGTCGGAGATATGCCAGACTTCTTCCTCGACTCGCCTGTCCCTCCCAAGCTTGATCTGGCTGCCGCTCCTTCTCAGTTGTTCCAAGTGCCTCAAACACCCTCGGCTTCGTCTTCACTCTATCGTTCCATCTCCCTTCCCAGCCGCAAGCGATCTCGCTTTGACTCGGCTGAGAAAAGATCTCGTTATGACTCTCCGGTGGACCTCGCCAGTCCTGATTCGCTAGTCAACACTGATTATCATCTGGCTGGCGGAGGGCAGTACTATCATCACCAACAACCGTTTTACCATCAGCAATTTGCCCGCGGGCCTTTGCTCGTGCGCCGGGAGAATCCCGCGGAGCTGGACTACCGTCCCAGTCGCTACCGAGACCACCCACTGCCCCCTTCACTCGATGTCAGTGTCGAATCATTGGACCCCAGTGAGGCTAGTGGCACCAGCCGCAAACGCACTCGTCGAGACTCGGTCTTTGCCGCTGAGCCCACTCGTATTCCCGCTAATGACAAGAACAATGACTCCTTGCAACCCGAACTCGTAAGCTGGAGCCGGGCAGTCTTCAACGTGGTGGGGAAGGTTTGGGACTTCTGTTGGTCTGGTGCTTTTCGAGGTTTCTATGCCGGAGGTGGCCGTGGATACAGCATGACAGCTGAGGCTTCTTCATCATCCTTCATGGATGAAAGCGCCTCCTCATGGCAGCCACCGGCATCGACGGAGAAGGAAGGTTACTTCGCATCGCCTGGCACGACCCATCAACGGGATTCATCTACTCCGGTTCCCGGCCGGTTCCCGGACGACGAAATCCAACACAACTGGGTTATGGTCCAGGAAGACGCTCCAGATGGGTTCTCCCAGCTAGGTAGCCCATCCTTTTCCCCGGCGCGACGGGCAAACCGCCGACACGGACTTGTCCCGTCGCACACTCGTCGCAAATCGGGTGTGGCAATGCCTCGGTTGGGGAAAAAGGCGATGCCATCAGTTCCGACTAAATCACAATTCTCGTCCCCTGCGAAGCCGCACGAGAGTCCCGTGTCTGTTGAAACCCAGCGCTACGTGGCTCAGTTGCGCCGCAAGGAGCGCGAAGAGGATGCCAGTCTGCGACGACTCAATCGGCAGCTCCAGGCAATGATCAAGGAGGGAAAACAAGCTTTGGGAACTCGGATCGAGGTAGACGACCTCGATATGGACGACGATTGATATTCTTGGGACGAACTAATGACTCATGCACTCTTTTGATACCCCAACTGTCTACTTATGTTTCAATAGCCGCGCTTTCCATCGGACTTTTATTGCTCTGTTATGTTCTTATATTGTTTACAGGCCGGTGTTCGACAGCTCAACATCGATCAACGCCTGAACTGCTTTTGGTTTTGATGTACTTTGAAAACATCCTTACGAGTCATGCTTGAACGTTAACGAAGAAAAGAATGATATGATATTATTTGATATTCCTTGATAGTCGCCCTCGCTTTTGATATTCCCCTCGATCCTTCAAACTTCAAGCTCAAATAAAACTGGTCGTTGTCTCCATCCTGGAAAAGGTGTTTTATGATCCAAGTGGTTCCGCAAGCCCAGAGAATTGGAATTCACCCAGAAGCGCCTTGGGATTCACCAGAGTGCTCAGAAGCGACGGCCCCTCTAACCGAGGCTTGTTCTCGTTCAAGTGGGAGGGAGAGTTTGCTTCACCGGCCTGTCGACATTGGGTGTCTGTGAGCCACTACCATCTTTTCTTCCACGGTTGAGATCAGCTTACCGGGACAGGGGCGGCTGCCGCAATGGAGACGAGCAAGGCAAGAAGCACAGCGAACTTGGCCATTGTGAAGATCCTCCCGGTGAAACAGATCTAGATCTCGTCAGCTTCAGTCCGATTCGGGTGGGAAAACGCAGATGAGGCTCACTGTTCTGGTACAAGACGCTGTCCAAAATGTGCTTAGACCACTCAACGAGGAAGACGACGAAAAGCTGCTAGATAAATCACGGCTTCTGTCTAGAGCTTGTGCGATTCATGACGGCGAAAGGGTTGGTTCTGTTGGTGGTCTGGTTATCCCTTGACTGCGCCTACATTCCTAACCCTCGAATCTGTTTCGTGCCTTGTTTGACAGTTGACAGTGCCCCCTCTGTGTTTCAATTGTTGATTGGACAAGATCTAGGTTTGTCTCGCAGGCCCGGGTGCCTGTTCACTATCGAGACTTGCAATGATGCTATCGCAAATGTTTCAGAGCGTTTTCAGACCGATCGTCCCTCGACCCTTGTATATGCCTCCGTGGAGCACTCAAGTTGGGTTATCAATTGTCTCGCCCTCAGCTCCTTTTTGATATATGCAAGGGAGGGAAGGGAATGTATCAGTCGCACGGAGGAGTTTTCTCCCTCGTTGACCCCATGTAGGGTCTAACTGGACTAACGCAGGAGGGCGACAACGTGCATGCATTGCTGGACTCTACTCTCCGAGTACATACGAATTTTCACAATCTCACTTTAGTGGCTATGGTTTCAATAATGATCAGATTCGCCATTCGACAGGTTTATATCGCTCCGCATTGGGTAAAGCTTGAATCGGAGTGATTTCCTCAAGTCAACATCGGCCACCAAGTCACAGACAGCCTGACAGGACTAATATGAATACATACACTCACGCTCAAAAGCTTAGCCCAAGCCAAGACTGTCCACGCTAAATACAAAAATCGATTCGCAAAAAAAAAATTGTAGCAACCAGACATAAATGCGCCAAAAAAAGAGAAAGAACTTAAGAAAGAAAGAAAGATCACAGAGAGCAGCGACAAGGAAGTGGCAAAAGGACAAAAATATTGACCGACGCAGGGCTCGAACCTGCAATCTCTTGATTCGTAGTCAAGCGCCTTACCATTGGGCCAGCCGGCCATTTGTTGATACTCGGCAGCTTGAGTCGTCTTTATATAGAATCCAAAGAAATGCTCTCTTTTGATTGCTGCTCTCAGAACTAGCTACCTGGGGTTGTGAATAGCTTAGTGAGATAGCTGCTACCAGTCTAACAAAAAATTTTGAGAATCCCCATCCAAAACGAAAAGCATGCAGATTATAATTGGTACAAACGACCTTCAAAAGGCCTCAGGAAAATAAGATCCGGGGTAGAGCTTGCTTCGCTGGTCATATGGTTCGATATCAGTAACCTGGATGTCGTCAAGTCCACACCGTGATTCGCATAGTTCCAGGACGAGGCGCATCCGCAGAAATTGAGAACAACCAGGTAACACTTGTGCTTGGATCGTCGCTTGTAAGCCCAAATGATGGGGTTTTCTACGTCCAGGCATTCATATGATCCGCAGTACTGCCGAAATGCAGCGTCGATTAGAGCATGATCGAGTCACCGAGTGGGTGCCGTACCTACCAGTGTCGGGTTTGACTTTCGCATATGGATCACGGAGCGGTAGAATGTCCACACTGACTCGGGACTGTGTTGTTGAATAGCATGGCACCATTCTCGACCGTGATCGAAACCTGGCAACCATGGCTCGGCTGTTGGCGCTGTAAACCCCCCATGGGGATCTTCAGTCCACTGTTATGGATTCTCTAAGCTATATTCTCATACCAAGCAGATGAAAAGCCCTCACTGGAATAGGGATCCGAGTGTTATCCCGACCCTTTTGTATGATTGCCTTCTTGGCCAGCTCAAGCTTCTGTGGCGCCTCACTTCCTGCTTCCTCACAGGCCCTTGAATCATGTCAGTTAAGTCGAAATCACATGTGTTGCAAGAGCGGTACACACGTTCGCCAATATTGGACTGTTTCGATATCACGGTTCAGTTCTTCCGAGAATAGTCCCGGGTTGATCATCCCCAACTCCTGTCCCTGGAAGATCAGATTGGTGCCTTGCAGCGTGAACTGCCATAGCGCAAGCATCTTGGCACATAAAGCCCGGAACCGCGGACTATTTGTCGTGAACCTCGAAATGCCTCTTGGCTGATCATGATTCTCCATCCATACTGTGTTCCAGCCGCCATTGTCGATCAATGTTTCCTGCCATTCGTTGATGATTCGTTTCAGTTCCGGGAGCTCCCACTCTCTCAGCATCCACTTATCGCCGTCATGGCAGTCGAGTTCCACATGCTGGAATTGAATGATCAAATTTAGCTCTGGCCGAGAGTTGAACTGTGAAGTATACCGAACCGCTTCAGCGGGGGAGACGCCGCACGACATCTCTGCCAAGGTCATACAGTCGTAGTGAGAAAGGACCTCTTCGTACATCTCCTGTAAGTATTCATGGATATGGGGGCTATGGCATTCAGTCAGTTTCTGATATCTCCTGGGGGAGCAGATCTACTCATATCCGGTAGAATCTCACCCGTTTGCAAATAGATGATTAGCAGGCTGCCATATAGATCCTGGCTTGGCGATGGGGGCATCTGGGAACGATGATGTCTTTGAGACTAGATTCATCGTGTCGAGCTACGCGACAGTGAACGGTGGTCAGTCGGATGCCAGTCGCCGGGTACAGTTAGCGACTTACTCGAAATCCATCCACTCCTTTGTCCAGCCAGAACCTCAACACACTGTACAATTCCTTTCGCACTTCCTCGCAATCCCAGTTGAGGTCAGGCTGGTTCTTTCCAAATATATGCAGGTCTACATCAATCAACCCGCGTCAGCGTCGTCTACCACAATATCCCTTTCCAGCTACACGTACAGAACTCGTCCGCCACTTCGTCAAGCTCCCATGTCGATCCTGATTCGAACAAATCAGCATGAAGTCTTGGAGTAATTAATGGGAGGAGGAAGATAGCTCTATACCAGTGAACGTGCTCTCCCAGTTGTTTGGAGGTATACGGTTGCCAGACTCATCTCGCTTCCCCTCGCTCCAGAAATACCAATCTCTCTTCCCTAGGCTGGGATCTTTGCGGGCTCGTCTTGACGTTTGAAACCATTCATGCTGTGGATATGCAAGTCAGCTAGGCATCTTCTCTTTTCCATGGATCACGGACTGCTGACCTCTGTAGCTGTGTGGTTCAAAGCAATGTCGAGGATCAATTTCAGTCCTCTGTCATGTGTTTCATTTATCAACAGCTCCAAATCTTCCATGGTTCCAAAGATCGGATTGACTTTTCGATAGTTGCTTATATCATACCTGCACGCTCTTGATCAGCCTGTCGTTACCAGAAACCTCGTGGAAATCTCCCTTATCCTACCCCATGTCCTGCATTGGCGACTCATAGATGGGAGACACCCAGACAACATCAACACCGAGTGCGACAAAATAATCGAGACGATCGACTAATCCTCGAATGTCCCCCTTACCATCGCCATCACTGTCTTGGAAGCTCTGAATCAACACCTGATATATGCTTGCCTTCTGCCACCAGCGTAACTTATCCAGAGCGTCTGCATCCCCGGCACAGCCGTCTGCTGTATCATACCCGCGCGTATTCTCATTGTCCATTGGTTTTTATACTTGATTAGTATGTGGAATTGGTGTCTGTCTCGCTTGCCATGTGCTTCCCCTCTCGTACCATGCAACACGGTATCGCCATGAAAATTCCGTGAGTTCTCCCCCAGATATCACATACCCAAAATCTTTCTCGGTATGGAATTCCAGCATGCTGTCGTTGGGTGTGTTTGAGGTCATAGGATGGTCATCAGTCCGACGGATATCTATTCCATGGATGTCCTTCCCGTTCCGTCAAGGGTATAACATCGGTGGTATAGTGATGGCACTCATTAAGTGCATTTTGCCTGAAAATACACATCCGGAGGCGAAAATTTGCCTCCACTGTATAAAGGGGTACTTGTTCTTCTGACATGTCAGTCAATTGTTGGTAAGGATGTTGCATCTGAGACGATTTCTTTCTCAAAGAACCTGCCGTCGTGGGTTGCGAAGATTGCAAGCTCCCACAGTCGCCAGACCGTCCAAGTCAGACTTGCAATTTCCCCAAAGTTCTCTTGTTTCGCTTGTTAGACACCAGTCTTTTTCAGTCACCGCAAAGATGCCATCACAAGGTGCAGTCATGCCGGGCGAGACACGAAACAAGTCCGTGACGCAGTCCGGCGCCTATAAACCGTACATTCTCGATATGGATCGAGAATGGTGGCGGGAAATTATCATCTATGAGATCTATGTGCAGTCCTTTCAGGATAGCAATAACGATGGTATCGGTGATCTACGCGGCATCATTCAGCGGCTGGATTACCTGAAGGATCTCGGTGTAGACATGGTCTGGTTGACTCCTATTTATGCATCACCCCTTGAAGACCAGGGTTATGATATTGCAAACTACAAGGCAATCAATCCTATTTTCGGCACTATGGAGGACTGGGACGAGCTTTGCGAAGAGCTCCACAAGAGAGGTATGAAAATGATGATGGACATGGTGTTCAACCACACCAGCTCTCAGGTGAATGGAACTAGCTCTTTGACTGTATTCTCGCTTACTGATCATGAATAGCATGCATGGTTCCTGGAGTCAAAGAAAAGCAAGGATAACCCGAAGCGTAACTGGTATTTCTGGAGAAAAGGGAAGACTGGCAAACACGGGGAGCGCTTGCCTCCGAACAATTGGGAGAGTTTATTCGGAGGTCAGCATGATTCCGTTGTCTTTGGTAAAACAGCCGCTAATCTGTCCCAAGGTCCTGCCTGGAAATATGATGAGTCTACTGACGAATGGTGTACGTTCTGTATCACTTGAAGCCAAAGGAAATCAAGACTAAACGGTCACAGACATGCACTTGTTCTCCCCATCTCAGCCAGACTTGAACTGGGACAACCCGGAAGTGCGAGACGCCATTTACGACGTGATTGACTTCTGGGGCAGTAAGGGAACAGATGGATTCCGTGTAAGTAAACCAGATTTGGGATCCAAAGTAGTGCCCAAGCTGATATGTCCTAGTTTGATGTTATCAATCTTGTCTCCAAGACACCTGGTCTTCCAGATGCACCCATCACAAGACCGGATAAATTTGAGCAGCCAGCTGTTCCAATGTTTACCAATGGGTGAGCCGTTGCCCCAAAGGAAAAGATTTTGGAAAGGTCGACCCCTGACCGACAGACAACAGCCCAAATATCCACATATACATGCACGAGATGAACCGAAAGGTCCTGAGCAAGTACACCAACTGCACAGTTGGTGAGATGCCCTGCGGCGTAGACGAATATGAGTCAAGCCAGTATGTAGCCAAGGAGCGCCAGGAGCTTTCTATGGTCTTCCAGTTTCATCACATGGATCTGGATGGGGAGGGGGGCGATAAGTGGGATCCTCGTCCATGGGAACTCTGGGAGCTTGAGAAGGTATTCAGAATCTGGCAGCAACATATGCTTGGTAACAATGGTAGGGGAATCACCAGTATGCAAGCCGCTGCAGTTGCTAATTCCTATCTAGGTTGGAATTCTCTTTATATGGAGAATCATGATCAAGCCCGGGCCGTGTCGCGATTCGGCAACCCCGATCCACGTTACAGGGCAGTGTCTGCAAAGATGCTAGCCACAATACTGCTGAGCCTCAGGGGAACCCCGTTCCTCTATCAAGGACAGGAACTGGGCACGCCTCATCCGCAGAACTGGAAGATTGAACACTATGATGACGTTGAGACGCATGAATATTACAAAGCGTGAGAGCCGCACTTAGGTTGATGTCTCCAGGCCCAACCGATTACTGACTTGGGAACTCTAGTCAGTATAAAGCACGCAAGAAGATGGATCCCTTGAGAGAGCCCGATATGTCCGACGTGATGTATGTCATCCGTCTGAAAGGCCGTGATAATGCACGCACACCCATGTTGTGGGATAATACGCCTAACGGAGGCTTTTGTCCCCCTGAGGTGAAGCCGTGGCTACGGATGAACGAAGAATACGCCGATTTCAATGTCGAGACTCAGACGAGAGATCCCGACTCGGTCTTGAATTATTTCAAGAAGCTGATCCATATCCGCAGACAACACCCGCTGATGGTATGAGGCGCCGATGATTCATTGACCAAGGCGTTATAGATGATACTAATTAGGCTGTCTAGTCTTACGGAGCTTATATCCCCATCAACCCAACTGATCCAAAGGTGTTCTCGTTCCTACGAACACAGGGGCCATGGCGCAGCCTGGTCTTTTGCAACTGGTCGGCGGATCCTTCTTGCTTCGAGATCCCCGAGGAAATCGACATCGACCTAGCCGTGATGCTGGTCGCCAACTACGAAGTGAAGGAATGGGTTCTTCCTCGGAACGTCAACCTGAGGGCATATGAGACTCGGGTTTACTCACTCCGTAACTAAGACGGAGAAAAGGCGTAGCAAGACGCAGATTGCATTTGGAATTGTCCTGCATTTTTCTCTCGTTTGCATAGGTGAAAGCATAGGAAAAAAAAAATAACAAAAGAGTTGATAACTACGTAACAATTCATTAATTCACACACACACACACACACACACACAGACACACGCCTATGCACCACTTATACCAAGTAACAGAGCCAAATCAATCCCCACGAGTCCTCTACTTGTCGTTCTCAAACGGCAACCCCGACTCCTTCCGAACGGCGCCATATATGCCAGCAATATCGCCCTTCTCCCCCCTCTCCTCCTTCAGCGCCTCCAAATACCCATCCGTAACCTCGACACTCCGCATCCGCATGCCCGCCTCACCCGCCAAGGTGGCCGCATGCCGCAGATCCTTGCGGGCCAAGTCGACCGCGAACAGCGGCTCCTCACGCGTATAGTAGTCGCCGGAGCACATGCGGTCGGCATACTTGGCGAACATGCCGCCGATGAGCGCATGGATCCACTGCTGGTAGACGTCGGCGCCGAGCCCGGCCTTCTCGGCGGCGACGAGGCCCTCCGCCAGCGTCTCGACGGTGTTGAGGATGAACGTGTTCCCGAGGATCTTGAGGGTGGTGGCGCGGCCGACGTCGTCGGGGCCGCTCATGTCGATGGTGGCGCGCGCGGTGACGCCGTCGAGGAACGGCTTGAGGCGCGCGACCGCCGCGGCGTCGCCGGCCGGCACGACGACCAGCTGGCCTGCGTCGGCGAAGGCCGGGGCGCCGAACACGGGACACGCGACGAAGGCGGCGCCGCGGTCGGCGAGCGCGGCGTGCATGCGGCGCGAGGTGTCTGGGTGAACGGTGGAGCAGTCGGCGATGACCTTGCCGGCGAGAGGGATGGTGGGGTCGGCGAGGATGGTGGAGATGATTTGGTCGAGGGCGTGGTCGTCGCCGACGCAGATGAAGACGAGCGAGGCGTCGCGGACGGCGTCGGGGATCGTGGAGGCGACGGTGGCCTTGTTGGGGCCGAGGGTTTCGGCGAAGGCGACGGCTTTGGCGACGGTGCGGTTGTAGAGGACGAGAGAGGTCTGGGGGCCTTTTTGCGCGATGTTCTTGCTCATTCCCTGGGGAGGGGGGAGGTGGTTGTTAGCTCTTCTGAAACTGGTTACTGGTGATCTCCCCGCATGTTGGAGCATACCCGGCCAATGTTTCCTAGGCCCAGCCAGGCGACTCGTTCTTCGGCCATGATGATATAGAGGATGAGACAGATATGGACTCTTTCTAAAAAAGATGTTGGATTCAAGAAGGAAGCCAGGAAAACGGGGAGACGTGCTCGTCTTTATAGCTCTCCGTCATCGACGACGGACGATAAGACAATGCGGGGAGAAACCGCGGCTGGGTTCACCTCTGACCCGGAACTACGCGATGGACTCATACACTGGATAAAAGCACGAGGAAAGGAAGCAGTGTATCTTCTCTCAAATGCCTGTTTACATACAAAGAAGATTGATTTCACCAATAGGTTCAATTCCACCACCGGAAACCTCCGATGTCTTGCTGCCCGCGCGGTCCGCACGGTCCGCTCCGCCCCCCGATCTATACTATACAAATCAATCTTGGCTCGCTCGTTCGCCGGCATCAATCACTTCAATGATCTTCTCACAGGCAACCACTCGCCCCTCCTTGGAACCCAAGTGCGCCGCAATACTTCTCGCCTTTGCTTCGAATGTAGCGCTGTCGCCACTGGCAAGAACCCGCACCAACGCCCGTCCCAAGTGCTCTCCATTGATAGCCGGAGCGCTCTGACGGCTCGCCCAAATGCCAATCCCTAGCCACTCGACGCGGTTCGCAAAGTCATAGGTATCAAACCAGACGGGGAGAATGATCTGCGGGACGCCGGCTCTGCGAGACACCACCGATCAGCAACAACACGCCCGGCTATGCTATGCGTCTTTGGCGCTTACCTGATAGCCTCGTGGAAGGAGTTGGAACCCCCATGGTGAACCACACATTGAACGTGTCCGCTCATGAGAAGAGAGATTGGCTCCGCTTGTATCCAGTCTGTGATGCGCACGCGCCCGTCGGTGATCGCGCCGCGGATGCTCTGGAACACACGGTCGTCGACGATGATCTGTGGTTTCCACTTCAGTTTCCAGAGAACGTGGATCTGAGGGACATGCTTCAGGAGATGCGAGAGCCCCTCGGCAAACTGTCTGGCCATCTCGTTGTCGAAGGTAACATGCGAGCCTAGATTTGCGAGAATAGTGGGACGCTTCGCCATCCACTCCGCCAGCTCGGCGTGGTTTTCATCCTCATCCTGGCTGAGAGCACTCCACGGACGCAGGATGGGCCCGCACATGGTGACATTCTCAGGCACGTAGGCAGGGAACTCATACTCCGGTCTCGACGGGATGAGCAAGCGAGTCTCGTCCCCGGGCTGGACGATCATGCTGGGGAGCGGGCCCTCCACCCCATGGGTATTGCGGTAATTGGTCAGCGCGCGCAACTCGGGTGACCTGTACATCAACCACCCCAGGGAAAGACACAGCAGGGTATTCGGAATCACCAGGGACACAGGCACGGGGTACGGGTATCCAGAGCACAACCTGCGGAGAGCACAAAATCATAATCAGCAGCCGCACCTCTCCCCAAACACCAAACTCACAGAAACAAAGACACGGTGGCCCATGGCCGACTCACGCAGGGAACTGCCACAGATTCGCCAGGCCAGGCTGCACGACGTGGTCCTTCACCGTATTCGGACTGAGGACGATATACGCGCACCCAGCCACCCGACAGGCATCCAGCGCCGGCGCAAACAGCGGATCCACGACCACGGCCGCCGGCTGCAGGTCCCGCACCACATGCAGACACTCGAGACAGAGGGCCATGTACTCGCGTCCGGACCAGGGGGCCATGGCGTGCACCAGGACGGACCGGTACGCGTGCAAGGCGCCTTTCCAGCCGATGTCGTGGACCGCGAAGGTGTCCGCGCCGCCGAGTTTGTCGGTGTATGCGTCCTTCATGGCCTGTCCGCTCAGCGGGTGGAATGTTGCGATATGTTGAGTGGATGCTTGTGCTTGGGTATTCAGGGATTGAATGGAGGGCGACAAGGCTGGGAAGGACCCGATGTGGACGTCGTACTCGGGGCGTAGGAGGAATTCGTGAGCGACGGCTAAGATGACGGAGGCCTGGCCGAGCTCACTGTTTGTTAAGAAGAGAATAGTGCGCTTGTTCATCTTGGGGAATGGATCTTTATAGAGGAGATATAACGTGGATATGGCTTGATCCAGTGGCTGGGATCAACATGCAAGTCAGACATGCAGAGGCAGGCTGTGGGAAGATGAGTGGGAGAAGATGGATAAGAGAAGAAGGGAAGATAGAAAAATGTGTTTGTATGGATCTGAGGGAAGAAGTGAATGCATTCTGGACATGGAGGATGACGCTAAGGACGCCATTGTGAGTTGTGTGGTGAATGAATAAATGGGTTTGAGCTGTATGTTTGAGGAGAGGCTATCACAGCACCTCACATGTGTGAACAGTAGGTATTTCAACATGAATTTCTCCGATCTATCTCAATTCTGTCCTCTTTCACAGATTAAACACCCTCGAATGTGATACGATGGCGCTTCCAACGCTAATAAAACACCGAAGAAGGAAAAGACATGAGTATCGTTCTGCGAGCCATGGCGCCCACATAGCCTCCATCAATGGCCCAGTCAATGATGTATTCAGTAGGTCAAATGGACTACCAATCTGTTCCCTGTGGGCTGCTAAATACTCATGCCCCCCCAATACTACACGAGACAGGCATGCAAGCTGGCGCTCCTCGCAGGAAACAAATCATCGAATGCACTTCTCCTACTTAGGATTTGGGCGCAATCAGATCCCGCCGGTGACCACTAATCGCCGAACTGCGCGTATTAACCCGATCAATATCATACGGATTCTCCTCATACTGCGTCGCCACACGGCCCAACGACCGCCCAGACCCTCTCGACGCGCGCGAAGCCCGTCTGGTCGGCCCGCTGGAAGACGACATAGTCGACAGACTGTCCGCCTCGCTGTCACTCTCCACATCCACCCCCACAGCTTCCACCTCAGCTGCGGGCTTCTCGCGAACTAGCCCGTCGCGTTGGACTTCGGGTGGGTTGCTGCTCTGCGCGAGCCGTTGCATGAATGCTTCCGCCTCGGCGGCGTAGCGGCAGCGCTTCCGGATGCGCGCCCCATAAACATAAAACACGATGGGAATCGGCACGCAGGCTAGCGCCAGGAAGGCTGGGATCGAGGATGCCCAATGGATCCCTGAGATGAGGTCAGCAGGAGCGACGTGGGCATGCGATAGAATCACGTGACTCACCGAGCCCTGAGTAGAGATAGCTGGTGAAGAGGGGGAACGCGGCGCCGAAAAGAGACCGGAGAGCAGAATTTGCGGCCAGAACGGACGCGGAGTAGATTGTATAGGCGTCAATCAGGTAGTTGAAAACACTGAGGAATACGAGAACCAGCCCGAAGCCGAAAGGTGCTCCGGCGGCGATGGAGACCATCCAGTGGATTGACGGGGAGTTTGTCCATGCGAACCAGAAAAGGCCAATCGGCAGAGCTATGGCGCCGACAATGCTGGGCGGGAGACGGATTTCTGGAGGGAGACGCCCGGTGGCCTGCTTGCATAATCTGGCGTAGTGCATGTTCTCCGGGACCGTGTAGACAACCGCGAGAACCATGCCGACGAAGATCCCAAGAAAAGCTAAGCCGCCTATGCCATCATTCCAGCCGCGAGCTTCCTGGAAGACGATTGGAAAGGCAGCGAAGCAAAGGTACAGGATCCCGTAGATGATCGCCATGTAGACGCAGAAGAGGAACACTATGGGCTCACGGAACAGGAGACGCCATGGTCGCGAAAGTGCCGTGGTCAATGTCTGCCGCATTGATAATTTGCCACGGTCGATGTCCAGCTTGCTACGGTAGACCTGTCCAGTGAGTTTAGACAGTTTCTCCGCACGCCGGCGCAGAAGAACCGGGGCGTATGTTTCTGGGAGCAAAAAGCAAAGACAGAGCCAGATGACACCTGAGAAGATGGCCAGGAAACCTTCCACCCAACGCCAGCCTGCCCCCAAGCCTAGGAATCCTCCAATTATGGGACCGATTGCTGGACCGCACAGAGGAGCGGCTGCGAAGAGACTAATGGCGATGCCTCGCTGACCGGCCGGGAACATATCCGCAATGCTCCCGCCGGCATTACCGAAGGGCGATGATCCGAAGAAACCAGCCATGAATCGTAGTATGATTAGAGTTTGGATGTTTTGCGAGCCAGCACATCCGGCATTAAAGGCAGTCAGCAGCATGAATGTGACGATGAAGATGTTTCGACGGCCGAAGACTTCGCTCAGTGGCGCCCAGATCAAAGGTCCAAAGGCAAAGCCTAAGACGAAGAGGGAAATCCCTAGGGTGGTGACCTCTCTTGGAGAGTGCAGCTCTTTCATGATTTGAGCCATGCCGCCTGAATATGCGGAGGATATCAATGCGATAGTGAGAGTGATCAGAGAGACGAGGATGGTGAGGGACCATTTCAGAATGGCACTGAAATTCGGCGGGTTGCGCGAGTCCCCAGGAATCCAGACAACAATATATGGATCGTCATCCGTGCCGGTCCCATTGTAAGGATGATTGAGGACTTCGTCTGTGACCACTTTTTGATCCCAAACCAAGCGCCAGTATGGAATCTTAGATTGCCGAGGCGCCTCGCCTTCGATACCTATCATACTTCTTCCATGGAGATATGTCAACTTCTGTTCAGGAGGGGCCCAGTACATGGTGGGTGGCTGTGAGGACGCTTACCTGTGCTTCCCTTCAGACCAGAAATGTACTCTCTGCAGATAAAACGCACTCGCCCCTCGTTCTCCCGTAGAACGAAAGCCTAGCCTCGATTACATTTAGCATAGCCATATACTCTGCTGGATGCAGTGGAAGATGCAAAAACCCAACTACCCGAGATAAGCCTCGGCTGATATCGAACTAAACAGACATCAAGCCAATCCCTAATCAGGGCAACAGGGACAGTGCAGCCCCGGTCAGTCAACAAGTAACGTGCCCGCGATGCTGAAAAGCACGAATTCCATTTGTCATGGTTGTAAAATGCGGATCTGGGATCCTGGACTCCACCTGCCGACTGCCGAGGTGGGATCAATGTTGGGAAGTTTGATTTTGTTTGAACATCATGGTGACTGCAATCTGCAATGTCTTTGACTGTTTCACAGTGTGGTAGGTTACCTGTATCCTGCGGGAGGTTCGTCTCCTTATTGACAAGCAGAATATGCAATTTGGGGATAGGTAGCTGAGACCTCCAACGTCCAACATCCGAGAGCAACATTGTTCTTGGCTGAGAAACAAGCACCTGGACCCATGGCCCTTGGCTACGAGGATAAGCGAGCTCATCCATATGTAGACTAGTTTCTACTAAGAGACCTTAGTACGTAGTAGTAGGTAACGGTGGATTCAATCCGGAAGCTGGATGCCGGACCAATGATGGACATCACGAAGGATGAGTTCAGATCTCGACTCTTTGGAGAGAATATGAGGATGGACTATGGCCAGTGGCACCTCACCGAGTCATTGTACTCAAAGATTCTATCGAGGGAATTGCCATCCAATCTAGCTCGCTATTTCGCACGCAAGGATTCGACTAGCGATTTTAGCCAGGAAGCATGGAGGGGATAGACTAATGGTTAAAATGCGGATCTCTCTCTCCTGACTCGGGTTTCAAAGCTTTATCTCCAAGATGGGAGAACTGAAAAGGAGTTGATTGTAGGAGAGGTGGGAGGAGAAAGTGGAGGAATAGTATGCCGTTGATAAGAGTGGGGGGAGGGACAATTGATAGCGCTCAGCTGGTCTTTTGCAGGAGATGGCAGATATTTTCGTCTTAATAGTAGTAGCCAAGAGAATCAAGATCTACACGGGTGAGGAAGATATGATAATAAACTTTTGAAATTTGAAAATTGGTATTCGTGATATGAACCAAACATTAAAAAAAAAAGATAAGAAAAAGGAAAAAAAAAAAACTCCTCAATAGCTACTATACATGATAATGCTGATGCTGATGCTCATTAGGATGCAAGCAAGTCATTTAATCATTTACTCCTGAATCGTGGTGGGCTCGGTGTGCTCGGTCTGGCCCTTCTGCTTGGGACCATCCTCCTCATGGACAGAGGCGCCACGGATATCCCGGATGATGTTTTCGGGAGGAACCCAGCCGCTGCTCTGCCAGGGCTTGACGTGCAGGACGTACATGGTGTCAACCTCCTCGAGAGTGCGACCCTGGGTCTCGTTGACGAAGAAGAAGACCACCAGCACCGCGGCGAAGCAGCAGGCGGCGAAGACGTAGCCGTAGGCAAAGTCGATCGAGCTGGAGATGAAGGGGGTGAAGAAGGAGATGAGGAAGTTCCAGGTCCAGTTGGAGGCGGTGGCAATTCCAATGCAGATGGCACGGTAGCGAGCAGGGTACAGCTCACCGCAGATAGCCCAGACGATGGGACCCCAGGTCGTGGCAAAGCCGACAATGAAGAAGCAGGTGAAGACAATCATGGCCGCGCCGGCCTGAGGAGTGTTGGCGGGACGGGCCAGGTCCAAGGCGAAGTGACCGATGGAGGCCCAGATCATGAAGCAGATGAACATCCAGCCGGCACCGACCATCAGACTCTTACGACGGCCAAAGTGCTCCACGACGTACAGACCGGGCAAGGTCATGCCAAAGTTGACAGCACCGAGAATGATCTGGGTGACGTAGCTGTTGTCCAAACCAGTCGAGGTAAAGATGGAGTTACCATAGTAGAAGATGAAGTTGGCACCGGTCAGCTGCTGCAGGGACTGCAGAGCAATCCCCAAGACGGTTCTGTAGAACATGCGGGGGCCGGTGAAGATCTCGTGCCAGGCGGCGACACCCGCAGCCTTCTCCTCGTCGAGCTTGTCCTTCATGTCTTTCATTTCCTGCATGACAACCCGGTGGTTGGGACCCACGCCATAAAGCTTGCACATGGTGTTGCGGGCCTCGTCGACACGTCCGCAGCGGTAGGCGAAACGGGGCGATTCGGGCAGGAACAGAGTACCGATACCGAGAATCAGGGGCCAGGCGAAGCCGATACCCATGGTGATACGCCAAGAGGCAGTGGAATTGATGGTTTCGGTGCCGAAGTTGATCAGGTAGGAGATGAAGATACCGAAGGCGACGAACAGCTGGAAGGCACTGACCATGGCACCACGGACCTGGCGAGGAGCGGACTCACTCTGGTACATGGGGACGATGCTCGACAGGGCACCGACACCCAGACCAGCCACCCAACGGCCGAGGGCAACCTGGTACCACTTGTCGGTGGTGGCCATCTGGACGATGATACCGACGATGTGAATGAGGGACCAGAAGGAGATAGAGAGCTTGCGGCCCAGGCGGTCCGCAATGGGAGCGGCGACCAGAGCCCCGATCATAGTACCGATGGACAACAGACCGACAATCAGACCGTTACGGACATTGCTGAACTTGTAAGAGCCATCTGACTGCAACTCGGCGAAACGTCTCTTGAAGTCATCCATAGTGGTGAAGCCAGCGATTTGACCTAGACACACATTGAACGTTAGACCACTTCTCTTTCTGTAAACAGAAGGAGGGAAGAAGAAGCAGCTTACCGGTTGCGTAACCGAAGACGAAACCGCCCATAGAGACAACGATACCCAGGACGAAGGACCGCCATGTCAGATACTTGACGGGACTATCATCGACGATGCCATTATCCTTCTCCAGATTCGAGTCGGCGCGAGCGGGGGTGGAAGCCTGAGAGAAGTGTTCCTGCTGTTCCACCTTGGGCTTGTGGATCTTGGATAGGAAGTTGGAGACACCCATGATGTTGGTGTTACTCTTTGGGTGAGAGTTGTGGAACTCTTTATGAGGAAGAGACTATCATAAGATGGTGATGAGATGAATGAATTGATCACTGATGGAGAGAGAAGAGAGAGGAGGGAAAAGGAAGGGGGAAGAGGGTGAAGATGAAGCTATATATAGAGGGGGGGGGGGGGGAGGAGAGGGCGAGGCTTGGGGGAAAAAAAAAAACCCTCGTCAGTAGTACTCAGTAGATCGGCAACATGATTTCCACCCGGGGTAGGCCCATGGGCGACGGAGCATGGCAGGGAGAACCACGAATGGGGCCCCAATGTTGGACTGGGAAGAATCGGAAGCGCAATGTTGGAAAAAAAAAAAAATTGAGATGGAACCACGGATGAATGAGCGAATGGAAACAACGTTCGATCACCCAACGTGAGAGACAGAGGAGAGTTTAAGGTAACTCACTAGACTACTCTGAGTCTGGAGTGCTTGGAACGTTCTAGTGGAGAGTGGAGAAATAATGAAGATTTGGCGGGAGGCGAGGAGGCAATAATACGGAGTACCTAGTTAGTAGTAGTAGTAGTAGTAGTAGTAGTAGTAGTAGTAGCTAGGTACGGACGACGGAGTATTATTGGAGATGGTGACTCGTGATACTAGGTACTCAAGTAGATCGAAACAACTTGGTATCAATCCTATGATCCTAGGTACAGTTAACAGTACGACTAGGAGGTTAGTAAGCAAGCATCTACCTGAAGACGTCAACGATCGGAACAGAATGATAGTGACGGCGGTGTGTCCGAGTCGGAACCGTCAAAAGGTGGAATGATGGAATCGAAAGACCTTGATTCGATGTTTGCAGATGCGAGCCACGATCTCCATGGGGAATCCCTCTCCTCCATCGCAATCCAGTCACTCCCTCTCTACTCGGTATCCTGGATTGTATGATCATAATTCAGAACAGTAAGAAAAGAGAGTCTCAGACGCATGCTACTGGTTAGTAAGGTAGTAGTTAGTAGTAAGGGCGTGTTCCTATTAATCATCCCTTCTTCAATATCCCTTGTTTCATTCGCTTTCTGGACCTCATCTCATAGTAGTCTAGATCCGCATTCAGGTAGATTGACAATGGAAAAAACCCACTATCAGCCTCCTCCCCAGGCTCCCCTTTCTTGCCTTGTCTCATTTCCTCCTCTGGTGGTCTACCGACTACACTCTACCTACACTCTAGTCTCTACAGACGACAGACGCCAGACGACCTCCTCTGTACAGACTACAGTACCTACAGACGACGGAGTAGAGGACCCTACGTAATACACTCCAACCATGGCTGAGGCAGATCATGGCGCGAAGATTCTCGCAACCCATCATCGACTAAAAATCTAGCGCTAACCAATTACAGAGTGGTGAGTAAATTTACTAGCATCGGACTTGGTGTGGATCTCTCGGGACCAAATATTGCTGTTCGGTGCCGAAAAAGGATGGCTGCCGAGACTCAGACGAAAAAATCAGGAAAGTAACACTCGGCGTGTCGAAGGAATATACAAAGCACCTGACTCCGTCCTCTGGACTCAGTTTTTTTTTTTTTTTTTTTTCTCATTCTGTAGAGAGGGGGGGGGAAAACATATCATTACAAAAATGAAATGAATACGATTTACATAGTACTGTATAACAAGTCGAGTAATAATACTGAACAATAAAACCTGAGAAGAATCTTTCATGCATCCTGCACCAGTCGACCGACGAGCGGACTCCGACCGAAAGGCACCGGTCGGCCTACCACGGCCCACGGGCCTGTCGGACTCGGTATCCTTGTCTCTTAAGAGTCTGAGTGGTCCTTGCGCGACAAGGAAAACCGTGTCCATTCAAGCAACCAGGATTCTCGGTGTGCCGATTCGGGTTTCGCCAGCAGAGAAAATTCTGCACTCCCCTGTTTCTTTAGCCTCTGCGATGGAGTTACCATGGAGTACGAACTTACGAAGTACCTTAGGACTTGGAAGCTCACCGATAGTGGATCGTCCACTCATTACTACGAAGTACTAGCACTCATAGTATTAGTAGCAGTGTCGTCCATGGTCCGTAGATTTTCTGAATTATGTAACCCGTGTTCACTATTGTACTCTATTCTCGCACATTCCAGGATTGCCCCGATGGATGTCTTTTTCTCGGTACAAAATAATACATAGAGACAGACAGAAGAACGAAAGACCTGACGATTCTTGAGAAATAAATCGACCAGTATCAACTGTAGCTACCATCCATATAGGTACTATCTAGCTAGGTAGCTGTACAGACGGAATATTCCGAAAAGCCTGCACTCGGAACCAGAACAGGCAACGCCGCTACAGTCGGTTGACGACCCGCCCGAAAACTCAGGCAACGGGACCACACCATCCAGAGACAATCTAGAAGACTTGGTTTGAATTCTAGGGAGTACCTACTAGTAGGTAATAATCAAGTTGTCAAAAACCTAGGTAGTCAACTACTCCGTAGTACAGAGTACATAACAGTATTTTTAGGTATCCGTCTTTTTCCGTGTCTTCCATCCAATGGAGTCTTCCCGGTAGACTTCCAGAATAAAATTATTACCAGGGATCAGGCGATCGGCATCACCGTCAGCCACAGAGCTTGGCTTCTTCTACCATACCTTACTCCGGAGGTAAGATACTATGTACTACTATGTACTACGTATGGTCACGGAATATGTCATATCATATCATCATAATCATATGCTACGTTTGTACAGTTTTTACCTATGTTATGCAGATAATAATAATATTAATAATAATATTAATCAAAATAACACCACCTTCTATCAAGCATCCTCGTTCATATTATTTTCAAACTCCTAGGACATAGAATACTATTATTCTTCCAGATCCCTATTCCTATCCCCAGAGATCACCAAAGAAGAAAAAAAAGACATTCCAGTTCTCTGGTTCCGAATTGCCAAAATATCGAACGGTAAAAGAAAGAAGAAAAACCGTAAGACTCGGCATGCCGCCTCGCTCGCCCTTCCAGTTCGGCTTAGGACGGGGTGGCGAATGCTCGGCTCCGTTAGACTGTGAGACTGTTAGTAGTAGTACTAGTCGTGGTCCCGCGAGACCAGAATTTGCGAGTCTGGTGATGGAATGAAATTTTGTGCCTTATTGGAATAATCGAATGTACTACTAGAATAGAAAATAGACAGGAAAGAGTTCCGAGTCTGATGATGGTGATGGTGATGCTAAGCTACGGACTAACTCTCGAATTTCTCCTCTAAACGCGATATGCTGTTCCATATACATTATACCGCGTTTGAATCCTGCAGGTTAGAAGTATAATTCCCCCGTTCTTGACTAGATCTGATTGCATGATGCCTGCATTATTGCACCTTTGGGATTCAGTGTCGCCGAGGAGATATCCTTACAGGTGTCGCTGGGGAGATATCCTGGCAAGTGACGCATCTGATAAACCGCTACGCTGCACATACAGAGTAACTACATGCGTTATATCATCATCCCAAAGACTACTCTGTAGGTCGTCCTGACGTCGATGTCTTGGAAGTCTCTAACTGACCGAATATGTAGACTCTACTCCGGATAGATAGTGAGGTCTTTAGCTAATTAATTGCAAGGGCTACAGCCTATAACCAGCATTTCCGTATGGAGTCGCCCAACGGAGCAGTGGAGATGAACCCGCGATAAACTACGGAGTACGGAGTAGACAACTACTCTGAGTAAACAGAATAAATAATACAGTAGCCAGTACCCTTGCCGTACGACCAAACAAACGGATTAATTTGAGCGAACCAGATCACTGGCACTTGCAATTCCAGTTCCAGTTCCTGGTCTCCCAGAGTCCCAGACTCCCAGACTCCCAGTCCCAGACTCCCACAAAAGCAATGACCATACGGCATACCTTAGTCTCTGCCAGATGGGGACAGTGACCCACACCTACACAATCCTAGTTTCTCTCCTGAAGAAGAGTAAACCCCCCTCCTTCCCCCCCCCCCAAATCTCCCTATCCCAGTCCCAGTCCCAGTCCCAGTCCCCAGGGACAGATACCCACTTTCCCTACCCATCACCCAGGAAGGGCGGGGGGCGCCATAATCATCTCATGTGCTCTTCTTCCCCTTCTCGCGCTCCGCCTTGCGCAGCGCCCGCTTCCGAATGGCCTCGTGCATCGTCCTATTCTGCCCGACGACCAGCTTCCCCATCGGCTGCAGCACACAGGTCAGGAAATACGCCATCAGCCCATGGCTCCAGTACGGCGACGAGCTGTACGAGTAGGTCGGCGAGCCGCCGTTGCGACCGATCTTGGAGAGCACCGACGACACAAACGCGCGCGGACTGGGGATCAGCGCGCTGGTACGGCGCACCTTGGACATGGCCGACGTGATCAGGTACGCCTGCACCAGCTCGACCGTGATGCCGTACGGCTCTAGCTCCGAGCCCAACGACGTCGACCACTGCTGCAGGAATGCCTTGCTGCCCGAGTACGTGGCCAGCAGCGGGGTCGGGAGCAGACCGCCGAACGAGCCCATCGTCAGCACCAGCCCGCGTCGCCGCTGCATCATCCCCGGAATGACCAGCTGCGTGGCCCGCAGCGTGCCGAGGCAGTTGATCGTCACGATATCCGTCATCTCGTCCTCCGGGGTTAGCGCGAACGGCACGGGGATGTCGTGGCTCTTGCCGACGTTGTTGATTAGGATCGACACGTCCAGTCCGTCGACAAGCGTCTTCAAATCCTCGTAGTCCGTGTCGTCATTGGCTGCAAAGTCCATCGCCAGCGTCCGGGTCTGCACGGAATGTTTGGCGGTGATCTCCTCCGCTAGCGTAGCGAGCTTCGACGCGGTCCGGGAAACGAGTACGATGTTGAAGCCGGCGCGCGCGAGCTGCAGAGCGAATTCCTTGCCGAGGCCATCCGAAGCACCTGTAACCACTGCCCAGCTTCCCTTGGGGCCGAACGATCGGAGCTAGAAGAATCCCGCCCAATTTAGTTGAAAGGCCTCTCGTGCGGGCGTCCGAGGGCAATTAGGATAGTAGTAAACGTACCGGCTTCCCAGGAAGCACAAACAGACTCAGAAGCACTCTCACGAAGGTCAGGACGCGCGAAGCAAGAAACAAGCCTCCGGTGGCTAGCAGGACCGCCGCGCCCACAGACTGCAGGCCGGGCTGCAAGTCGAGCCCCCAACTAGACAGACAAGACATGTATTTCGACACGAAATCCATGGTGTGTGATAGAAATCCCCCGTAGACTGGTATTGCAGTTTGTCGGAGAAGAGAAGATGGCCAAGGGAGACGGGGGGATTGCTGCAAATTGTACGGAGTACACCGTCGACTAATCAAAAAAAAAATGTTGGGGGAAGCTGATCCCGCCAAGAGCGGACATCCTCGGCCCCCTTAAAAATGACACAAACAGTGCATACTTATTACTTCCTTGAGCTTCTCAAAGTTAACAGGTGACAATTCACTCCCTCTTGTATAGTTACACCACAAAAGCACATGTGCCCAGGAGTGATTCATTCTCCCTTCTCAACCACCATCCACATCCATATCCCTATCCACCATGGCCAACCTCCTCTCCTACCTCCCTCCCTTTGAGGGCCTTCTCCCCAAATGGCTCTTCCTGGTACTTGCACCCCCCCCTCGTTCTAAACAAAGAAAAAAGAAACCTCAAAACAAACCCCCCCCCCCCCCTCCGCCCAGACTGACCCTCCAATCTCCTTCTCCCAGGTCTCCGTCATCTCCGCCGCCAACAGCATCGGCGCCTACCGCTCAGTAGACTACGCCGCCCAGCTCTACAACGCCCACGCCCCGGACGGCCGCCCCACCACCAACCCGCTCTCCTCGCGCACCTTCGGTACCTGGACGTTCCTCTCCTCCGTCATCCGCATGTACGCCGCCTACCACATCACCACCCCCGCGCTGTATGACCTGGCCCTGTGGAGTTTCGGGATCGCCTTCGTGCACTTTGTGGCCGAGTGGTTGGTTTTCGGGAGCGCGCAGCTCAAGGGCCGGTTTGTGAGCCCGTTGATTGTGGCGTCGTCGACGTTGGCGTGGATGGTGACGCAGAGGGAGGCGTATTTGGCTATGTAGGATGGGGAGTGGGCAGTTGGGTGGTCACTTTCGCTAATATAGAGAGGAAGTTCGGTAATGGGCATCGGCTACTCTTTCTTGTTCTTACGTAGGGTTCCCAGGCTTAGGACGTTGTTGATCCGTCGGGCTTGGTATAAACTATTGGCCGAGGGGGATTTCGGGTTTTCGGTATTTATTGATTTTTTTTTTAAGATACAAGCTCCTCAGGGAGATGCGTTCCTAGCGAGTACAACAATCATGTTCAGTGTTCAGCCGTCCAGCTTCTTCCGGTACAGCTCTCCCCCGCAACCCCGTAATCTCGCCGCGGCTTGTTCCGGGGTAATGTCCCGCTGAGGTTCGGCCATCATCTCATACCTGTGCGTTGGTTTTGGTTAGCCAGAAATCGCTCCTGACAGTCAGAGGAGTAGACGGAGAGCTTACCCGACCAAGAACTTCCGCACGGTCGCACTGCGAAGCAGAGGAGGATAAAAATGCAAGTGCAGGTACGACGACTCGATCTCCTCGTCGGTGCCGTCGAGGGGCGCCTGGTGGATGCCCATGCTGTAGGGGAAGTGCGTCTCGAAGAGATTGTCGTACCGTCTGGTGATCTCGGCAATGGCCTCGGCCAGCTGGGCCTTCTCGTTGTCGTCCAGGTCGACCAGCGCGCGCTTATGCTTCTTGCTGATGATCATGGTCTCGAACGGCCAGGTGGCCCACCAGGGGCAGACGATCAGGAAAGCCTGGTTCGCAAACACGACGCGCTCCTGTTTCTGGCTCTCCAGCGCGGCATAGTCTTCCAGCATGTGCTTGCCGGAGTGCTCCCGCCGGTATTTCTTCAGATGCTCCAGCTCGATAGCGGGCTCTTCGGGCAGCGAGCTGGTGGTCCAGACCTGTCCGTGCGGGTGAGGATTGGAGCATCCCATGGCAGCGCCCTTGTTCTCGAAGATCTGCATGTACCGGTATTGCTCTCTGGGATGGGACACACTGGCAGTGGAGGAGTTGGGGGGCAGAGTCGTCGCAGGAGCCACGGAAGCTAGGGGGGACTTGGGAGACAGATGCGCTGAGTAGATCTCGGTCCAGGCGTCAATGACGGGCTTGATCTCGGCCGGCGACAAGTCTGCCAGGGTGAGGTTGTGAGCGGCAGAGAAGATGAGCACATAGCATTTGCCTGTCACGGGCTCTACCTGAAGGAAGAACGACTCTGTCTCTGGATAGTACCAGCATTAGCGACGGGACTCCTAATACCCTTCTCTTCCGTTTATGGCCTGACGAACTCACTGTCTGTATCCTCCGGATGGTAAGGGGCTTGCTCCTCCTTGACGGCGCTGTAATCGTTGACAAAAACAAAAGTCTTCTCATACTTGGGGTTCGTGTCCCCCTGCGCGCGCTTATTGCCGGGGCATAGATAGCAAGCCGGGTCGTAGGCAGGCAATGTGGTCTTGGAGGGGCTCTCCTGTTGTCCTCTATATATATAGACCTCAGCCGATCGAACGCATGGTTGCGATGAGTTGAATCAACTTACTGCCAAGGACGCTTGGTTCTGTGGGGAGAGACCAGGATGTACGAGCCCCGAAGAGGATTGTATCTCCGGTGCGAGATGTCGTCCAGCACGTTTTCAACCATTGTATCTGAGTAGACAAGAGTCTTGGTGACCGAAGAAGGCTGTCGAACAAACACCGGAAAGAAGAAAGAAGAAGCAGAGGAAGACAGAAAAGAATGAAGCAGCAGGGAGAGAAGAACGGATACACAGTGACATCCGGTCGGTCATAGCGGCGGGGCTCCGGAAAATTGGTCGCGGGGTCTCTCCGCCGTGTTTTTGGGTTGGAAACTAGAAACTAGATGCTAGATGCTAAAGTATTCCTAGTCCTTGATATTGTATATAGTCACTTGTCAGTCATGTCGTCTTGATTTTGTTCTGCCAATGACATGGCGTTTCTATAGATGCTTGCAAGTTGCAGCGCTCACAGAAGCCGAACGCGACACCCCATCCCAATACCATGCCGAATGAAAGGGCTCGGCCTCGGCAAAATTAGTTTCCAATCCAACCATGCTGCCCTCCTTAATATTGTTGCTTTAGTAGTTCAAATAGGCTAAAGCCCTTGAGCCTGGGAGGGGAGCACTGGGCAGGAATGTGGATAAACCGGAGCATTTCCCCATTCTCATATGAAAACGCAGCCGAAGTTTCTCCAGATCAGCCCGAAGAAATCAATTGCTTTGACCCTGACGTCAGCACTTGGGCCTGGTTGGGTGCCTTATCAATATGGCTTGCGCTTATCTGTAGACGGTAGAGTGTATACGGCGTGGAACGCCTTCTCGGCTCCATGAATGATATATATATATATATATGTATGCTTATACTCCCTTTCATGTAGATGCTACTGACCATCCTTCAATAACCAGAAACCTCTCCTATCATCCCTCCCAAACTGAAACTGAGAGCAAGCAAAGATGGACACCAGTGTTCCTCCTCCACGTCTCCATCTCTACTCGCTTCCCAACGAGGTTCTTTCTCAGAAATCCCCCTGATACGATATATATATACACAAACACCATCATATATCCAAGCACTAACTCCCATACCCAATCTCCGTCGGCTCCCAGGTCTTCGTCCAAATCCTCTCCCCCTTCTCCACCCGCGATCTCCTCCCCCTCGCCGCCGTCTCCCACCGGTTCCACGCCCTCGTCCTCCGCATCCTCCACTACCGTCTACTCCTCACCGCATCCCTGAAGGAATTCAAGCTCATCCTGGAGTGCTTCCATCCGAGCTCCAAGCTCGCCGAGCCCCACGTCTTCTGTCGCTACCTCGGCACAGACGGCCTGAGCGACCAGCATGACGGGGAAGGATCGCGGTACGAAGACGCGGACGCCTCGCAGCGGCTGGGGAGGCTGGCGTCGCTGTATTCGCGGTTCCGGCCAGAGGTGACGGTGGAGGAGCGGGCGAGTGGGGCCCAGCTGGTTCCGTTGATGGGTATGTCTGCGCCCACGTGGTGTTGTTATCTGGGGCGGGGGAGGGAGGAGGGAGGAGGGAGGAGGAGTAGGAGAAGTGACAAGGCGTGACAGGCTAGAGCTGACAAATTACGCGGGGATAGCGGAGTGCAGAGACGATATGGTCGTCACCAGACCCGTGGACTTCGAGGACTATGAGGATTTCTCGCAGCTCTGCGTCGTCGTGAACGTGGTCAAGGTCATGCCGGGGACGAACCTCCTGCTGAGCATCATCACGATCGTCGACGGGGTCGTTCGGTTATTCAGGGATTGGTTGGGCGAGCAGGAACGGAAGGGCAGGGATGCTGCTGCTACTGCTGCTGCTACTGCTACTCCCGCAAACGACGACCAGATGCTATGGGTGGACGCCGACAAGAACGTAGGGCTCAAGCTGCGCGTACGGGAGAAAACCATCCACAACCGCCAATTTCCCATCCTCATGCATCGTGATGATCTACCCTGTCCCAGCTACGAGATCGATGTTCAAGGTATGTTGTTGCTACCTCCTGGAATCCAAAATTGCCGCCTGTGCTAATTGCAATTGGGTTGTTGATGATCTGTAGAGTTGCATGTCCGGACGACACGCTTGCTCCTGGCCGTTGAGAAGTCTCAGGAGGAGTTGCAGGAACACCAGCGGGCAATGATATTCACGCAGCGTTCGATATAACATGGGGCAAGGGGGAAGGGGAAGTGCAATCTTGTTCAAAGAGCGCTTGTTTTTTTTTTTTTTGTATATACTGCAAAGCCATCTGTTGCAGCTGTCAACGATCAGTGACAAAAGATATCAGTTTCGGGATTCATCTGGTCTATATAGGACGACAAGAGTCTATATATTACCTGGTTCAACCACCCACTTGCAGCAAACCCCCAAACCTATTTTACCTGTCAAGCCATTTTTCTCCACATCGACTTCCTAGAGAGCTGACTTGTGGACATATTTACTATTTACTTAGTCGTCCGCTGGGCATATCAGCGGCCAAAGCAAGCCTACCGACAGCTGACACACGTTGAAGGTTGCTAAAGAACTGAAATGCCAACATCAATCGATTGACTCTAGGGATATACCCAGGTATTCACGCGGTTATCATCAAAATCAGATCAGATCAAAGCACAAAACAAGGACCCCAACGCCATTTTTGGACACCCGTTCCATGACAAATATACGACTAATATTAGAAATGGACTTCGTCTCGTCGTCGACCACGGACGCGAAGCCTTTACCGGCGTTGTGTCTTGCCGATCGTACGCTTTCCGGTGTACTACAAGGAGATTAGCATGTGTACTAAGAAGAGAAAGAAAAAAAAAAAAAAAAAAAACCTACCAAATGCTTGGGAAGAGAGGCGGTCGTGTGACGATCCGCTTCTCCTTGTCTGGCCATCCGGTTGTTCTTCTTCTGTCCCAACTTGAGCAGACGCTCCGCCTTGGTGCGGGATGTTGTGTCGGTCACACCGTCCATCAGACGGTTGGTGGCCGCCTGGCTGCGGGCACGGCTCTTGGCCCGAGCAATTGCCTGGCGAGGATCCGAGGGATCGATGTCCATAGCGTCGTTGGTGTCGATCTCGCTGCGGGTGGTGGTGCGGCCGCGCACCTGGCTGTGGGACCGCGCACGGGCAGCAGCGGCGTCGACATCGTATCCGGCCGCGTCCAGAGCCTGCTCCATCTGCGACAGCTTCTTCGCCTTGGCGCTGCGGGGGATGGCTGCCCGGTTCTTGAGCGACTTGCGCAGCTTGGCATCGTTGCGCATCAGGGCCCGCTTCTCGCGAATCAGTTCCGCCTTCATGCGGTTGTCGGCATCCTCGACATCTTCGACACTCTCGTCCGAGTCGTAGTAGCCATCCGCTTCCAGCTTCTCCTCCTCTTCCTCCAGAGCAGCCAGCTTCTGCTCGATATCCGGATCCACAAAGTCGTAGATATTCTTGCCGTTCCACACCTCGGGGATCTTGTCGTGCTTCCATTCGTCGTCGGCCAGAGTGTAGTTCTTCTTGAGGTCGATATTGTAAACACCAGCACCGCCGTTCTCCTCCTCGATGTCGCGCTCGAGCTTCTTCCGGTTCGGGTCGTCCTTGTCGTACTTCTGCAATGTCTTCACCGCATCGGGAATGAAGGCCTCGCGCACACCGCCAACAGGCTGTGCCACGTGGATACGGGCGAGCACGTCGCCCAAACGTCCGCCAGGGGTACCGGCGCTGTTGGATCCGGACTTGAGCTTCTGCGCGACTCTCTCGGCCAGAAGCTTGTCACATGCAGCGTTCTTCACCGCTGTGACGCCTTCGGTAGTGGCGCACGACAATTGCAGCAGCTCGACATCACCGGACTTGAGAATCTTCTGGAGTTCCTCCTGGTATTCGGGCTCCAGGTCCTCAGGCCGTCTGACATCAATCTTGTTGACGACAAGGAAAACGATCTTGTTGGCAAACAGAGGGCGAATGCTGTGGAAGAGCTTGATCTGGTCGGCCACCGAGTAACCACACTGCTCCGAGAGATCCATGAAGTACATGATAGCGGAGCGCAAATGCGCAATGGCGGTGATGGACTGCATTTCAATCGTGTTCATCTCCTCCAGGGGGTGGTCCAGGATACCAGGGGTATCAATAGCCTGGAATCGCAGATACTTGTAGTCAAAATGACCGACGAACAAACTCTTGGTGGTGAAAGCATAGGGCTGGACGTCGACATCGGCGCGAGTGATGCTGCGCAGGAAACTGGACTTTCCGACGTTGGGGTAACCGCAGATCAGGAGAGTGCGGGTATTGGGATCGATCGCGGGGAGACGACCCAAGTGCTGGCGAACCTGCTCGAGGTAGACAAGGGGATCCTTCAGACGTCTGCAGATGGTGGCCATGCGACCCAGACCAGCACGCTTGAGCTGCTTGCACTGGAACAGCGACTGGGCGTACTTGATGAGACGGACATAGTCGCGAGAGACGGTTTCGATAAGATGCTTGGCTGTGGATACTTGACCGAGGGCGATTCTGAAATGATCGGCATCGTACAGGGTGTTCATCAAATCCTTGTCTGTGGGAAGAGATTAGCCGCACCGAAGCTGCAAAATGAACATAGATAAGACATACGGAAGGGATGAATATCCTGCAATCTGGGAAATCCATCGAGAATCGCCTGGAATTTTTCGCAGAAGGTCTCCTGGGTGAATTTGACCTTTCGAGTGTAGAACCCTATTGCGTCGCAAGAATTTTCGTTAGTGCCATCCATTCATTTGATCATGTAGAAGATCAGAGATAGTATCCGTCCCCGAGGATTTTCTCATCATCATCATCAAAGAAAGGTCTACATACCTCTGATACGGCTGATCTTGAAGCCGGCACGGATCTGGGTAGGAAGCTGTCTCTGCGTGCGACTGAGGACGACATCCAGAAATTCCTGGCTCGTGGGCACAGGCGGGATCTGATCAAGCGGTGAAAATCGAGATGTCAGTTTGAAATAAAACAACACAGGCGTCGGATAACACATCAAATTAGAAGAGAGGGGGGAAACTCACATCCTTCCAAGTCGTCTTCATGATGGGCACCGGCAAGAGAGATCGAGATAGAAAAGGCTCTTGCGATGGACAAGTTGATGGCGCTGGAGGTCAACAACAAATGAGGAAAAAAAAATTGTCGGCGGGCGGTCGGGCAGATTTTGGCGGGCGGTGAGCCAAGCATATGTGGGGAGGGAAAAAGTTACAGTCAGTACTCAGTATCCGTAGCCGAGAACACGCTTGGTCTGGGAATTCATTACTCCAATATACACAGTACGCTCATTTACAGTCTCTTTTAGTCGGATCGTAATCATGTACATTGACTATCGTGGGAGTATGGTGACACATATCAAGTTCTGAAAACCCCCAGATCCTCCGTCCCAGAATCACAAGAGAACTCCGTTGCTTTTCCTCGTAAAGCCTGCCTTCTAAAACCAAAACCAACATGAGACCCATTAACATGCATGCGAAGTAATTCCAGATCATAAACAATATAAAAAGAAAAATAAATAAAATAGAAGAAGAAGAAGAAGAAGAAGAAGAAGAAGAAGAAGAGGATAAAAGGAGGACGTCAAGAGATGAGACGCAGGATGAAATATGGCGATAAGACGGTCATCGCCTTTATTCTTGAATAAATTCCAGGATCTATGTCGGTCGGTTAGCCTCGATTTCTCCTAGAGACAAGATAGGGCAGGAATTGCAAGGGGAAGGATTGATTCAAAAAAAAAAAAAAAAAAAAAAAAGAGGCCACTCACCAGATCCGTCCATCCACCTCCGCCGAACTGACATTTGCTGGGACCAATGCTCTCGAATCCCAACGACTCGTAGAATGGCACCAGATGATCGTGTGCGATGATTGAAATGCGCCTGGCAATGGCCGCATCTCTGATTCTTTGGATGTAGGACTTCATCAGGGTACTGCCGACCTGCTTGCCCTGGTGTTCCGGAAGCACTGCAAGGGAGTGGATGGCAATCGTGCTGCCATTCTCGTCGTGACCGATGGTCTCGCCATTCTCGATGACAATACGCTCTTTCTGCCAGTTTGATGGAAGTTTCATATCATTGTCCGTCACCAGCGTTGTCGAACTCCGAGTAGCAATGATATGGCCGACCAGGGTGGGGCGCGGCTTGGGTTGACCTTCTGGTATGATCGGAATGGTGAAGAGACCAAGACTTAACTCAGGGCACTTGGTCAGACGATAAATGAACTAAGGAGAAAGACAAAAAAAAATAAATGTCAGCGGGGGGGTTTCTTATCTCTGGCAGAATTGGCCATTCATTCAGGACAGAAAAAAAAAAAAAGGAGGGAGTTGCACACCTTCTCTCGAGTGCAGCGTTCATTTTCTGGAAATGCATTCTCCACGGCCACACAATCATCCACATTCGACACCGTGAGGGCTTGAACAAAGGGATGAAGGTCGTCCAATTTGGTGTGCTGGTGCACCGGCGGGCGGCGCAGCCAGTATGAGAAATCATTCATGTCATCCGGATCCACTGAGACATAATCCTCATCTGCCTCTCCCTCGTGGTCCTCCTCTGCAGGGTCTGGAGACAAGCCATTCGCCATGGCTGCTTCCGCACGTGGGGATAGATCGCTGGCTGTCGCAGGAAGAGAATAGCTGCTCTCTGCGTTGGACAAGGGTTTGAAGGTGCCCATGGACTCGATGTTTTCTGTGTGATTGGTGGGGTGCGCCATGGCCAAGAGATTCCAGGTCCTAGATATGTAGGGACTGGAGTATTCGGAAACTATCTAGACGTAGCAGATTGAGTGTGGAAATAATGATGGGAGTAGGTAGAAAGATGAGGCTGAAAGAAGACTAGAGAGACTGGGTAGAATATGACCGATCTCTGGACGTTGGAGGGGTTTTCCGAGCAGCAATCGGCGGGAAAGTGAAAGTGAAACCATCAGAAGCGTTGAAGAAAAAAAAGCGAGTGGGGAATTGCTGCTGTTTTAGCTCAATGCGGGTGATAAAAGGGGAAGAATCGATTCGACTCTGGGATACGGAGTACAAAGATCTAGTATTCTTCTTCTTCTTCTTCTTCTTCCTCTTCTTCTTCTTCTATACAGTGAGATATCGATAGACAGACAAGGTATCTTCATGAGAACCTTGACTTGGACTGACTGAAGACTACTTACTACTACAGAGTACTACTCGATAGGCTGATGGGATTCTGCAGGCTGCACCATCGAACTGGGATCTCCTATTTCCTGTCCATCTGATTGCTCGCCTTGTCCATCCGTAGACAGCAGCGTATCTATTGAGTTAGTAGATAGACAAGGCTTGTGGGAATAATGGTGTTTATTGAGTATTGACTTGATAATAGCCTTCAATATATCTCACTAACGTACTACGTTATATGTACTCCATCTCTCCGAACTAACTATTTAAGATCGAAGGAGTGCGAGTGTGGGGCAAATCCCCGATTGGGGGATTCTGAAGAATGAAGATGAATCCCAGAATGAACGGTTATTATTATTATGATTATTATTGACACCAAATGTGAACAGCAAGGGAGCATTGTTGCTTCCGTTGTCCCAGCTGTCATATAGAATCAACCTCGCATATAAAGTAGAAGATTAGAAGATACCCGAGGGAATCGGACCCGATGGTATCGGTTGGACGGGGGGTGAAAAATATTGAAGAAGTGAATCAGATATCGAGATATACTATGAGCGATTATGGCTCCCTGTCTGCAAGCACGCAGACGTGGATGAGGGAATTCTTTCACCTTCAAACTAATAATAATAATAATAATAATAACAACAACAATAATAATGTCAGGCAGGAATCCAATATGGCAAGAAGATGAATTGTCCAAAAGACGCTCAACAGCTACTACGGAGTACTACTAACTAACTAAACGACTAAAGTATCTCTGCCAGCGACAGCCGACCGACAGCGGAAGATTTCGTGCGTCATTATCCGCATCGACTCATTTTTCTGCGGATGAGATTATTTGAGCTGTGACTGTGCTTCTGGCGCAAGTTGTCGCCCTGTTCCCCCTCCTGTTGGGTCGACAGCTAGATACCTATTTAATTCTATCCTGACATCCAATTCGATTCCTCTCTCAGCTCTTCCATGCATCCATTTCTGGTTTTGTTCTCGTGGGTCTTCGACAGGAACGAAACATGAACCCCAACGCTGTGTGGCCGCGAACGGCCCAGTCTTCGCTCAAGGTACAGCAGACCAAACAACATTCCTATTCCCTCCACAAGCGGTCTCTGATATCCCCAATTTCAAACAGAAACACCAAGTCTCGCTGTGTACATGTCAGCGCCGATCGCATTATCGTCTTCGATCCTTTTCCACTTTCGCCGACCGCAAAATCCACCAGAGCGCCGGCTTTTCGTCCAGCAGCAAGAACCATGATCGGCTGAGCCACCGAGCGAGGGAAAAGCTGCTCGATCGGGTAGGATCTTGCTCCGATGAACTGATACAGATCAATCGGCTAACCGGCTCCTTCGTGGACGGGGAAATAGGAATTCTTTTTGAGCTTGCTGAGCTCCGCGTCGACGCAGAGAGAAGCCAAATCCTACCTGGCTCGGTTGAAGGCGCAACATCAACCAGACCTCCCCCAGAAACCCACTTCAGCACCGGCCAGCACCGCTAAAATCCCCCCTTTACCATCCGGAGTCAATCTCGGATCATTCTACGGCGCCTCAAGATCGGTGTACGAAACCCCCGTGTTCCGCCAGGGTCCCACCCCCACGCCTCGTCAGGACCAACCTGAAAGGCTTCATCTGGCATTGGTCAAACTGTCGATTCCGCAAACGCTCGATGACACGATTATCGATGGAGTCGCAAAGACCCTGGCGCAGCTGGATAGACTGGGTCTGACATGCTGTGTCATGATTGATCCCGGGGCGGCAGAAGATGCACGCCTTCTTCGCACACTTGCTACTGAGCAAGCCGACCGTCTAGCAATTGCAATCCACAAGCAGCCCGACTCCAAGTCCCTTCGACTTGATTCGGTGTTGTCCGTCGACCCAGCCACCCCCCATCTCCCTAAAGTGCTCTCCCGCAAAGCTCTTCTGAAGCCACTACGCGACGGCCACACCGTCATTCTGACCCCCATTGCGTATACGGAGGATGTTCCACGGGCTGTTATGGTATCAGCAGATGACGCTGTGCTTGCCTTGACCAGAGAGCTGGCCGGTCTTGCGACGTTTCCGGATCCCGACGAGGATCCCCTGACTACCGCTGAACGGATCGGTAGACTCCAAAAGGAGGTATCTTTAGACCGGGTGATTCTGCTGCATCCACTAGGAGGTATTCCCGCTTTCAACTGGAGGCAGTCATCCCATGTTTTCATCAACATGGAGCAAGAATACGATGACATCGAAAACGAGTTACTGCAAGCGAGGGACGTCATATCGGCGGGAGATGCGAACTTGACGGCGTCTGACATCCTCCAGCATCCGTCCTCCGTGGCGGTCAGCAACCCTCTCTCTAAGTTCGTCCACAAAGAGATTGTGCCCTTGCCTCCAGCCCGGTCACTGAGTCCAATGGTCCCAGAAGCCCAAAGAAGCGCAGTCGAGGGTCACTTGGAAAACCTGCGTTTGTCCCAGAAAGCGCTTGCAATGTTACCATCCGCTTCCTCGGGCATCATCACCTCGCCAATTGAAGTGGCCAACTCGGCGAAAACAGACCAACCGTCGGACCTTTCAGTCGTAGGTACTCGACGACAAAGGAACCCACTCATTCACAATCTCCTGACCGACAAGCCATTGCTCTCCTCTTCCCTACCAATGAGCAGGCGTGGGCCCATCATCAGCGCGCAGGGTATCTTGAACCCGGTAACTTCCCATACGACATTTGTCAAACGCGGCATGCCTTTGACCATCCTGCCCAATCCGTGGGTGAAGCCGTGGTCCGCCCAGCGTCAGCCACGGCTGAGGCTGGACGATCCCAGCATTGACCTCCCTCGATTAGTTCATCTCATCGAGGACTCTTTCAACCGGAAACTCGACGTACAAGACTACCTCAACCGTGTCAATGACCGCCTCGCCGGTTTGATCATTGCGGGTGAATACGAGGGCGGCGCCATCCTAACATGGGAGCTCCCTCCTGGAGTCCAGGATGATGGCAGTGCTGAAAACAGTGCGCGAATGGTCCCTTACCTGGATAAGTTCGCTGTCCTCAAACGCAGCCAAGGGGCAGGAGGTGTAGCAGATATCGTGTTCAATGCCATGGTGCGCACTTGCTTTCCCAATGGCGTGTGTTGGCGAAGCCGCAAAAACAATCCGGTCAACAAGTGGTATTTCGAACGGTCTCTAGGCACATGGAAACTGTCCGATACCAATTGGACCATGTTTTGGACGACCCCTGGGCTCGTAGAGGATTCGCAGAAATTCCGGGATTACGAGGCCGTATGTCGAAGCATCCAGCCAAGCTGGGCTGAGGATACTGGCGTGGTAGACTGATTCTTCTCATCTGATAATGGCATGGCAAGGCATGGAAATCTCCATTTTTGTTCATATAATCCTTTTCGATAGTATATCCTTCTTATAGACTACATAGATGAGCGCGAAAATACTGTTTGTTTCTCAACCAAGCCACTGGCCTCATCTCACCGCCTTTGAAATGCGATGCCTCTTCATCTGCTGGACAAGATCACTCTGCGACGGGATCATCTCGCTTTTCCCCCCCCCCTACACGATGGTTAAGATAATGATCATGCTCCAATGACACGATGCCTATCTGCATCGAATGTTCCTATCCCGTGTCGCATCTGTATAGTACTTACTCTCGTGCCGACGACCGGTCTCTCGGCAAAGGGGTGCGTCTGACGCAATGTCCGCGCTGCCAGCGATTCGCCGACAAATATGTCGAGCATGATTTCGTCGTGCTATTCATCGATCTAGTTCTGATCAAACCCCAGGTATGTCGGAGAGGGCTGACTCGAACCTTCGTCTCACTGACGGCGCTAGGTGTACCGACATCTGCTCTTCAACCGATTAGGAGGCAACAATGACCAATTTGATGTATGATACCACGACCCTCCTTCCTATACATGTCGACGCTAACGCGAGTCGTTGCCTTGTAGCGCTCTATCATCCGCCTCGGAATCCTCCTCTTGCTTTTTGACGTCTATCTCACCTGGGCGCGGATTGAGAATTCCCCCTCCCTGGCTGCAACCTGGCTAGCTCGCACCCCAATTATCGTGCAGTACCTTTTCTTCCTGAGTTTGAACGCCATTGCGACTCTCGCGCACCATCTCACAGTTCGACTGCTCGCTTCGGTGCTCGCACCTTCACCACAGGGCAACAATGCCAACACAACCGCGGCGGAGGCGTCTCTCCCGTCGAATCCTTCTACGCCTATATTCCCGTCCTTTTCGTCCTCGCAATCGGTCACTCCCTCGGGGCAGCAGTCGCCCACTGCTACGATGCCATTGAGCCCACCGCATCTCACCCCTCAAGGATCCTTCCAAGATATTACACTCTCCGCTTCTGCAGCAGCAACTGGAGCCTCGACCTCGGCCAGTGGCTCCTGCAACGACCAACACCACCCACACCCACCACCAACCCCACAGGGCTCATTCCCGTTCCCCCCTCCCCCTCTACGCCGTGCATCCACCGCGCCAGTGCAAACCATCCGGCCTCTCCCTCCCCCGTCACCCGCCAGCCCAACAGCCATCAGCACGGCGCTACTAGTCAGCAGCTGCGCGAAACTCTTCCCCATCCTTCTCGTCATCTGGGGCCCTGACGGAAGCGGCGGCACGTCCGAATCGGCGGACCCAGGCAATACAGGCACCGCTGGCGGGGCGGCGCATTCGACGCTCACCCAGCGGATGCTGAGCAGATATACCCCGACTGCTACCGCCGCTTCGCCCGGGGCGACCGGCTTCGTCTCGTCAGTCTCTTCTTCCCTACTGGGGAGCGTGGTCTCTGTGCTTTCGCGGCTGATGCCTGCATCTGTGCCGACGAGTTTTCTGGCGAACTTGGTCGAATCGGCGGGAACCCTGTTCTCGCTCGGGGCGGCGGATACGCACTTGGTGCTGCTGAGCAATATCGAGGCGCTGTATATCTTGTTGGGCTGTGGGTATCTGCGTGCGGTGGCACTGGCGGTTGCAGGCCTGCTTGCCCGGTGGACGGTGCAGCGAGTGATTCTGGGAGCGGTAGGCATCGGCTAATATGTAGGTAGACAAGCTGTACTCGATGTTGTATTATTCGAAAGATTCTAGAGCGCTAAAACAACATCCCAAAATCCCAGACAAAAGATATAAGGATATAACAAGAACAACTACGTAACTATACAATCCCCCGCCCCTCTCCCCCCCTAGCCCCAATCGATTCACCCACCCATATAATCCACCCTGTATAATCCACCAAAAGCACCCGCTCCCTCGTCCCCTCCACCATCGCTCAAACCATCACCCTCCCTCAGTGCGGTACCCGATCAGGCCTCATATCCGACCTCTTCGGCACGATCAGAGGATGCCACTGCGCAAGAAACGTAATCGCTAAACGTCAAACGACCCCATTAGCCCACATCCACATCTATAACTTCTCCCCCCCCCCCCTCAAACCTCGACCTCCATCCCCCCCGAGGAAAAAAAAAAAAAAAAAACAGTATACATACCCCACATCAAATAACACGACACCATCGACAGAATCAACGTACTCCGCCAGAGCCTATCCGCTTCGTCAGCACAACCGATTGCCCCAAATCCAAAATACAAATGCCCCGGGGAAAGGGGGGGAGGGCCGCTCACGTCTGATTGTCGCCCTTGGGGCTGAAGACCCATGCGGCTAGTGCTCCGAGCACGATGACCACGAGGCCGATGAGGAGGCTCCATCTGTGGGGAGTTTGTTAGGGGGTGGATTTGATGATTTGATTCTGGAGGGGGAGCGGTACCCGTTTGCCATTTTGCTGGGGTCTGGGGGAGATGGGAGGATGCGGATTTGGTGTTCGAAAAGAGTAGATAGATGAGACGGGTTCAGGACCAGCCTGAATGCAGTTCGTGGTGGTCGAGCGATCCGGGGGGGGGGGGGGAAAGTGTTATGTTCGCATTGGCTGTGGCTGTGCCGGTGATAGGGTTTTTCGTTGGGATTGTCTCTTCTAGGGCAGGTGTAGAGACGGTCGAGGTTGGGGTCTTCAAGTAGATAGTCGTTTGGTGGACTGGCCGATAAGCAGGAGGTTGTTGTGGTTGATGTGCTCCGTACGGAGTAGCTTGCTAGCTGATGATCCCTCTGAGGTCTCCGGTCCGCGGTATGGTGGCCTGAGGCCTCAGGCATGAATGCGGAGGGGCCTTGGCAGTTTGGCACATGGCTATCTGTCTACTGTGTACTCTACACGATGGCTAGACGATGATGAATTCTACCAGCGCAGATGCAAGGTCGTATAGATGATTTGGAAATTTGGAAACAAGCTACTCATTCGCACAATATTGGCAAGGATATAAGGATATATGTCTGTCGCAAACCAGTAGAAATCACAATGGGGCTGACAAGAAGGGAAAAAGCCAGAGAGAGAGAGAGAGAGAGAGAGATCGGCTGACGCGAAAACAAAAAAGCTACTACAAAGACCAAGGCAGTTCAAGCACCCTCACGGCTCTTCCGGTAGCTCGCCTAGAAGGAGGTCAAATCGGATGCTCCGGAGAAAGCTCCTCAGTAACTTACCTCTTGCTCAACCTGCAACCCGTCCACTACAGGAGCCAGCTCGCTGAGGATCTCGTAGGCTCTCTTGTGGAACTCAAGCTGCGCAGCAATCAAGTCTGCCAGGTTCCTCAGAGGCTCGGGGGTATCAAGGACCTAGAAAGTCGTTAGTAAACTTGACATCTTTGAACTCGCCCCCACGACCACAACATACATTCTTCATCACGCTCACAGCCTCCTCGGTCTGTCCGACGAACTCATCCTCGGCCTGCTCAATCTCCGCGCGCGCCTCCTCATTCAGGTTATCCAGGTCGCCGCCCGCCGCCGCCTTCCGCTTCGCCTTGACCGAGTCCAGCATGAGACGCGCATTCTCCACGCTCCTGCGTGCCTTCGCGGCGAACATCAGGTTCGTGTTCAGCGTCGTGGTCCATCCGGCCAGGAAGCGCGACTGGATCTGAGCGTCCTGCGCCAGACGGGCCTCGCCGACCTTCTCCGAAGCCAGAGCGTACTTCTCCAGCGCGGTCGCCAGGGGATCCTCGCCCGGGTGGACCTGCGCAAGGGTCTGGGATCCAGCCAGGGAGGCACGGGCAATGGCGTGGTTGAAGGTCTTCGGCTGGGGTTTGGCCGACGGAGGCGCAACGAGGGCGGCCTGCGCCTCGGCGGGAGTAGCGGCCTGTGACAGGAGCTGGACTTTCTCGCCAATGGTGCGGCCCAGGTCGTTGAAGGATTCGCGGATGTTGGGGGGGTAGTCGTAGGCCTCGTTGGAGTACTGGGAGCTGTAGGGCGGAAGAAGCGGGGCGAATGGTTAACTCATGGATCGTATGCGATCAAGACCAGAGGAGGCGATCGCAGGGGAGAATGAAAGCACCTACGTCACCTGAAGCAGCTTCTGGTGGACGAGCTTTAGAGCGTCTACGCGCTTCTCTAATTCGATGTATTCATCGGGAAGCTGGGTCTTGTCCTCGGCCTGACCCAACTGCTCCTTGATCATCTGCTGGGTGCGCGCAGCGAAAGGACTGAAGCTCGCGCTGTTTCAGGAGAGGGAGAGAGACGTTAGTACAAACGTATGAATAAGAAGGTATTGCATCTGTCGAGCACGCAGATGATAGCTTCCACCCGGCGATAGGATCATCACATATGCACCGTCTTACCTGAGATTCTTTCCGAATGCTTGAAATTTGTCCATGGCGATGGATGAGATGCGCAGACTGATGGGTTACAACCAATACAAAGCCCTTCCCGTTCAGACAGAGAGTATCGACGAAATTCGCCAATGGAGAATGATTGTTTGTTTGGGGATGATCGTGCGGGAAATGATGGTTAGAGAGTCCTGATCCCTAAACGCCTACGGGAGCTTGGCACCGCCTTAAACTCGGTCGCACCGCCACCGTTTCAGATACAAGCCAGATTCCGCTTGCAGATAATAGGTAGTGGCCTTCGTGACAATAAATTCAGCAGATGAAGATTGGGTTGACACTATATGCAGTACAGAATAGCTGCCCTCAGTCGTGTTGCTGTGTTGAGAATATCATGGATGCGCTGCTTTACGTTTACGCAATCCCGAAGCATTCTGGCTTCAGATAATCCACAGTATATACATATATATATATACAATCTAGCATCGTCCTCGACATCAGCTGTTCGCGGGCTGTAATCATGATCCTGCGCGATGTAAAAGTCCTTTGCTTTCTTGTTCATCTACTCAACTAATTCTGATATATGTTTCGTCAAGTTGCTCCCTTAGTTGACTATGGAGTTGACCTCAAGTACCTTCCATGAAAGATGTCCTTACCTGGTCTGCCTTTGGAGATTCTTCAGGGCATTTTGGACATTCAAGTCACTCAGCTGAGACACACAAGGCAGTTCGCCTGCGCCTAGTCAATCGCGTGCCCTTCTTCCTCTGCCTTCCGGGATGCAGATCTGGCTCACTGGCCGAATGTATAGGAGTATTCAACCATGAGATCCTTCTGGCTATTGCAAGGACCGGGATGCTGGATGCGATCCAGCCTGCCATCACACAATTTTTGTAGGTGAGGTATAGTAGATTGAACTATCTAGGCATCAAGGTACAGAGCAGTGTAGTAAACACAAAGAAGGGCACATGATACCAACTTGGCGGTGTCACTGGAAAGGTAGGGCGCATCGCTCCAACACAGCCCGAGTAATACAAAGTCGAGATTAGAAAGAAATATCCGAAAAAAATGAAAAGAAGAGTCGTTAGTCATGACAAAGCCGCGCGATTCTGCCCTCTTTGGCTCAATATTAACGGATCCCTCAGGTCAAGGTTGCCATCATTGCGCGGAGAATCCGAGGATTGGGTCCTATAATCAAAGTTAGTCTTCACGGCTCAATGCTTGTATCGGACCGGCCCACCATACCTCTGCGGTCCCTCTTCACTTCCGTGATTTCCTCGACATCGCCATTCGGAAGCAGGCGCTCCGTGTCGCGAATCACCTCCTCTCTATCCGCGAGTTCCAGCCGTCTGAGTTCGTGAAGGTCTTCGTCGCTGTCCCGAGGACGGATCACGACAGCAAGTGGGGAAGTGCCAGTCTTGTCAGGCTCGAACCGCTCCATCATCCGGACAGGCGACGAGAGGCGGCGATGGCGGCCATGAACGGATATCGAGCGGGTGCGGGAAACAGCCCTCGTAACTCGCTTTTCGCTGAGTTCATAATGACGCGAGGGCGAACGATATCGCGAGGGAGATTGGTATCGTGACGTGGATCGGTGTCGGGAAGGTGACGCTTCAATGATCAGTGTGTTATGGCTTGCGCGAGGGGAGTATGTCTCCATTGTGAGTTTCTCGACGGTCCTCTCTTTGCGCCGTGCACGAATCGGCGATGGTGAGCGACGAGCATGTACTACCCGAGCTGGGACAAGCAGTCAGCTAATATCACCTTAACAACTGAGCACGTGGTACTGACTTTCCGCATGGCGCTTGACCTCTCGACTGAGACTGATGACTTCGTCAATCTGCTCTTTGGACAGAGCCAGCTGGATTGTGATCAGATCATCCTAGCAAGGGGAAAATAAAAAAGGATAAGTCAGCAAAGTTTTTTCTTCATCACGAGATATTTTTTTGGAAAAAAAGTGCTTCTCGTCTCTTGCGCATATGAATCACATACCTCCTCCTGATATGGATAACCCAGCTTCCTGATCGCATGAGTATGCACCAGTCTTCGAGGCATACGAGTCTTCCCCTTGCGAGGGTACGGTTTCTCATACGCAATTTCTTCGACCAACTCCTCGCGGACCCGACCACTCGACCGGCGCGGATGACCCGCATATCGATCCCGCTCCCGGAAGCCCCGAAACTCCTCGTCGCCATAGTAGTCCGGTTCCGCGATGCGAATGTCTTCATAGTAGTCGGTTTCCTTATGGCGCCGGGAGGGGCGTCTTCGCGGGATTGACGGCGCAGGGGCGTCCCGAGGAGGCAGATGTCCGTGGTAGTAGAACTCGTCAAGTTTGCGCGAGGGGATACGGTCGAATGTGTCTAGGGAGGACTGGCGACGGAGCAGGCGAGGGCGCGGGGGTGGGCTCTCGCCGCGGGGCCGGTCATAGGCGACCAGTGGTCCCGAGGTGTGGATCAGATGGTCGTCCTCGTAGAGCCTGTCCGACCGGCGGGCAGGAGGACCATATCTGTCAGTTTCGTGCAAGCGGGATTCGAAGCGGTCTTCTTCCATCCGTGGAGGACGGTCGAGGACAGCGGCGCCGCGAGAGTATCGGCGATCCCGCACGCGCTCCAGTCTCTCGGAGGAGGAGCGGTAATCGTCGTAGCGCGACATGGCGGAGGAAGTATGTAGATTAAACTCGATCGTATGACCAGATACGACTCGGAATAACAATAGTCGACAGGAGAATGTTTATTGACCGATTTCCAGCGATGACCTGAGTGAAGTAAAGTGAACCGTGGGTGACGACAGCGGCTGACTCGACGGGCCGTTGATAGCGCGGGGTAAGAAGAACCGTGGATGGGAGGATTAGGGAGGCTCGCAGAGGCTTGGGAGAGAAAGGTAACGAGAGCGGAGAGTGGTGACAGCGATGGGATTTAAAAGCTATCGACAAGAGACAAAGAAGCAGGGGAGGAGGGATGACTTCTGAGTATCGTCGAAGTGCTTCATCTCCAAAATCATCGTGAGGGAATGACGTCTGGGATGGAGATACAGGGCGTTACCGTAATATTCAGCCCTCCTCGTACAAACTCGCTGATGCCTTGGTACGGCCTCATACGCAGTAATCCCTTATCATTACTCATACTAACCTACCTATTCTTAGACGTCGTTCACTCTCTCTGCCTTTCTTTTGCCACGAACTGCTAGGCCTCCTTCTCCTCTTCCCATTGTTGATGGTCTGGAAATACTCTGCCAGTACCTACTTACTTAGCGCCCCGTGGCTGATCTCGCTCCTATTGCTCAAATGATGGGAAGACCTGTGCCATCGCAGGGCTGATCATTCAACCCTCATCATCAGTCAGCTTGTGATCAGAGACCGATGCCTGATCTGCGTTGAGTTGAGCGCATGACTTCTCCTCAGAATTATGCTGGCGGCGCTCTACGTCGTTCCGAATGACCTCTGTGCTTCTGAAACACTGCCGGAGGGTAGCTGTTACAAGGGAGACGAATCGATGGCGAGGAGGACATGAGACAGCACCTTCGGTACTTCCGTGCTGATCCCAGTAAACACTAATATCTTATTATGCTAGTCATACAATGGGATTGCAGGAGAGGAATTGAATTCAACCAAGTGGCTCCAAGCAATAAAAGCCAAACCTTTCTGCATGGTTGATAGAGAAGAACAGGCGGTTTCTGGCAAGGCGACTGGCTGCCCAACTGCCGCCATGTGTTGGACTCCATGCATGTCCATGTGTACCTGCATCGTCTACCCGGCAACACCTGTTTCGTTGTCTTTCAAAGCGTTGTCGAGACTCGAGGCAGCCAATCACTACATACATCCTTAAGAAGTTGACATTATGGCTGTACCTGGTTTTGCAAGTCGGTGAATGCCCCAATGGGGCCTTGTGGAACGGCTTCGTGGATGCTTTGTATCAAACAGACAAAGTGGCCCCAAACCTGTCTGCTCGGGAGCTGCCGTGAGTGCAGCTTCCCCAATCTCGATTCGAATCCAAGAAAAAATGGATTGTTCGTGGTTGGCTAATAAGTCGCGATGTTCCACCCCTGACCTGAGGCATAGTTGACCGCAGCTGTGACAACGCAGTCTGTGATCATGAACACAACAGCAACCTTTATCTTGAGCCAGTTTTGAAGCTGAATTCCCATTTCATAAATATACAGGCCTGGAATTCGTCCAATGGCAATTCTTTGTGCATTCAAGATGTGGATAGAATAGATCGCCAACTTGCCACGAACTACATTACCCAGGGATCTAATGGAACTGCCCCCCCACCGAAGGCGCGTGTTGAATTTGCACCATTGAAATTGTAAGAATGGCCCAGGGGCCAATAGTAGACTTGCGAAGAATCCAAGTTGAGCCTTCCCTGGCTATTCATCTCCAGTACACTCTGGCAAGTTCTCTGAAAGAAAGCCCCATCAACATGATAGACCAGCGTGAGGTTACCGATCTATGTTCTGTCGTCTGTTTCTAAGTGTAGGATGTCGTCATCTAAGCTCAAAAGCCCCATAGCCCAGTGAACATGCATAGATTTGCTGACAGTGACAAATCGCCTCTCCGAATTATCGTTCGGTGGCATTCTTCTTGAAGCACCGTTTTGCGTCGACCGTTCGCTAGAGGGTCGCTGGCGGTCAGTCTCCCTCGTGCGTTGATAGGGAGGGCCGCGTCCTTGCTTTGCCGCAACTTCCCACGCATTTTCGCAGCCCATCGCTATGGCATTGGATGACCTCCAGCCAGTCAGACGCGAGACATCGCACAACTTGGAGATCGTCCAGCCACGTTGAGCAACATCGAGATATTGAACAGCGGCAAAGAATATGGGCACGGTCATATCGATCAAGCAGGAACCCAAGGTAGGGCTCAATCTACCTGCTTCCACGTTGAACCACTGTGGATAATGAATACCCGCCGCAATCTTTCCAATCATTTGGGCATATTCGGCCGTCGCAGGGGCTGCCACACCTGCAGCGACCATCATAGCAGGGGGCATGGAAGGATGCAACCTGTGTAATAGGATCCGACCTGCGTAGTAGAATCCCCAAACCACTGCGATAGTATGTGTTCGATATTGCAGGGCTGGTCCAAAAGGAGTTGAAATAGGAGGGATGGTATCAGCTGGTAGAGGAAGGTAGTCAGGACCGAGTGCAGGAGCGAATTCCTCAAAGGCAGCGAGAATGTCTTCCCATTCACTCTCCGCATCCTCATATGATATGGTCTCCGCTCCAGCGTCTCGTCCAGGCGATTGAGGCTGCTGCCCTGAGCTAGCGAAGCCCGACGGTAGACGAATTGGTCCTCTTGGCGGAACCATGCCATACATGGGAGGTGAATTGCCCGGCGCCGCACCGGGACTGGTCCCAGGTGACTGCCGGTTCACATCGGGTGCACGATTGCGCATTGAGGCTGGAGGGGGCCCTGGCGGAGCATTCCCGCCGCCCTTGATAAAGCGTGCCATGAATCGATGAAGATTAGGACCTGGCTTCCACTCCTTTCCGTTCCCCTTGGCTACATGCAGCTTTCGCTTTCTATCTCTGTAGCCAAAATCCGTGAGTCGCGCAAGCAATAGCCATAGGTGATCAGCGGACCCATAAATCGCATCCAGCCGCCCCATACCGGCACGCGGGGGACATTGGCCCCAGTGGGAGAAAGGCAATCTAGCAAAAATGAGCTTGCCAAGGTTCATATTAGCATAAGGAAAGAGCACGCCTTACAGAAGTCCACTGCCGCCGATGAGACCTTGAATGATGTCTTGTTTGCAATACCACCAATAGAGGTCACATTGTATTCGGCAATTCTCGATATCCTTCCGCGTGAGAATCTTCTCTCGTGGGCGTATACGACCGTCTTCTATCTGTCCGAAATAATCGTAATTAACCGCTCTGCCCAAGAGTGATCCTATTATCTTTTCATCGATGCTACTCTCTTTCTCGGCGAAAGGATCATCCGCCGAATTTCCGTCATCAAACGCATAAGCATCTGCCAAATTCCACTCGGCTCGGGCCGTTTGCTGTCGTTGTGACCGTATCCTTCGCCGGTGAGATCGTATTTCGCGAGTGAGAGAGGCAAAATCAATCTCGCGTACCAGCTGAGCTGATCCTGCAACATGGCTGTTCCATTTGGAATGTTCTGCAGTCATCACCTCGTAATATGCTAGCAAAAGCGTAGCAGCCAAGGTGCCAATCTGTTTCCGTCGTTGGGGCAGACCGACAGCGGCGCCTACTCTTTTGAGCGCATAATGGTAGTGCTTTAACGAGACCGTAGGCGGCGCCTGTTGTAGGTACGAAATGTGCAAGCTGCTAAGGGCAAGTATGGCTTGGAGCAGTGCTTGATGCTCCAGCGCTTTGAGTGGCAGCGTGTAGGTCCATAAGCCCTGCTGCGCTGTGGGTACTGATGATCCGAGCGTGTTCGCGGAATCCGCAGGGTGTCGCTCGAACACCGACAGTGATGGGCCAGTCGAGTGGATAAAGTGGACAAAAATTCGAGCTGTTTTCGGATTATTCAAAGGCGACGAGCCAAGCGTAGGGTGGTAAGAGGCAAGCATGTTGGGTTCGTTCAGATAGGTGGTAAAGGATCGAAGTTGACGTTCATCACCGTTTGCAGAAGCCACAACGAGACTGAGTTGGTTGAAACCTTCAACTGATGTTTGATCCTCCATTTCTTCGTCGGATTCAGCGTCGAAATAGTCATCACTCTCATCGTCAAAGTTTGTAGCTTGGTTTGGAGAGGTGATCGATGGGAGTGACGTATATCCATATGCAAAAGGCTGTTCTGCGGAAGGACCTAGAAGAGACGTGTGTGTAATTGCTGTGTCAAGGCGGTCGAACTTGCGCGACGATATTAGTAGCCAGCGATGACCTTGATTAATGATGGTCTCCATACCTGTGGCATTTGAGCGGATCCAAAGGAGTCGGCCGTATGAATTGGTAGCCCCTGGCTGGTTCTAAATGAACCTGGAATCACAGTCCAAGATGATGTTTGCTGAAATTGCGACCGCTGACTTGCATTTGGATCAGCAGGGAATGGGGTAGTCATCCCATGCTGCGAATACTGCCGATCCACGATGGAGGCCTGGTGCTGATGGAGGATAGTTGTAGGCACTGGTGCCCTGATCGAGTCCACAATGTTCGGTATCGAAAGGAGAGACGCTTCATATGGCTGCGATGGATGTTGAGCAGTGCCCGTGTCAGGTCCTTGAAACATTGCACTTCCACCTGGAGCCAACGTAGACTGCGCCGCTACTGCGAGAGGGATTGGCCGTGGAGCCAACAACGGTCTGTTAGAGCCAGACTGTCTCTGCTGCGAGAGGTCATGGCTATAATACCCAGCTGAGGATGGTGTTCCCAATGGCATCGGTTGCATTGGGGCATTTGGGGCCTGATTGAGATTGTACGCCCCAAATATGCCGATTGGGTTTTTGAAGACGACACGCTGTGCATAACCCTTGCATTCTCTCTTTGACTTGATACAATTGCTGCATATGGGCTTCTCTTCTCCGCATTTGATCCGCCGTTGTCGACAAGCTATGTTACAGCCGGTCAACGAAGAGTTCTTGTGCAAAAACCTGCCATTAGTGCCTTGCAAACGTACTTAAACAACCAGTCTTTGTGCGTTTTTTGGGGACCTTCTGCGCAGACGCGCTCTCGGGCTTAGTATCGTCCTCAGCAATCGCTTTCTTCCCCGCGACTGGTCCATCAGCTGCTTGATCCATATTCCGAGCATTTGCCAACGGAGAGCTCTCAGGATCCTTTGGCTTCCCCATTATGAGGAGCAATGTGATGAGTTGAGGCCAGTTCCATGCCCGAAAGGCAATATAACGGATGGAATCAAAGGCAAGCTCTAAGGAAGGAGGAGGAAGGTTAAGGGAACAAGATGATAAGAGTTCCTTGGGCCAAAACCGTTTGCATAAGTGGGGAGATGCGATTCTGCTGGAGACAGCCCCGAGGTGAGTAGCACCAATAGAGCACCTATGTTAATTCTCGGTCAGGGTTGCCAGAGTTGTCCACTAGAGTCTATTTAGCATTTGGCCTTCTTTGGCTCCGCCACTGGTCGGAGAGCTGAAGCTTCCAGTTTCATTGACGAATAGTCTTCCGTTCTCTTTTTTTTTGCTTTTTGTGCAAGGGCCCGACGAGCAACTTCAGAATTCAGATTTATTCAACCAATATTGTCAAAGCGCTGGCTTGTAGTGGGGAGTTGTCGATTTTGAATTCCAGATTCCAAGATGAATGATGGCATATGCTGAAGCGTTGTTGTAATGGGGCTCATACCAGCTGGAGGTGCAAGGGATGACAGGGGGCTGGGTAAGAGAAGTTGCTTTTTTTCTTGCTCTCTGTGTGCATAGAGCTGAACGTATTTTTGAGTTTTCACCCCCGAATTCTCCATATAACTCCGGGATTTGTTGAGCCAAGGTTGGACGCAGTCACACAAATGCGACTCTTCAGAAGGCAACTTGTATGTACGGAGTAGTAGCACTCGTATTTCGTGTCGCACGGGAAGACGCTGCTTCAAGGTATTCCCTTTTTGATTCGAAGAAATTCCAACTAAGAAAAGAAAGAGTAAGCTGATCCAGATTGCTCGTCAACTACGATCAAGCTCAAAAAATAGCTCATGTGCGATGTCTCACCAGCATGGCGATGATTATTGTTGCTGACTGCGGAGCTCCGCGACACTAAAGTAAAGTACTCAAGGAGTCAAGGTACCTTGGGCGGGACTAGATTATCTCATACTCTGACCGCCTCTGAGTACTGACGGCAGAGAATGGTTGTTTCTCACCGCCAACCATTTTTTCTCTCTCTTCATTTTCCCATAGTGTCAGACCAGTCTTGGAAGTATCGTGTAGGAGAGGGTATTCTGGCTCTGTCTCATATACGGAGTCAAGCCAGTCGGAGACTGCATACTTGGATCTATCACTATAATTGTCTCACGAATGCAACCATACGCCCGTTGAGCGCAGTGCAATCATGTTTGCTGTTCCAGGATGGTCCGTTTCGAGTTCTGCTCTAAAGCAGCAGACTGACCCTGCATTGAAATCCCAGAGTCAGTCCCAAGAGGGCCAAGGGGCGCAGGAATCTCATGGCAAATCGAACAAGCGGAAGCGAGGCAATGATAATGTCACCAAGGCCAATGTTGATGCAATGTACCGTCGGCATATCGAAGGGCAGAAAGGCACTCCGAAATCGCAGAAGCAGGGCGCAAACAATACCGTGAAAGCTGAGAAGAAACAGAAGAAAGATCACAAGTCACAGGTTGGAGAAGCCTCTGTTGCAGAGAAGCAATCAGCGCCTGACCGCCAGCCCAAGAAAGAGAATGCGAAGGCTCTACCCGGTGCATCGAGCAGTGTTCAAGATAATGGATCTAAGCAGAGCAAGACGGACAAGAAGAACAAACAAAAGAACAAGAAAAAGGATCAGCAGCAACAGGAAGACAAACAAGTAGCCACCCAGGGAGGTGAATCTGCTCTCCCTGCTGCTCCACCGAAGACGGAAGCAATTCTTACGCCTCTTCAGCAGGCGATGCGGCAGAAATTGATTTCCTCCCGTTTCCGCCATCTTAACGAGACGCTGTACACTACGCCATCGTCCAAAGCCCTCGAGCTGTTCACTTCCAACCCCGAGCTCTTTGATGAGTATCATGCCGGTTTCTCCCGCCAGGTCAAAGAGTCGTGGCCTTCCAATCCCGTTGATGGTTATACCGCAGCTATCCGCAAGAGAGCAGGTGTACCATCTGGCAAGAGAGGAAATCAGTCAGATAATAAGAAACGCACCCAGGCTCTGCCTCTTCCTCGGAGACCTAACGGTCTCTGCACCATTGCTGATCTCGGCTGCGGTGATGCGGCCCTCGCACGCATTCTAACTCCCTCCGCCAAGAAGCTGAACCTGAAGCTGCTCAGCTACGACTTGCATGCCCCCGAAGGCTCGCTCATCACTAAGGCAGATATCTCCAACCTACCAATCGCCGATGGCTCAGTCGATCTGGCCATCTTCTGTCTCAGTCTGATGGGTACCAACTGGGTGTCGTTTGTGGAAGAGGCATGGCGGGTCCTTCGCAGCGATGGTAAAGGTGAATGCTGGGTTAGTGAAGTTAAGAGTCGATTCGGGAAGGTGACTCGCAAGAAGGCGCAGATTGGTGCGCGGAAACCACTCAGCAAGTCAGAAAAGAAGAAGCTGAAGAAGAAGAACGGGGGTGACGATGATCCTGGCTCGAACGTTGACGACGAGGAGATCTATGCGGAGGACGCTCGTCAGGCCAATGATGATGAGACTGATATCTCGGCTTTTGTTGAAGTGTTCCGTACACGGGGCTTTGTCCTCAAACCCGAGTCGGTTGACAAGTCGAACAAGATGTTTGTGAAGATGGAGTTCGTCAAACAAGGTGCCCCAATGAAAGGCAAGCATGTCAAGGCCATTGCGCCAGCGGCAGGTGGTGCCGGCAAGAAGAGATTCATCGATAAGACCGCTGATGCTGGTGCCGGCATGTCTCCTGAAGAAGAGGCCCGCGTCCTTAAACCCTGTGTTTATAAGATTCGATAGTGGATCTGTATCTGCTCGTGTGACTCTCTTGATTTTTGTATATACTTCAAAATGAGCGTGCCATTACGAGTAAAAGGTACAAAAGAATAGTGTTTAGCTCTACGAGATTGATAAACAATAGACGTAATCTCGGCATTAGACAAGTGCTCGTTGTTCCTTCCTATCAGATGTCAAGACAGATAGCGGTGCACTGCAGATCATACCAGTTCCTCTGATGCATCATTGTCCGTGTTAGGACCCCGCTCATTGATTACCACCCAGTTGCGCCACAGCCCGTCCCATCTCTTCGTCGTCGTAGATCCGGAATCCCTTCTCCTTCGTCACGCTCGCCAACTGGACGTTCTTCGCGTCCAATTTCTCCTCCATGACCTGTTTCAACGTCTTCAGAACGAGTGTCTCAGCTTCAGCCAGTGTCAAGGACCGGTGGTATTCATTCTGCAATTCCGCCTGCGCACCCTCGCTTCCGGACCCGATGGCCTTTGCGTCATATCTGTAGAATGTACCGGACGGTTCGGCGTGATATCTAGAATTTGAAAGTATGATTAGCATATCCAGAATCCGAAACGAGCCAAATCACAACTAAAAGTGAAGCTGTGCCATCGGAGGGCTATGGCAGTTGTCCAAACGTTGCACATACAGTTGCGGCCCATCCTCATCGTAACCTGCGATCAACAGAGCAACACCAAAGGGTCTGCTCATAACGCTTTCATCATCATCTCCAGTCTCCCCGAACCGCAGCGCAAGATCACAAATAGCCTGAGTGGTGCTCTCCACTCTCAGTGGCTCGGCGTAGTGGAAAGCGTGGTTCTGGCACTCAACGCGGGCATGCTCGACTAAGGACCGGGCATCTGCCTGCAAACCGGACATAGCACAGCCAATATGCTGGTCGATCTCAACGATCTTTTCGACGGACGAAGCCTCGAGGAGGGTAGATGTGACGCGCTTCTCAACGCCTAGAATAACACCTTCCGAAGTTGCTACCTGAAGGAGAGTTAAAAGGTTGATCTAAGTCGTGCCCAACGCTTCACCTCCAGACTATCGGAGACAATTTTCCCAGCGCCGGAACAGAAAATAGGGAGATAGACATACGCCGATCGCTGTAGAGCCCAGTTTGATAGCTTCGAGAGAGTATTCGACCTGGAATAGACGCCCTTCGGGAGAGAAGGTGCTGTGGTGATTTCATCGTCAGATCTGAAGGTATATTTTAAGGACAACAGAAGGAGGCTTTAGGGCCCATACTTGATTCCACGGTCTGTTGGAAACACTGGTATTAGCTGACCGCATCGGAGAGCGAGGTGTCATAGAGCTTACCATATTCTGATCGCGCGATGAACATGGTGACTTATCAATCAGTGATATCAGGAGCAAAGTAAGAATATAGAGAGTGTGGTATTCAGGATACAAGCAGATGGAGCACAGGAAGATGAATAAAAGAAAGGTGAGCAGATGGCGATTAAGTGGAAGCTGTTCTTGGAGCTCGGACGAAGCTCTCAGCAGTACGCAAGTCGACGGAGGGCCTGGCGGAGAGTGGGTTTCCAGCCTCAGGCAATAAGGCAGCAGGAATGCCTGAGCTCTTAACTCCGCTGCCTTACTCAATCAGGAAATGTAAACTGCGGTGCGATACAAGCCAAGGTACCCGCGTTTACAGTCATTCAATTCCTCAATTCCAGAGCTATCATTTTCTGCTATTATCTTTGTCGCATGGTTGGCTCTATAGCACTCATCTACCCCGGATTATGTCCGTCAATGAGCGTCGTGCCAGTCACATGGGTGCACCGCGACCCCGCGTAGCCTCGCATCGCGTCGACGACGCTGAGAAAGCGGCTCTGCGCAGCGCCCCATCTCCACTACAATCAGAAAATATGGAGCATCTTCGCGGGAGTACTTCGAGTCAGAAGAGCAAAGCGTCCCGTGAACAACAAAATATCACGAGCGAGAAGCGCACTGAGCGGATGACGATCAACACGAAAGAGAAGACCCAGATCCGAACGCGAAACCCGATCAGAGAGTCAACCAGTGCAGGAAACCGAGGAGAATGGGAGAAACCTCGACCGAAGAGGGCCACTCTGACAGATGGAGCCAATCCTGCTAACGTCCGGAAGAAGGAGAAGGAGCCGGCGGATGGTCAGTTTAGAACCCATCTCCCCGCACATTGTATACACATATTAACTATGGAATAGTGCCAGAGCCTTGGACACCGCAAGCCGCACTGATTCCTCACTCTACGGCGCCCTTAGCCAGTCGTGTTTCCGTACCTCCTCTCGCCTCCACGCTGCCTCAATGGCTCCATCCCTCACCCCTTCGCGAACTTTCCGCCGATCAGCAGGAGACTATAATACTGGAGGACTTGCTGTTCGTATTCATGGGGTTCGAGGGTCAATATATTCACTATCACAGCTCTTATGATTCCTCCGTTGAAAAAGACCGCTTGGCCGGACCAACCTTCCAATTGCCGTCAGGGCTGGACCCGACGCTGAGGGACCTGACTTCAGCAATGCTAAAGATGGCGACCCATTACAGTGCATTGGAAGCGTTTGTCGAAGTTCAGAGTCGCGCTGAGTACGGAGCTGTCAGCCACGCATTGTGCGCTACGATCCGGAAAATACTAAAGGACTACTTGATTCTTATTGCTCAACTGGAAACTCAGTTGCTCAACAATCCCACCTTTACACTACACATGCTTCATCTTCATACTATGCCAACCAGCCAATGCCTAGCGCAGTTATACTCTCTCGGCCAGGAGCTGCTAAGACGGAACGGACTATTGGATCAGGACCTCGACGAGTCCATCGACGACTTCGATGACGTGGATAATATTCTGGAGCAGCTCAAAGAAGGCGGAGATCTGGTGCCAGGAGCCATGTCCAGCAAGAAGATTTGTAAAGGAGGCAATGTGCTTCGATTACTCACAGAGCGATTGGCCACATTCTCGGGAGATCCGACTACGAAAACTCTTGTAGAGAAGCTGCTGCGCGAGGCTAGTCGACCTTATATGGCGATGCTCAATGAGTGGCTGCACCAGGGCGATATCAAAGATCCGCATGCAGAGTTTCTCGTTAAAGAGCAGAAGTGGATTAAGCGAGAGAAACTGGAGGAGGACTATACGGACGAATACTGGGAGAAGCGGTATACGATTCGCGAAAACGAAGTTCCTCCGCAGCTGGAGGGCGTAAAAGACAAAGTGCTTTTGGCTGGCAAGTATCTCAACGTGGTGCGAGAGTGCGGCGGGGTCGATGTGAGTCAAGAAGTGAACGACGTCCCCAGCACTCTGGACGATCCCAGGTTTTTGGAGAACGTCAATGCGGCCTATACTTATGCCAACGCGTCGCTGTTGAATCTTCTCCTAACTAAGAACTCGCTCACGACTCGATTTCGCTCCCTCAAGCATTATTTTTTCTTGGACCGTTCGGATTTCTTCTCATACTTCCTTGAACTCGGCGCATCGGAATTGCGCAAACCAGCCAAGAGTGTCAATGAGAATAAACTTCAGTCACTACTTGACCTTGTGCTGCGCCAGCCTGGTAGTATCGCGGCATCCGATCCCTTCAAGGAGGACGTCAAAGTGCGAATGAACAAAATCGGGTTGACCAAATGGCTAATGCAAGTGGTCAGTGTTTCTGGTATCGATCAGGAGAATCCCGAGGCGGCCTTGGAAAGATATCAGGCTCCACAAAACCAAAGTGGGGAGGACGATAAGGATATTGTTGGATTTGATGCTTTGGAACTCGATTACTCCGTTCCTTTCCCTCTGTCACTTGTGATTAGCCGCAAAACCGTTCTTCGGTATCAACTGATTTTCCGACATCTTCTGTCGCTACGCCATCTGGAGACGCTCCTGGTGACCTCGTGGTTGGATCAAAATAAGGTTCTTGGCTGGAGGCACAAGTCCTCGGATCAACGATTGGAGATGTGGAAGAGGCGTGCATGGAGTCTGCGCTCGAAGATGCTCGTCTTCGTTCAACAGCTGCTCTACTTTTGCACCGCAGAGGTTATCGAACCCAACTGGCAGAACCTGATGGATAGGGTCAATGGTACTGATGCCGACGGATCAGAAGTGACCATCAATGGCACTAAACAAGTCAATCGAACTGTGGATGAGCTGATGCAGGATCATGTGGATTTCCTGGACACATGTCTGAAGGAGTGCATGTTGACTCAGGCAAAGCTGCTGAAGGTTTGTCGCTCATAACATTGCTGTGGCAATGGATCGCTCACCTTGAACCTAGATTCACTCCAAACTGATGACCTGCTGCACCATGTTCGCGTCCTGGACAGCCGCCTCCCTTGCACGGGCTTTGGCTTCCGCCGACCTAACCTTGACTGGTAACAAGGCAGCTAATTCCGATGGTCGAGGTTACGACCCCACACGAATTGGAAAACTTGAGGATACCTTGAAGAGATATGAAGACCATTTCAACAGACATCTGCGAATCCTGATGGACAGGTATGCAAACTGATTCTCCAACAAGGGTCACTTGGGTCTTGTGAGACATGAAAACTGACCATTTCCGTTGTAGCCTGAACTACTTCGCTGCTACGGAGAGCGTCGTCCTTCTCAAATTGGCCCATGCATTGAGCTCTATTAGCAAAGAAGATTGAAGGTCAAGTCTGCTGGCGACTTCTTCTCCGCATGAGACGTTTTAACACACGGTCACTCACTGTATCCGGGACGATGTGCTGAGTACACTCTGCCTGCGGATAGACCTCACCATCTCACACGAATTGCACAACCTCACCAGCTTTCTACTGTCAATGAGGCTGGGATTCATTCGAGAAACCATGCCTTCTGATAGGAAGATCTCTTGGGCATTCGTTTCGTCTGTCTCCTACATCGGGACACCAGACTAGACATACAGCCGGCAACCACACCCGACACATTCGGTTGACAATTGAGCTGCTTCCGCCGATTTTTCTCAACTGACCGATGCCTTCAAAACATGGACTGAGACAGCCATTATGTGGCCACGCATATCACAATAACGTATAGGTTTGAGCACATGGGGTGCAATATGCTTTGAGAATCAATCATGATACCATGTCACTTATGATAGAGACGTGTTCTTACCATTGCCTCAAGTATACAGCAAACCAGATAGCCAAACTTGAGTTTATGAGTGAAATGAAACCAGGAAGCGATCCATGGAGCTCATATGTGACCTAGATCTGACAGTAAATATCATGTTGAATTTCACGAGACGAGTGGTGAATGGGAATGGGGTAAAACGACGTGATTAGAAGCGTAAGATAGGATGTCATTCAAATCCCTAGGTGCTCATAGGAATGGCATCTTAAACAGGCTACATTAAAGCAGCAAGATGTCAGCGCTAAAACAGGAGAAGTGCCGCGACATCCGCCCACCGCCATCAATCAAGGGATAGCGTGATACCAGGCAGAGTGAAGCACTCCCTAGGAACTTGCTATCCTCGCTGTTATGATATGATGGACAATCCATAATACAGCTACATTTAACCCAGAGTAATCTGTAGAAGAGGTGGTGAAGATATTCATCACATCATCATCATCATGTCACTTATCGCCAGGAAGGTCGTCCTGCCTGCTCTCGCAGTCGCAGGAATCGCCCTCCTGACCCCTGCCATGTACCGCGACTATCGCATCTTCATGTCCTACGGACCTGGTGGGATTCCCTACAATATCCTCGGCTGGTTCGCCTCCAACGTCGTCCTCGGCCCGTTCGGAAAGGAGATGTTGTCAACAGAAATATACGATCGTCACATCCAGGCGGGTCACAGAACGAGTCATCTATCCAGTGTCCCTGTGAAAGCTAGGGAGCGGCCCGTTGTGGGCCCGCATGCGGTGCCACAGAGACAGTTAACAGAGTTCCCAAACGGATCAATCAAGGAGGTATGACACAGACAGCTTCAGGGCTTGTGCTCGAGAGTCGTCAGATACAGAGACGGACTGACGCTCTAGCAGAAACTGATCCAGGAGTTCGTCGCATTCGTCGCCCGTAACCCTCATTTGGTCAGGATGGCCAATTCAGGACTAGAGTTACACGCCGATGCACTCTTTGTAGCTGAGACCTTACCAGAGGGTCCCACGCTCCAAGAGACAAACGGCGAGATTGCACACATCCATCGGTTGAAGGACTCATCGGTCCATGTTACATTGGCACCGGCAGATTGTAAGTCAAGAAATTTGCGAGCATTGAAAGCAGTGCAGTACCAGGCCAACTAATCCATCCATGGTGTCCACCAATAGGTAAGAAGGTTATTGAGTCTGGATGGGGACAACGTCATGCTCTATCTGGCGTCAGTGTTCCCCGAGCCCTGACACTAGGGCGAAAGATTGCGCTACCGGCCGAATACGTCCTCATCTATGCACCCCGAACAGAAGAGGAAGTCGCCTTCGTGATGGAGGTCATTGGCGCGAGTGTCAAGTATATGACTGGTTCAGACGGAGTCAACTAAATCGACGATCAGGGAATACGTGGTGGAGAGGATGACAGCGACAATTCGAGATTTAGGGAGAGCTTGTTTGGATATCCATGCAAAGCAGGAACACTCCCAAATGACACGACCGGTTTCCTTCCGCATCATGCTCCATTTCTTGGTCAAGTGTTCAGCAAATATCTGTAAATTCGCATCGATCCGGACCCGAATGTGGGATTTATGGGTAACTAGAGCCAGGATGTTGAGACAAAATTAGTGGTACTGTCCGTCTCGACAATATGATAGGAACAGGTCCTTGTTCAACGAGTAGGTAGCAGACCGTCAAGCTTCAGACTCGGGGGACGTGAAAGGAAATTGGTCTAGGGGGCTTGAAGTCTGCACAGACGGAGTCGAAATAGTGGGAGAACACGAGGCGGACGATTAGTTCACGCACTAAAGGGACCAGCGGGTTACGGCCCCAACCGCCGTTTTCCCTCCCGAAAATTGAACCATGGTTCTGGGTTTGCTGTGAGGAATCTCAGTATCTGACAGGCCCGATGATGCTCATGTTTCGACTTTCGCCTCGACTGTAAACCCGACAACCTGGATGCTGCTAATCCGGCTCTGTCCGATCATCTCGGCGTGGGTAGAATCTGAGATCCATCTCGAGTCTGAATACCTGCCGCATTTTTCTGCTGCCAATGCTCCTTCCGCACTAATAAAGATGGATTCCTCATTCTACACCACGGGAACACTTGAGTCTGGGCTGCGCTCAGCGGGTCCTGAAGTCTGGATAGGTAGTCAAATAGCGAATCGTCACTTCGCCTCGCGGCCTCCGTCGTCAATTCTCACATAATAGCAAGAAATCGTGGGAGTAATGAAAATCAAGCCGCATGCCTCACACTGTCATGCTGATCTCCTCACGCATACCCCAACTTCCGAAAAAAAAATGATCAATATCGATATTAATGATCAACCATGCATAGTTCACATGTCTTTCAGGAAATGCCTTTGCTTGGTCTCGGACGCTTGGTAGACTCTCAAGGGAGCCGGTTCTCGCTAACAGACTGTCCTTTCGTTTGAGACTGACTATATCCACAATCTTCCGATCCACCGAGTCTCATTTGCTCATGTTCTGTCTCAGATGGCCATCGAAGGCAGTGCACGTCATTGGCCCATTCTAAAAGGCAGCTGCAAGCCGAGTGAGTCTGCTATTCTCAGTTTGGTTCGTGTCCCTTTCCAGAAACGCTCCAGGATCATTGGTTGAATAATGTCCTTGAATCACCAACATACCAACGAGAAGCGGTGAAAGGGCAAATAGCCTATACCAAGATCAGTTGGTAGAGGGGTTCGACGCAGGCTGGGAGAATAATGGAATGCGCTCCTAAACAAATGATAGACCTCCTGTCCACTTTTCGCATTCCAGATAGTACATTCTTAGGAGTAAGGAGCCAACAGCCAAGAGGATCGATCTGCACAACGAACGCACACTTTACATAGCATGTTTCTGGCGTACTGATTCTTCTCATCAATTTTGTCTGATTTTCGTACTTGAATTGCACCTGAAGAGTACCTGAAGAGTCCTAGGTCGCTCAGATTAGGTCTCCACTCAGCACACTTTCTTAAATGCCGTCATCGATATTCGAACTAAGTTTGCGCTTTCTGATTTCATCCATGCAACTGGAGTCTCTGTCTCTGGGGCCTGGAGTTGCAAGCGCAGGGAAGCCGTAGAAAGATGGTCAGAGACGAAAATCTGAGCAGGTGAATATCAGTCCTGGTTGTGCAAATCTTCGAGGCATGGGTAATGAAGGCCAGCTGCCACACGTGGGGTTGGCTACTCATGCATCCATCCGTTAGTGTTCAGAAGACTGTGCGTCTCCTGGTTATGTGTGGCGGATCCCCTACTGTCAGCACAATAATGTAGTTCCTTCTCATCCCCTGAAACCGAATTTCAGCCGCTCTCTTCTCGGCGATGTCCCAAACGCGACTACGTTAGGGTCCTTTCGTTGAAGTTGTTTTCCACTGCGCCTCAAGGACCCCTACACGATACGTACAGACGCCTGCGTCATCTGGCTTATCGGGGTCACCGGCGTATTTTCGCAAGGCAGAAGCACACTGAAAGATGCACGAAACCAAACCCATCAGTATCAGTAGCCAAGTCTCGGGGCATCTCATCTGCCGCGAATCAAATCAGCTCCCGGCATCTTCTGACTTTGGACGGGGTGTCGAAGGTCAAAACTGGTATCAGACCGTTGTGAAATAGGTCTACCTTTGCCTTTCCCTAAGCGCGATTGATGGCCCATTTCCTCCAACTCTCAGGAGCACACAAGCACAGGGCTTGGAGAAAGCCCTAGAGATCTCCCAACTGTCTAATTTCGTCGGCATTTGGGTGGCCCCTCCGGGAGACACCGCCGACCCCTCCTTCCCCTACCAATTTGCTTGGATGTCAGAGACTTAATCCAAATACGGTAATCGGGTTTGTACCTGTTGATCATGAATACTATCATCTCTTCGAGGTCCCAGCGTAGTAGTGTGTGGCTTAGAGGAAAGACGATGGTGATGCTTTCCCCGTTGTAGGGTTTTGTGGTTTGAACGGGCTTCTGCCAATGACCTGGCTTGGTTCTTCTGTGCAATACAGTGGATAGGCACTGGACTGAGCGACTGGACTGAGCGGATTTTTCCCACCGTCCGCACATTCTAGTACGAATACAGAGTCCCACCTGGTACTCTTTTCAGACTGTTCCATGAGGGTCAAGATACCCTCTTTCTTGTCTGTATCAAGTGGAAGGGGTCCTACCCCTAGTTTTTTGCACCACATCGTTCACTTCAATATACGTGCTTCTTCGCCATTGCCGTCCCGCATTTGCCTGTGGTCATATAGACCTGCCCGCCGTTAAGAATCCCTTCGCCACTCTTTATCCCATCCGTTGGGGTGTACGTACTGGGACAGCATCGTCGTCAAAAAGTGAGAAATTGCGAGACGAAATGACGTACTTCTTCCGAGTCCTCTTGAGCACAACGAGGCGAGAATCGCTAACATTTTCACTACCACAAGGAGCCCGGACTCGGAAACGGAGGAACTGGACGAAATATACCTCCATACGATCGCCATTTACGGCCGAGAATTCCAAAAGTTCTCGCTTGATAATCGGATAGCGCTCGAGCCAGTTGACGATGTAAGGTCGAGACCTGTCCATGTTGGCATGCATTGACCATCGTCTGCTACCAGGATGAGATAGAACGCCTTGACCTCCAACACCGAGTATTCTCGAAAATCTTCGACGGTCGTTTAATCTTTCCCCCGATTCCCCGACTCCGCAGAATACTTGACTGTGGTTATGGAGCTGGATCTTGGGCTGCGGATGTTGCTATACAGTTTCCAGACTGCAAGGTGAATGTGACCAACCCATGTCTAGCGACGAAGCTAACGATCTGGATTCGAGCAAGGTGATCGGTCTTGACATATCTCCGCATAAAAATCCCGACGACACACCAGATAATCTGTGGTTACAGGTGGGCAGAATCCCTTGACGGCATGGGATCCTTCGGAAGACACACCCCAGCGGCCATAGCGGCGGAAGCAATTAGCGACAAGTACCTGGCTGACGACTGATCAGATTGATGATCTCAATCGTCGTTTCACGTTTCCCTCGAATCATTTTGATCTTGTCCATTCCCGTCTCCTCGCCACAGGCATCAACCATAACAGATGGCCGTCCTATCTCGCAGACATGAAAAGGTGCGCTCACTGTTAGGGAAGGCCTATGAGAGCCGTACCAAGCCAAATGAGAGACAGGATACTAACGTGTTGGACTTTATTAGAGTCCTAAAGCCAGGCGGTTGGGCGCAATTGGTCGAGATATATTTCAACGTTCAATCGGACAACGGCTCTATTACCGAACAACATGCTTTGCGACGTTGGAGCACACAAATTCTGAGATCATATGAAGAAAAAAAGGATCTACGCGTGGGGACGCGTCTGAATTCTCTTCTCCGAGCGGAAGGGTTCCAGGAAGTCGATGCGAGAATGATTCCTCTTCCCCTCTCAGCGTGGTCGAACGGTTAGTCCACCTGAAGCAGTATAGGTGCATATTGCTCATACTCCCATAGATCCAAGAATGCGAGATATTGGCTTGCTGAATGGAGAAAATATTCAAAGGCTTCTCCCGTCGCTAGCTCTCTATCCATTGACTCAATTGGCACGGATGCCGCAGCAAGAGTTTCAAGACCTCATTACTCAAGCTCAACAGGAGGCAGGAGCCGCAAACTTGAAGCCGTATTTTCCGTTGTAAGTGACGGTTCCTTTGGTGACCATGCTATTTTCTAACAGGCCAGGTACGTTTGCATTGGAAGGAAGCCACTATAGACGCTGCAGATTTTAGATATGAGTAAGTTCGCTGGGAATGTGCCTACTCACCCTGGAGGACAAATGAGGGCCTCAGTTGGCTCGAAGCACACTGCTACTTGAACTTCCGCAAAGAAGAGAGAAGAACTCACGTATCCCTATTGTCGGATTAGGCTGCTGTGTCATTCCAGTTTAGATCATTTGCATATGGAATGAAAGTATGGAGTTGAGTGTCCTTTTCCTACCCTATCTCATTTGAGTGGTTGCAAGCACAGAATAGCAGTCCACGACCTGGAAGATCTCCGTGACTTTTTCTTTTGTCTATTGTGGGTTGACGAAGTTGTATTAACAGCACTGCGAATCTTGTTGAAGATGAATTAAGGGCCCTGGGCTCGGTCGGCTTGAAGAAGGTCAGTCACCGACGTTAATTAACATAGAAATAGGCCGGGAGAGAGCCTCTCTAAATCTTCAAGCAACCTTTCAACGAAAAGGGGGGTAGAAGTAAGGTCATTCGGTGTTGTCCAGACCATCGGTATGGCCTCCACTGGTCTAAAATACGTCATCCTGATCAGTCATTTTTGACTGAGGAGCCGAGCAATATCATTGATTTTCTTCAAAAAATGAGAATATTCGTCGACTCGCGAGGTCATGGCGAGTCTTGAAGAATATCCAAATGCCGGCAGCTCGGATCCGGTCTAACAGGGTACCATGCTTCTAATTAGCGGGCTATCGAACATTAGGACACCCAGGGCTTGAGGCATCTCATCTAACAAACTTACTAGATCCTGAGAGTCTGCATCAGTTGGGTGAGATAGATGTGCAGCTGATGTTGGAGAAATCCTCTACGAGACAATGAAGAGGATGAAATGTTCCATAACACAGGTATAATTGATACCTAAAGGCGCGAGGCAAGAGACGAGTGGAAGAGAAGAAAAGAGCAACATAATGAAGGGGTCCGATAGAGAGAGACTGTCACGGGTCCGGAACCAAACTGACGGGACCTCGATTATCGAACCTTCCCAGGGACCAAATGCCAGAGACACAGGTAGCTCGAGTGACTAGGTCTCTCACTGTTGAGTCCGCCTCGCCACTCTCTATGCTGATCTGTTTATGGTAATGCTGCATCGATGCACTCTGTCACTTTCACGAACGTCTACATACATCGAATGTGCCCGAAACGGATCAAAAGTCGTGTTGACTGACTCGACACCGGTGACCGTCAGTGATCCACCCGATGCCTGAGCACTATTTTACAGGGAGCAAGAACGTGGGATTGGATTGTGATACTACACCTCCAAGGCCCGCTTACATTCTGCAATGTGCACGATGGTCCCGGTTCCAGCACGGTCTTCATTGAGTCCGAAGCGGCACTGATGGTTCCTTGGCGGCCGCCTTCTCGACTGCTTTGGAAGATCCGTGGCAACCGAGCTTAATTAAGCTCAATAGCAGAGTTGCGAAGATAATGTCACAACTGTTTGGATGGATCGGAAAGAGCAAACGACCTGAGGACAACCATGGGCTGGGAGGGGTGTTGCTAGGGATGAATGATCGCTTATACTGAGAATACATAACAAGAATGGACATTGAATCTTGTTCTCTACAGAGAAATGCTACAGCGAACAGCATGAGACGATATTATCATTGTTGGCTGATGCACCTATCCCCAAGCGATCACTCCAAGGAATGTGAACCGTATACTCGGGACGGTTGCCTTACTTCCCAGACCAATGGATCTGAAGTAGCGGTATAATGGCATTTTCGCTAACCTCTAGATAGCTAATTGCAATTTGCAAATGGTAATGGAATTATTCACTAAGGCCTGGTATTCAACAGATCCGTACGGAGTAGGCTTAGATGTCCAATGATAGTGGCAGTCTATGCTGATCGCTGACTACTACAGCACACGTTGGGTGATGTGGCGCTTGGGCGCTTATAGCGCAAAACAACCCAGTAGAGGTGCCTGATTGATGCCTTGGAATTAAGGCCTAAAGTACGCCCAAACGGGTAAGTGTCCGCGCTCTGGGCGGGGAGAAAAAAAGTTGGCTCCAGCTGGAAGACTTTCAAGCTCATCAGTCTTCTCGATCAGCACATCAGCGGAGCAAGATGCCTTCCACCTACAAGAGAGACAAGCCGTGGGATACGGAGGATATTGACAAATGGAAGGTTCGTACTCAGTCTCCAAGAAACAAAGATAAAAAAGTGGCCATCAGACTTGTTTCTTTTCTCTAACGTGAGGCATCTGCGATTTAGATCGACCCATTCAAGCCCGATGACAATGTTGCCGGAAGTTTTGCAGAAGAGTCGTCCTTTGCGACTCTGTTCCCCAAGTATCGCGAGCAATACTTGAAAGAGGCCTGGCCTGTTGTCACGAGAGCGCTGGAGAAACATGGGATTGCCTGTACGCTCGATTTGGTTGAGGGTAGTATGACGGTGAAAACCACTCGCAAGACCTATGATCCAGCAGCCATCCTCAAGGGGCGCGATCTGATCAAGCTGCTATCGAGAAGTGTGCCTGTGCAGCAGGTGAGCATCCTGACCACTTTTTTCCTCATATGTCATTTGTCCTCTTGCTGACTTATTGGCTTCAATTGCAGGCTCTGAAAATCCTCGACGACGAGGTCGCATGCGACATCATCAAGATCCGCAGTCAGGTTCGCAACAAGGAACGATTCGTGAAGCGTCGCCAACGACTTCTCGGCCCCTCCGGCTCTACCTTGAAGGCCCTCGAACTCCTTACCAGCACTTACATCCTCGTTCAGGGTAACACTGTGGCGGCGATGGGTCCCTACAAAGGCCTAAAGGAGGTGCGCCGAGTCATCAACGACTGCATGGCCAACATCCATCCGATCTACCACATCAAGGAGCTCATGATCAAGCGCGAACTCGCCAAGGATCCCACTCTGGCCAACGAGTCTTGGGACCGGTTCCTACCCAACTTCAAGAAGCGCACGCTGTCGAAGCGCCGCACGCCGTTCAAGGTCACCGACAAGTCGAAGAAGGCGTACACTCCATTCCCGCCGGCGCCGGAGAAGAGCAAGGTGGATCTGCAGATCGAGTCCGGCGAGTACTTCCTCTCCAAGGAGGCCAAGGAACGGGCGCAGAAGGAAGAGGTCATGGAGCGGCAGCGGGTCAAGCGCGAGGAGAAGATGCAGGAGCGGGCCAAGGCGTTTGTTCCTCCCGAGGAGCTGCAGGCCGAGAAGGAGAGGAAAGAAAAGAAAGAGAAGAAGAAGCGGAAGCGCGAGGCCGAGGCCGAGGCCGACGTCGAGGGTTCCGAGAAGAAAGAAAAGAGAAAGAAGAAGAAGAGCAAATCGAAGGACGATGCATGAAGGGTGTGAGAAACCGCTTCTTCAGTCTTTGGTTCTGGGTTCTTCTGTCTGTTTCTCGTTTGTCTCTTCGAGTACGGCGCTTAGGCATAGCATGGGCTGGAGTTCATCTTCTTTATTTTTCTTTGCAAACGACAGAGGAGGGGAAAAGTTACTTGGGGACGTCAATGTGTCTATCTATGTATGTATGTATACCAGCAGCTCATCGTAGCTGTTCTCCGATACCAATTGAGACTGTTCAATTCTATTTTATTTCGCAAGTCAAAGCCCTGTCTCTCTCTCTCTCTTTTTCCTTTTACATGGAGCATACCCATCCACCCCAAAGAGAACAGTCATCTACACCTTCACTCCGTCGCCAGACTCCTGCTCGAAGCGCGCCTTATTCTGAAGAAAAACCTCCTGCTCGCGTCGACTCTTCTTCAGATCGACGCCGAAAAGCAGAATCCCGAAACTAAACAGACTGAGCGCAAAGAGGAAGTAGAACGGGGTGGACACGTTCCCAGACGGGCTCGCATCGATGATCGCGCTCGAGACAATCGGCCCGATGAACGAGGACGTCTTGCCGATGATGCTGAACAGGCTGAAGAAGAGGAACTCGTGGCCGCGCGGGGTGACCTCGGAGATCATGATCTGCGAGTAACTGTACCAGGGGCAGACGAAGAGGCCGTAGAAGGCTTGGTAGACCTAGTTGTGGTCAGCGCTACTCCCAATGCAACCTAGACTTTCCTTCTTAAGATAAGACAAAGAGCGACTTACCCAGACCTCCCAGGCTCGGTGGAAGCCGAATCGCTGTGTCCAGATTCCGATCATGCCCCAGCCGTCGAGGAGGATGATTCCCACCGCGACGGCGTTGAACATGGTCTTTGTGCTGAGGTGGTATCGGCGTTGGAGGAACCAGAAGGTGTAGATGCCGATCGCCTATTCGTTGGATGTTAGGGCCGGAAAAGTGTCTTGTTTGCTCTTCGCTTGGACGGGGGGGCTGGCACTGACCTGAGCTGCGATGCCGACGATCAAGAGATATGTGAGTTGTAGCGTATTATATGCGACAATGCTATTTTGCAAGGTTGCGATCACAGTCACGGTGGTGTTGAGGGAATCGCCCAGAAGAAAGTAGCCTTTCTAGTCAGCTCTACCTATCAGACCGCGACCACCATGGACTCACCAATTAGGTATACCAAGCTCTGCTTGAGCTTCCATACATCCCTTCCCGCCCGGTACAGCTGCATGAGTCCCGCGACGATGATATTCCCGCGCGGATCCTGGCCCGGCCGTCGTTTCTCGAGGAAAAACCAGGGGAGGGAGACGAGCAGCCACACCCCCGAGGCGAACGCAACCAGCACGCTCAGCCCCCAGTTATTATTCTCCGGGCTGTCGTCCACCCGCAGGCCGAACATAATCCCAACGATGATCGCGAGGATGAATATCTCCGCCACGGACTGCACATAGAAGGCCACGTTCGCCAGCCGGCTGCGCTGCATCGTATCCGCGTCGTCGTACTCGTCCCGCGAAATCTGCCCGGCGACATACGCATCGGCCTTCTCCTTCATCTCGACGGTGTTGCGCGCCAGACCCGGGAACGCAGCCGTCCAGAACGTCAGCGTCGTCTGGTATGCGATCAGCCCGACGATGTACAGCCCCACCCCGACATGCCACTTTTCCTGCGTGTGGACGCCTAGCCAGCCGAAACCCAGTGCGTAGGCGATGAGCGAGAGCGCAATGAGGATATTCGGCCGCCAGGTCCCGAAGTCAGCGAAGCTGCCGAGCACCAGGAAGATGACGGTTTGGATGGCGAAGGAGATGCCGTTGCTGAGGAGGACGATGCTGTTGATGGAGCGTGGGCGGCCCGCAAAGAGCAGGGTGCCGCTGTCCCCTGCAGCCTGGTAGAGGAGATTCTGAAATGCCGTTGGGGCGAAATCTGGCGTGGATAATGGTGTCAGTTATTGGTGATACTGGTAGGTGGGCGTGTTGGCCTGACTTACTGAATAGTGATAATCCATTGTTCCCAATGTAGTATCTGAGAAATGTCAATATGAGGACAACAGTCTACTCAGTAACGCACGCATAATAGGCCCAAATCTCCCAGCGTGTGGTGCGGAATCGCTCGTCGAATTGATCGGGTGCTATGAGCTGCTCCGGGCCATCATAAATCGTCTGCGATGCCACTTGTTTGGACTGCTCATCACGACCAGATAACTCTGCATCCCCCAACTTCCGAGGCTGAGGAGTTGCCGACATGGCTGATTCTTTTCCCTCTCCTAACGCGAAGAATCGACAGGGGAATTAAAAAAGATACAGCTGCAGAATATGCAACCCTGCGCATTGTCCTAAGACGCGGGCACCACCACGACTCATGGGCAAATGCGCCCTTATCAAGAAAAATCCCTAGCTTAGTGGATACCCTCAGCGACTTCCCAGTGGTTTTTGTCTGCGTTCGCCCATTCCGTCGTGGTATTAGTGGATGAAAATAGTTAGAGAGCACGGAAACATCCAGTCAACTCTCAGCAGCCGTTAGTGCGACGCTGCTGCTTACTCCCGCGGGGCCGATGGAATCACGGAAAAGGCATCGTCTTTGAAAATGAAGAGCGTTGTCTGGATGATGCCACACTTTACTTCCAGAACAACGGTTCTCGGTATGCAAGGAAATCAAAATGGCATGGTATCTGGGCAGATCTACCTATATAACAGCCAAACCGTCTAGTATATACAAATGCCTATCAATGAACCTCGCGCCTCATCACAGTTTGGCCAGTCCACTATCTATCGAAGACCAGCTCTGCTCGTCTAGTTTCTGGTATGTTGTGCCGTTCAACCAGTACAGCTTGTCGCCTCCGGCCTCAGTACGGGGATTCCAGCCCTTCTTGGTCAGGTCACCCTTGGCTTGCTTGAATGTGACACCAGTCGCCACCCTGAAAGAAAGGTCATTAGTGCATGAACGCAGTGTCAATGCCTTTGCGTTAGGACTTACTTCTCCGTGAGACGAACGAGTCTCGGAATCGCATATGACGGCACACCCTTCTTCTTGAGCTCCTTGTGCAGGTTTGCCATGAACTCCACTTCCATAGCAGGATCCTCAAGGGTGATGCCTGCAGCACCGGCTTGACCGTCATAGCTTGTGGGGGTCAGCGTCGTACAATTGAGTTGCTGAGGGAAGGGGGCACTCACCCGCTCAGTTTCACGCCGTAGACCACAGCGTCGTGTACTGCCGGGATTCGGCAAATATGGTCTCTGACTTCGCCAGCGCTTACGTTCTCGCCCTTCCAGCGGAAGGTATCTCCGACACGGTCCTGGAATCTCACCCAGCCGGACTCGTCCTGGACGACAAGATCGCCCGTGCGTTGGAACAGATCGCCCTTCACGAACACATCCCGCAGAAGCTTCTTCTCGGTGGCATCTTCGTTGTGCAGATATTCGGTCAGCAGTGCCCGATCCTTGACACGGCCGATCGCCTCTCCTTCCTCGCCCAGCTTGGCCTTGATGCAGAACCCAGTCGCCGGGTCCCGATATGGCATCTCCGTCTCTGTATCATACTTTACAATGAAAGTATCCTCCTCCATGAACCTTCGAAGAGGCCCCGAGAAGCCCACCTTACCAGCGCCCCATACGCCTGGCCCGTGGTTGTCAAACTTGGCCACTCCCTCAGTGGACCGGTAGAATTCGCGGATCTCGGGGATATTGAATCTTTGCTTGAACCGCTCCCAGATCTCCCCACGCAGGCCATTGCCCGTTGCAACAATGCAGGCATGATATTGGTCGTAAGGGGATGGAGGTGTCGCCAGCAAATATCGGCAGAGTTCTCCGATGTACAGGATACGGGTGGCTCTGGAGTCATGCACATCTTTCCAGAACTGGGAGGCGGAGAACTTGCGACGTAAACACAGGGTGCCCGCGTTACCGACCGAGTAGCAAAGCCCGGTGAAGTAGGCCGTGCCGTGGAAAAGAGGAAGAGCGGAGTAGCTGCGCAGGGGATAGTACTTAGAGGGGCTTCGGGTGTCTGTACTGAGGGGAGTGGAGGTGATCATGTTCATCATGTTGCGAATACCGCAAGCCTTGGGCTTTCCGGTCGTGCCTGAGGTATAGATCAGTGCACAGAGGTCCTTGATCGAACGGTTGGCTGGCGCCAGGCCAGTGGGAGAGAATCGCTGGAGATCGGCAACAGTAATCAACTCGGTCGGCTCGACCGAGACGCCGTCAAAGGATGAGATATTGAGTGCGATATGAGGCAGATCGGAGCACACAAACTGGGACAGATCTGGGGTAGAAATGATGAACTTGGAGTCGGAGACGTCCAGGCAGTGGACGAAAGTGTCGTCTATCCATTATTCATTAGTTGTGGGGACACATGCAGGCATTCTCATCGTAATTCTTACCGCGCAGGTTGTTGTTAATCAAAGCAGCTACTGCGCCTAATTTCGACAGGGCATAGATGGTCACAACCATCTCAGGGGAGTTGGTGTTGAACACGGCCACGAAATCACCCGCCTTAATATCTCTGGCGTGCAACAGAGCAGCAAAGCGATCAACAACTATAAGCACAAGGGTCAGTTGATGTGGCAGGGAACATGATGAATTTTGGATAACGTACGGTCCTTCAATTGACTGTAGGTCCATGTCTTGTTCTCAAACCACAGCGCATCGCGATCACCATAACCTTGAACATCCACAACTCGCTCCAGCATCTTATACACAGTAGCTACCCCTTTGAGCTCACCGATGCGCTGCCCTAGGCGATTTGCCCACGCCCGGTCATTGAATATGTTGTTGAGATCAGTGGAGACGGAGAATTTTGCGTTCAGATACGCTCCAGCCGCGACGGTGAGGGCCGATGCCACCGCCAGCGACGGCGCAGAGATCTCCGAGAACAGCTCCATCGAGGCAATTCCAATGGTAATTGATATGCGACAGGGATGTATATGCGATTCGTGGTGGCGGGTCAACAATTCGACGTTCTTTCGAGTCTCTCTAGGCAATTCTTCTGCGCAGCATGCCCTCTTCGGTTCATGCAATCAACCTCAAGTCTGGACCTCTTCGTCCGGATATAAGAGCAGATATAGGGAGCTACTAATATCCCTCTGTCGGAAAATAGACCAGAGTCGGCGACAAGCAACGGGAGCTGAAAAGACGAGACTCTGCCGGCCATGGCGCGGAGGTAGTGTACTGGTATCTCTAGGGGAACGGCAATCGAAAGGCATATAGCAACCGATCCTAGGCACTGCACTGGCTGCTGCCATAGGTCCGGTGGCCTTTTTTCATCTGCCATTTTAGCCTGGAAATTCGGCGGAATAATAGCGCTAATGATTATTGCTAATGACCGGGGTACTTCCGTGGTGCTATTGGGGGGCCTTGGGGGACTAGTTAACTGGTTAACTGGTTGACGATTGAAGAAGTCCTACACTGTACTGTCCTCCCCAAAGACGAAGTTGTTTCTTCCCGTATTCAGGATATCTTGCAGTGATGCTGTCGTCTTGTCGTCTTCGAGCTTAGGGTTAGTTGATGAATCATTATGGGAGCATTTATACAGATCAAGTCTATCTGGCATGGTCTCATTCTTCACCGTTGGCCAAGAAGTATGACAGATGGAGACGGTCCAGCCTTACTATATATATATATATATATCTGCAGAATACTCCGTACAGCATAGGCAAAGCTATCTAGCCATTTAAAACTTGTGGCACTCAGGATTGACACCCCATCTTCCCAGCAAGACCAATCTACAACGTGTCCCTGAATTGAATACCACATGTAGTGTTCACATAATGATTGGTAGCGCCACGATGAAACTATCACCCCTTATAATATCCATGGTATGGGTATTGGTAGCCTCAGGCATCCAAACGCCATACAATTCACTTGCTTCCCCAGTCCCCACAACAGACACCAATACCACTATACTACAGTTCTATGGAAAATCGATTAACTGCATAGGCAAAGAAATAGAGGATATAGACGATCTGGAATCGGTCTGATTAGTTGTCAGTAGTTAACTACCTACGGAGTACTACACTCATGGTGATACTGAAGATACGTGATTACCAAGACCGACAGCCGAGGCCGGCGCACTTCCTGATGCTGACCGTAACAATACCATTCCCTTACGGGTCGGCGGCAGTGTCTGTCGGCTTTGATTGTCTCAACTCCGTACCGAAGCTCTTTTTAGTAGGGAATAACTAGTCCCAGTGGGATGCCTATGAAGAATTGGAGACAACTCTATGATCTATCTGTCTCCATTTTAACTCCTTTGATATCGACTCTTTATCCAGCCTAGCTTGATTCTCGGCTCGGTGTTTTTTTTTTCGGCTGCTTTTCCTCTCCCCAGATTGTGCCAGATACCGCGGTTCAATTCAACCTTCTCCAGGGTATAAATAACATAGCGCTGTGGCTCGCGTTGGAGCTTGGATCTTTCTAAAAAAATTTGTTGTCTGTCCTCTATTGTTCTAGCATCCATAACGATTATATCTGCTTCGTTTTTTTTCAGACCATCAAAAGAACAGATTGAAATCATGTCTACCCCACAGCAGCGGTTGTCCTCCATCGCGAGCCAGGTTGCTGGTTCCGGTGTGTCTGCGAAGAGCAAGCTCCTGGCTAAGAACCCTGATGATATTGTATGTTGGATGCGACAGCTCGACCTTCTAAAAAAAGGAAAAAAAGGAAAAAAAAAACTGACGGAATTATAGGTAATCACACTCGCTGTTCGCACTCCTCTCACAAAAGCCAGAAAGGGTGGCCTGAAGGATACCACGATCGATAACCTCCTCGTTTCGTTGCTCACAGTATGTCAGCGTCTTCGATATCTCGCCAATAGCCTCTTCTGACAAATGTACAGTCCATCCGGGAGAAGTCCAACCTCGACCCTAGCCTCGTTGAAGATGTCTGCGTCGGTAACGTGCTCGCGCCCGGCTCGGCCTATGTTGCTCGTTCCGCTGTCCTCGCAGCTGGCTTCCCGGTGACCGCTGCTGCCTCCATTGCGAACCGTTTCTGCTCATCTGGATTGCTGGCAATCCAGAATATCGCCAACCAGATCATGGCTGGCTCCATCGATGTTGGTATCGCCGTCGGAGCAGAGAGTATGAGCACCAACGCCGACGGTGGCGCCCCCGACATGTCCGCTCAGATCCTATCGCACCCCATTGCCTCCCAGAACACCCAGCCCATGGGCCAGACCTCCGAAAACGTTGCGGCTCAGTTCAACATCTCCCGCGAGCAGCACGATCAGTTCGCCGCCAAGAGTTACCAGAAGGCTGAGCGCGCTCAGAAGGCCGGCTGGACTGTGGATGAGATCGTTCCCGTCCGGACCCAGGTCAAGGACCCCAAGACCGGTGAGGTGAAGGACGTCGTGGTCGACCGCGATGACGGTGTTCGCTACGGCACCACTGCCGAGTCCCTCGGCAAGATTCGCTCTGCCTTCCCTCAGTGGAAGCCCAGTGCCACAACCGGTGGCAATGCCAGCCAGATCACCGATGGTGCCGCTGGTGTTATCCTGATGAAGCGGTCTCGTGCCCAAGAGCTCGGGCAGCCCATCATCGGCAAGTTCTGCGGAGCCACCGTCGCGGGTCTGGAGCCCAGAATCATGGGTATCGGCCCTTCCATTGCTATCCCCAAAATCCTCTCCAAGTTCGGCTTGACCAAGGATGATGTCGATGTTTTCGAGATTAACGAAGCTTTCGCATCCATGGTAAGCCAATTAAGAAATTCTCATGCAACAAACGGTGTGGCTAATGACTGTGTAGGGTGTCTACTGTGTCTCCAAGCTTGGTCTAGATGAGAGCAAGGTCAACCCCCGTGGCGGAGCCATGTAAGACAATCATGTCCCTTGTTAGTTTCTGTTTTGACAACTGCTAAATATTGCAGTGCACTTGGCCACCCCTTGGGAGCAACAGGCGCTCGACAGGTTGTCACTGCTCTGTCTGAGCTGCGACGCCAGAACAAGAGAATCGCCGTCACCTCGATGTGTGTCGGAACCGTAAGTGACTTTGAACCACCTTCGCCGTTTGAATCTTTCACTGACCTCCTCTCAGGGTATGGGTATGGCCGGTATCTTTGTTTCAGAGCACTAGATGAGAAGATGAAAAAGATCTTGAGTCATGTCACGCACAGCAATGATGAGGGCGTCCAAGCGGTATATATAATTTTCTGTATATAGTTTTTGCATGAGCATCATGTTTATAACCCTACTATGGTCAAATAATAGACTGCATATTGACTTCGTTCCATCCGAGACGTAGTCACGTAATATCTGATTACGGAGTACTTCAACTCAGCGGATTCTCAAAGCATTAGATAGTGGGTCATCTCCACGCTTGATACCAATTATTTCGACTCCACTTGTTGCTGTTCCCGAATCGGATAATGCAGCTGCAATCAGATAGGTGAATCAATGAATTGGGATGGTTGGGATGATGGGATCCCATTTATCTCCTCCATATATGCTGTGGCTGAAACTCAAGGCCTTCCTGATCTCGTGACAATGAATGAGCAAATGGCGTGCCTGGCATCGTCACGTGCACCTCTTCCCTCGTCATCCATAACAACAGCGACTGGCTCATCACCGCTTCTCCTCTCATACCTAGAGATACGACATCTTTGAAGTACACAATCGCCACATCCTCCTCGAAGTTCAGCATCGCAAAGGAATTTTCAAATTACGCTTGCGATCCTTGTCAAAGACCAATAATCCCGTTAATCTGACCCTTGCGACCATGAAGCTCTTATCAAGCACCGCTGCCTTGCTCGTCTGCCTTGGTCCTCTTTCCGCCTCCGCACGGTCGATCTCCTTCTTCGACTCAACACAGGCTCCGATCCAAGTCCAGAAATATCCTGTTGAAGGAGACAATCCGCTCGAGTACTGTGCCAACCCTGCTGGCAATATTCTGGAGATCAAATCTGTTGATCTGTCGCCAGATCCCCCTCTACCGTATGTACCAGCCTCGCATCTTGTCCCGACTCGCACGGTTCGATTGTTGGGATGGAGTTGACTGACGCGGGCTACAGTGGTCAAACCCTCACCATCAATGCTAGCGGTATCTTGAACGACCGGGTGGAAGAAGGGGCTACCGTTGCTCTCGAAGTGAAATATGGCCTTATCACGTTGATCAGACAGACTGCCGATCTCTGCGAGCAGATCAAGAATGTGGACCTCGAATGTCCCCTGGAGAAGGGCGAGATGACCCTCACCAAGCAGGTTGATCTGCCTTCGCATATTCCTCCTGTAGGTTCTCCGCATCGCTCTAAATGTTTGGACTGTTGATCTAACACCGCGATACAGGGCAGATACAATGTCCATGCCGACGTCTACTCCAAGGATGGCAGGAGAATCACCTGTCTTGATGGCCACAACATCGAGTTCAAGGCCGGCTTTTAAAGGGCTGGCTGTACTGGCCACACAACCACTCGATCAAGGCGGGTTCAGAGTACCTCGGCCCGATGATATTTATGATATCTCTGATCTTCACCAGCTGTTCCATCACATATTTACGATCCTTTACGAATGCACTCCCACGAACCATGGTTCCTTGTTCTCGTTGAAACCCAGTGCTATGTCCGCCTGTCACTTTCCATAGCCCTTGTTAGTCAAACTTGCATGCTTCCGGTTTATTTTTGCCCTCCTTGCTGTCAATAAATGTGCTTAATATATACGGCGTTTGGGACTGGCTGTCAGTATTGCTCAGATTTCGCACTCATATCAGCACAACTATGTATATGCATATACCGCAACTAATACAGACTTGTTCCCCAAAACATATCATCTTGTATTATGCAACGAATCGAGTTAATCATCATAGTTTGTATGAATTTCTATGTGCACGATTTCAGATAATTGGGTATCTCCCCACGTCTCCCGTCGCTCGGTGGCCTACCACCTCAGTCCTCGACCAGTAGTTCTCCACTCAGCCAATTAAAAAAAAGACATGATCCTAAAAACAAAAAAGGCGCTTAAAGAACAAGACCCAGACTCATCGTCTATTCTCCAAACAGCCGGCGCACGCGCTTGAGCACGCTGTCCTTCTCCGGATCGTAGGGGTGATCTTTGCTCGGGATCTCGAGGACGGCAGGAAAGGGGTCCGCGAAAGAGTCAACGCTGTGTCTGATTCGCTCGGCAACCTGTGACACTGTAAGCGACGAGGGAGAAATTGAGAAGACAAGCAAGTCATGGAACATACGTGCTGGTTGATCAGCAGCACGGCGATATCCTTTCTCTCCTGCGTGAAGTTCTGGAATGCTTGTTCGATCGCCGCGGTTCCGGTCTTCGAGTCCACAACGAGAAAGTTCCGCTGGGCATCTGGGCCGTCCGTGACGTGCTGCGATATGTGAGTTATCACAGGGTATTTGGAAGGTGCGGACCGGTTGAACATACACCGATGCCAGCGAGGAGAAGGCCGGTTACGGAGCTGGAGGAGTTTAGCGATGCTTTAGATAGGACGCGGAATATGGAACGGAGTCGGGTTACTCTTCATCTCCAATGACGGCGAGGAACTGTCGCTCCTAGATGTCCAGTGCAGTTAGTGATCTGAGCTGTCCATGTTCGTGGTGGGGAGTCTGATTGTACCTTGTAGGACACTGCCGAAGCTGCCATATTGAGGGAAGACGGGCTAGCAAAGACCGTCGGAGTAAGCAGAATCTACTCTGCAGTCTCGGGCTATCTGGAAACCTCAGAGCAGTCCGGTAACGAGCGCACAAGAGTAGAGGGTGTGGTCGAGCGACTCGGTGATAACCAGTGAGTGTTCGTCATCGCAGACCGACGCTGCTTATCTAAGCGGGGCCTTGATGTGTTGATTGTTTTGGTAGCGGAACCCGAAGACTTGGCCTGAATTTTTGTCGTCGCTCTTGCGTCAAAGGTGTGTCTTGCCGATTTTGATTTCATTCTGACCTCTGACAGGTGGAGGCTAACAGTGTTCAGCTTCGAAATCGCAGCTGTCTGCTTCATCAGCGCACTGTCGAACACCATGCCCCGGCTTGTACGTCGCCGACCGTTGGCGGAGCGCATCAGATCATACTTGGACCCATTGGACTTCCTGCTGTGGGTGTCGGAGGAAATTGATTCACATGATTGGGATCAATTCGAGAAGGACTGGGCTCTGCCTTTGGGAGTGGTGCTGAACCTGGTGTTCCTCACCGCGCGCGCCAATAGCCGATCAAGTGGCAGCAAAGCTATTGATGATGTCTTTGGCGATGAGGGAGGTGTGCCATGGATGAGCTGGTTTGTATGTGGTATCCCTCTGCGCATAAATGGATGAAGGTACATTGAAGTGTGATCAACGTTGCTAACAGGATCTTTGTCGTAGGCCTCGTTCGTTGTTCACCTGCTCGTCTGCTTTACCGCGCTCAATGCATTCTACACCTTCTACCGAAAGCGACATTATCGTCTGTTCGAAGCATCGATCGATCAACCGCCAGCTACACCATCCGCTCGCCGTGTACGAGTTGACTCGACGCCGATGACTGCCTCTCCACTACGGTTCCTTGCCAATGCCGTCTCTGGCTCCGCTCAGTCGCGGGCGCATCCTGACGCGCAACGAGATGTTTGGGAACTCGCGGTCTGGGACCCTCTGCCCATCTGCCTACGACTGTTCTGCCTGTTCAGCCCGGGACACGTTCTAGTATACTGGGTCTTACTGCCCACCCAGATGTCCGATCCTCGGCCAAGTGTCACCATTGTCACCACTCTCTTCATCACTGCCCTGCTCTCGGTGCAGATGTCCTTCCTGTGTTCTTCGTTTACCCAACAAGCAAAGGACTCGATGTTGGTCCATAAGGAAGTGCTCAACGAGTACGATATCAAATATGTGCACCCACGAACCCAGCCGGTCATGAGAGACGTGGGCACTCAATTCTCGGACAATGCCACGCAATCCGGTTCCGATGCCAAATACAACAAGGTCGACACCTTCACTCCTGCGCATGTCATTCACCGGGGGTTCCAGACCAGCCCTAATCCTAATTATGTCAGCCATGTTGACCCTGAAGGGGTATCACCAAGGCGCCAGCAATTCGCGACACCAAGCGCGTCTCACGGCTACGGCTCTTTGCAGACACCCAGCCACCTGCGAGATGCTTCTCCGGTTGTACGTGGTCCTATCGCTTCCATCCGCCAGCCTCAATTCCGACCTACGCCGGGTGCTACCGGAGATGGTGGCAGTCTTGGCATATTCTCCCATGCCAATTCTCCTCTCCGGCGATCTACCCCAGCCAAACTTGACCGGCGGGTCCAAAATCCTAGCGAATATCTATTGAAAGAGCGAGGTACACCCATGAAGAGGTTGTCTAGCCCGCTGAAAAGAAGCAGCGTTCTCGGCGACGTGGGCTCTTTAACCTCGACACCAAGACGAGATGCTCGTCGTGAGACTGGACGATTTTGACTGTATTCCCAGTCGTGAAGTAACCTGCAACACCATTGATCGACGGAGTATTCGTCTATGCGTTTTCACGGGTGAACACCTCATCTTACAACTCTGTTTCACATGTTCGTTCAGCGTACACAACGTGTAAACCATGACCTTCTCCAGCATTTGGGCTTGGCGTTTGAGGGAATTCGGCTTTCTACAACTTTCATTTTTGTATAATGTTCTTGCTACTTGTCTCTTACAGAGGAGACACAATCCAGACATGTTCCTGTCTTTTCCTGGCCGAGAATGTTGGCTGACTAGGGCGACCAGCCACCGTAGTATATGACATTTCGCCGAAGCGAAGGTACGGTCTTGCCCATTGTTGACTTCTTCCAGACAGGAACTTGACTATCTAGAACCGTCTTCTGGAAAATCTTTCCGAAATCAGATGATAATTGTGCTTTGAGTGTCTGTTACACACTGCGGTCACACCGAATGCTTCGAGAATCACGATCAAGCTGCACAATTCAACTTCAAACAAACGATCGGCACTGCCTTATGATGGTGTTGCAGGATCATCAAGCAGAATTCAGATCATTCTCTTTGGCGGCTGCGGCTTCCATTCCAAACCGTGGGGAAAAGGAGAGGAAAACCTGCAGGCGCGCATTCCACACTGGTCCCTCAACCTGCGCGCGCGTGTGTTTTGCTGCTGCATTCTCCGGCATGGCCAGTTGGGTCACATAACATTCCATGCATCTCAATACACAGTTCTTCATATTCTTCTTGCTGGCTGGTCGCCTGCCACTGCACAAGTTCTGCCAACTTTACCTGCAAGGCCTGCGCCATGCTTCGGCGATCTTTCATCATCAACACATTTGAGGTCATTGCCATTGTCCTGAGATCCTGAACTCGATTCGAGTAGCTCTTCACGATCGGAAGGACGCTGTATTTGCCCAAGGAATGGATGAACCTTGAGAGAATCAACCTGGCGTGAAAGTCGCGCCTGCCAGTAGCCGCTATCATCGACGCAGCAGCAATGGAAGATTTTCTGCACTTGCCTCAAGGGCACCTATTGAACCTTTCCTCTCGCCAGCGACACAGTAAGCAATCGAAATCGAACATGGGCGCTGGTGAAGTGGAAAATATGCAGCTGGGGCCTACTACGAACCGTGGTGGGAGCCCAGGGAATTCAGGAAACAGCGACACCGAATCCGGGTCCCAGAGCATTATGCGAAGGACCAGACCTGGGACGAAGCTTCCCCTACCGAGGGATGTCTCGACGAAGGGCCGGGAACAGTTGAAGGACAAACAGCCCACGCCACCTAAGCACCGCGAGTACGGTTCGCTCGGAAACGTTCGACCAAGGAAGTCCTCGACGACTCTCTACAGCAGCCCGGACGAAACGATAGACAAAGACCGCGAGCAATATTGGCAGAAGGTCAGGGATAAGTTTGAAAGACCATCACCGTCAGGGAAGATCAGGGACAACTACAAAGAGCCGTATATTGGGGCCTACCGGAAGATCATGTCGCTAGCCAACTCCCCAAAGAGCGAAGCATTAAAACAAAAGCTCAAGTATGCCGGAGGTGCTACACGCGACCTTTCCAAAACGCGGATCGCGAGCCCCATCATTCATCCTCGCCTCCGTCCGGGTTACAGCTCTCCTGACAGGTCCGACAATGACTCGACAGCCCAGCTAAATAAGTATATCGATGAAATTCAGCGGACAAACTCGGGCACGGACGAGAGCTTATTACACCTGTCTCCCGATAAGACGGACAACGCTACTGACTCGTCTCTCAACTCGCGTACATCCTCGTCGCCTGTGTCTGGCCCGAGTAGCTCATTGACCGAATGGGAGGATCGGTTTGTTGTCAATATGCCTTCCGCCAAGGAACCAAACCCACCAACGATGAGCGCACAACAGATCACCGAGTTTCAGCACAGTATTGAGAAAGTCCACACGGAGGGAGGAGCCATGCTAGACCCTGACTCCCTGCCTAGTCCGCGAACTACGACTCCGGACGACAAGAACACTTCTCCCGAGCACCCCGACAAACCGACTACGTTCGACGGTCAAGATCCACCACCCCCTACGAAAACACGCGGCGATGAAGATTCGCCATCCACACAACGGAGTCATCCTAGATACTACTGTCCTGATGAAATTGGCCGGAGCCGCATTAGCACGATCTGGGAAGAGTCTCCTGCGACGAAGCCGAGAAAAGACACCCCAAGCATCAATCCCGACGGCTCTTTTTTAGGGTGCAAAGAGATCAACGGGTCCAAGGACAAGAATCCCGACGAAATCCTGCTGTTCGCGCCTACGGAACGACCCCGTGTGGTCGATGTCTCGAGTCCCATGTTGACGTCCCCAAAAGACAGGACCAAGTTTACGGTCCAGCAGAGGAGGGCAGACAAGGAAGAGAAGACGACTGCTCAAGAGGGCTGGAAGCCCGCTTCTCCGAATTTGAAGCTTGCCCAATGCTCGAAGCCATTACCGAGCACCATGTGTCGCGACACCAGCTGTCACCAAGTAGACAAATTGGCTCAGGCGTCGAGTCAAGAGAAGCCCGACACACACCGTCCCAACAAACCCTTCGGGGAGAAGAAAGTGACGTGTCGGGACGACGATGTGTTCATTATCACACCCATTATCACACGCACTATGGTGAGTATGAACGACATCCGCGGCCACGCGCAGAAGACCTCCTCCGTTCCGACGCCCACCTCTCGAACCGCAGGCGAGATCATCACCGACGCTCGAGCCAGGCCGCAAATAAAACCTTCGCCTTTGGGATTGCGACGAGCGACGCAGAATTCGCAGGAGAAATCAAACGCATCATCCGCAGCGCCCTCAAGAAGTGTTCCTGTTCGAACCATCGCCGTGGTCAAAAACCGCGCAGAGGCCGGGCGCCGCAAGGTCGAACCGTCTCGCGATATGCGTGGATACATCCGTATGCCAAGCATGGGACAGCCGAGCTCAGAGGATTACGCAGAGCACGCCGGTAACAAGTCGCACCAGGCCCGCGCTTCAAGCACCGGATCCCGCATCGAAAGCCACCGCCATGTCAGAACGATTTCCGATTCGACACATTTGGCCAGTTCATCAGTTCCCAATATCTCCCCGATTGGATCGATTGACAGGGGTCAGCAGGGGTGTACGAGCGTGGCACAAAATGTGGCCAAGGTAGTGGAAGTGGCCGAATTGGATGGACTGCAAGTGCAGGAACCCAAGGAGCAGGCACCTCAGCCGCGGATCACTGATCTCAGCTCTGACTTGCCTGAAATGGTGATAGCCAATCCGACCAAGAGTGCAACGAATGCTCTGACTCTAGCCCTCATCATGGAAATCCTTATCATATCGGCTGCTCAGATGGAGGCACTGTGGCAGCGAGTAATGTCCAATCGACATTCTAAAACAGCCTTGCTGAAGCTTGCCTTGAACGGTGTCCTGGAGATGCTCGAGCATTGTCTGCAGGTTCTCAGGACCTGGCTCACTGCCTTCTCCACCTACAACGTTACCGGAGTCTGGCCGAGACCCGCCGATCAAGATCTCGCCCAGTCCGTGGCCGACGTCTGCCGGGCCGCTGCTTATCTAGTTATTTTGTGCTTTATGATGACTGTTGTCGAGCGTGCAGCCGAGTATATAGTCCTTGTGGGAAGCTAGATTGTGTGGTTTGCGAAGCCCTTTGGCTGGTTCTTTGTAACAATATGGAGGGCTCTTTTGACATGACCATCCGAGTTGGTGGACGTTATTTTCTTTAATGTAGTATGTTTAGCGTGTGCGATTCTGTCGACTACCTAAGAAGATCATTATTAGCTCTATTGTTATCACGCTTGACTCAGGACTGGGGAGCGCTTAACTGGTTAATATTACCTATACATGCAGGCAACAAACATCATTCCTCGTTCTAAGCTAGAGATCTCTATGGTATGTTACAAGAGTAAGGCGTGAGATATGACCAGAAGCACTGAACTTCAGTTTCTAGTCCATGTATAATTATCCAAGCCTTGAACGTTCTATGTCCAGCCCTGGGATATCTGGCTCTGTCGAATCAGACCGGGCTCTGATAGCTAAGAGATCATCCCATCTCCATGGTACCTGTAACACACAAAGAGAGAGAAAGAGACGAAGAGACATGCCGAAATAGACAGCTAAGGGCTGATACGATATGAGGCAGAAGATGCAGGAGAACAGAACCAGGAGCCAGGAAAAGGGAAATGAAGATGAAGAGGAAGAGGAAGGGGGATAGAGGAATCAGATGCACCAAGAGGATGAGATTGAAAGGAAAAAAAAAAAAAAAAAAAAAAAAAAAACAAGAATGACTCCGATACTTTTTCCCCCATGTTGAAAAGGGAAAACACTTTTTTTTTTGCCTGCGATTGAACTTGTGCTTCTTTTTTGTGAGAAACTTTGACTGACCGACCGACCGACCCGACCGACCGATATTGAAACCAAACTCCGTCATCCGTCATGTTGAATTATTCCTCCGAGGACCCTGTTCCTTTCTATTTGCTTTGGTGGTGATGAATGTTGAGTAGATCATGAGATAGATTGCTTTTCTTTCTTTTTTGGTTGTTTGTTGATTTGATTGTTTGGGGGGGGGGTCCGAGAACCATACCACATTATGATGTTGAATTTCGTAATCCTTCTGGAAGAACAGATGAGAGGGGTATATGTGAAAAGAGACATGTTGAAAAAGATGTTGAAATGGAAATAACGCTCAGGGAAGAAATCGTTGAGAGGTCTTCATTCGTGTCGCCATAAACATGATGCCGGAAAGGACGCAGTCCCCGGGCTGGTATCGTTGAGATAGATGTTGAATAAGGGAATAAAGAGAGTATAATGAGATAGAAGAGTTTTGGGTGAGAAGAAGAAGGACGTGTTGAGATGCGTAGAAGTTCTAGCTTGACCTAGTTCTTCACGGCGGCGTCTTCGGGAGTGACGCCGTTGGCCGAGCCATTGAGTTGAGGCTTTTGCTCGACGGTGTCGAAGGTGATCTCGGCGTCGAGATCTTTCACATCAAGACCATTGAACAGCTCGAAGAGATCGTATGTGTTGTGGAAGTCGTTATTCACTGAAGCGCGGAAAATGTTAGCAAGTCATCTTTCACACAACAGCTCAAAAGAGAACATACCAATGTTGACCAAGTACCAGCTGTCCACCACTTCCTGAATCAGTTTCCTGCTGGGACTGGCGGCTTCGTGACACTTGGCCCAGTCTTCACCCAGGCGGTATGCCTCGTCCTTCCAGGCCAAGAAACTAATCGTCTCCACGATAGTCGGCTGGACGATTTCTCGTCCGGCAAAGATACCCCAGGTCAGAGCATTGGGACTGTCACGCGTGTTGGTGCGCAGCTCGCCTTCCTTTGCGACAGCATGATACGTCAGGTCGTCGTTCTTCTCGATCCGAGCGATCAGCTCATCCAACAGGTATGGAGGCACAAAGAGTTCAAGGTATGCCTTCTGGTAGACGAAGCCGTTCTTGGGACCCCAACCGTACACGGGATGAGAAGATCTCACGCCATTGACTGCCGGCTGCGAGTTGACGGTGAGAAGGCCTCTGCCGTTCAGCTCGATTAGGTTCTCCTTGATTGCGTTGGCTTCCGCGCTGATTGGCGAGTCGCTCCAGGGTAGTCGCTCCAGCTTTCCTTCCACGTAGCGAACGAAGATCTGCGAAATATCCCGAATCGACTTGGGCTCTCCCCAAAGCTTGATGTTCTGTTCGTTGGTGCCCTTGAGGCCTATGCCGTAAGCATCCAGCTCACCAAAGGCGGGTGACCGAGAATCGGTCCAGCGGCCGTTGGGGAATTCATCCCAAATCTGTGTACGGGCAATGTAGGACGAGTTTCTGTTGCGCCAGAAGATGGGACGGACGTCCTCGCCACGACGATTGAGACCGAGCGATGGTCGCCAAGGTAGGGGTCTCTGAAGTGGTGTTTCCTCGGAAGGAATGAGTTTCAATTCATCAAGGACAGATTGCGTTGCTTGAGCAAGGTTCATCGTGTAGCTAGATTTGACCGTCAGTTTCTCGCTGAGAGAAGCGCGCTGGTGTGATGAAGGAGACTCACAAATGCAGATGGTTGAGGCCAGCTGCAAGAAGCTTTCTGCACATTTCCGCAATCAAACGCTTTCCAATCTCCTTGACGGCTGCGTCATCATTCTTCACCGGCTCCAAAGCTTCAAGCCATTCTGGCGGGATACGGGCCTTTGTCCAGTTTGCTCGTCGAATGAAGGCGGCGTATGTGGAGATGGGCATGATACCGGGGATGATGGGCACGGTGATGCCCTTGGCGCGACATTTCTTTACCCACTCGATGAAGTTGTCCGTATCGTAGAACATTTGCGTGATGATGAACGAACTTCCAGCATCGACCTTCTCCTTCAGATGATCGATCAAGAGGTCCACATCCGGGTTGTCGTCTGCACCTTCAGGGTAACCTCCAACACCAATATCGAAGTGGTTGCCGTACTTCTCCCGGATGTACTTGACCAGATCCTTGGCATAACGAAGTCCTCCTTCAGTGGCCTCCCAGGCTTCCTTATCACGAGGGGGGTCACCGCGCAGCGCCAGAATGTTGGTGCAGCCTGCCTTGTAAGCAGCGCTCAATGCAGCATCCACCTTCTCCAAGGGCATGTCTGTGCAGGTCAGATGCATGCAAGTTTCCAAGCCATACACCGATTGAGCAACATTCACCATCTCGCAGGTCAGATCAGACAACCGACCACCAGCACCCCAGGTGATGTCGATGAACGAGGGCCCCAAAGCGTGCATCCGATCCATTCTGTCGTAGAGGTTCTGAACACCCTGGGCGGTCTTGGGAGGGAAGAACTCGAAGGAGATGCCGACTTGCCCACCGGCCTCATTCTGGTAGAGCTTGTCCTTGACGTGCATCTTGGCAGATCAGACAACTATTCACCAGCCACAAAGGTTAGCATTCGTGTATGATTGAGCTACCGGGTCTTGCGAAGTATGGCAGCAATGAGTCCCCGAGTGACGTGACAAGGGAAATCACTGTACCTGTAGACTATGGCAAAAGCTTCTTTAATCCTATCTACCCTTCTGTCGTCGTCGTCGTCGCTCGTCCAAGCTGTGGATAATGGCCCCGTAATGCCCACCGATCTCGCCAGCGACCGCGATGAGTACCTGAACCGGGATGACAAACCTCGACAATCCAATAACGAGGTTCAGAAGGACAAAGAAGGGGTAGCAAAGATGAGAATAAAGATCCTGCAAAGAAAAAAGAGAAAAAACCAAGCAGCAGAGGACTAAGAGAAAAGAAAGCAAAGAAGCAGACAGACAGCTGGAAGACCACCGGTGTGCAGCCGGAGACTGACTCCCTTCTGGACAGGCCGGACTTCGGAGGACGTGGCCGGCACGTGGTTTTCCGGTGCGATATTCAGGGCCAGAACGCCGAAGAGGTCTGAGAGGTTATAAGATCTTAGAGAGAACTATCTACCGGGCTGAAGACTACAGCGCAATCAATGCATTCAGACTCGTCTGTATCTGTCTCTCAAATGTGTAGCATGAGGCTGGTGGTCGCCCTCCCACAAAACACGGGGAGGTCCGATCGACACCTGAGGCAGCTAGCCCACCCCGCTGTTTCTGCCCCTCCTTTTTCTGCCTCTGCGGATAGAAGAGAAAAATGGGAGAAAAATTTCCACCGAACCAGACGTTGCAATTGATAGAACAGCATTACAGCATTTTCCCCGTACGGTCTGGTTTCCGTTAGACTTCTTTCCCTTGCCTGCCCTCCCAATTGATAGATTCATACAGCAATTCTTTGCTTATCTTTCACAACATGTCTGCTTCCGTTCCTCCTCCCGCCGCCGATCAGGACTACAAGGGCACTCTGCTGCCTCTTTTGATCTCCAACAATGTCCTCACCTTCGGCTCATACACCCTCAAGTCGGGTCGTGAATCGCCCTACTTCTTCACCTCTTCCCGTCTTCACACTGCGCCGCTTCTGCGCGCCACATCTGCCGCCTATGCCAGCGTCCTGTCTGCCGCGCCGTTCGTGACCACCGCCGCCGACGGCACCACGAGCCCCAACTTTGACATCATCTTCGGGTGCGACATCTCCTTGTCTCACCTTTTCCCTCTGCTGGTACAGTATATTGATGCTGACTGAACCGGGTATAGCCCCGCCTACAAGGGTATCCCCATCTCCGCCGCCGTGACAAACGAACTGGCCGTGCGCGACTCCCTCGCCGGAACCCACACCTGGGACAACGTCAGCTACTCATTCAACCGCAAGGAGGCCAAGGCTCATGGCGAGGGCGGAAACATTGTCGGCGCCCCCCTGAAGGGCAAGCGGGTCGTCATCGTCGACGACGTCATCACAGCCGGAACCGCCCTGCGCGAAGCCGTCGGCATCATCCAGAAGGAGGGGGGAATTGTCGCGGGTGTTGTGGTCCTGCTGGACCGCGAGGAGCGCGTGAGCGACACCGAGGCGAAGAGCGCTGTGGGAGTTGCTCAGCGGGACCTTGGCGAGAGCATGCCCATCCGCGCGGTCATCGGTCTCCATGATCTGATTGAGAAGCTGGGTGATAAGATTGGGGAGACTGAGATTCAGCGGTTGAAGGACTACAGAGCGCGCTATGGAGCGGAATAGATTAGTCTATGGGGATGCTATATATGAATTACCAAATGATACCATGAGTCTTGACGGCACTTTTTCGCATTATCTGATGGTCCTGGTGGCCGGCTCGTCCGAGTCATGAAATGTGCAACCATTCTTGCGCTGTATCAGATCTATCTTCTCGAATCGAGCATGATCTCTTCACTTTCTGCACTTTGCGCCTTGCAGACAATAGACACAACAGAAGCATCAATCTTCGTGGTCATTTTGCCTAAAGTTACGATGACATCGGGCATATCCCGTTCAACATCCACAGGATAATTTCTGGTTGTCCCGTTCCCAATTCTCTTCAGGTTTCGGCATTTTCAAATTGTAGACTGGCATCGCATGACAATCTTCCGAACAGGAGCATCTGATTTCGATCGAAACATGAATAATAATGAAAGGAGCAAAGGGATGAAAGGTTTAAAGGCATGAAACACGTTCATGATCATTAAACATGTCTCACATACTCACCATCCAACTTGAACTCGAGACCACAGCGGCAACGGACTCGGGATGTTTACTATCCAGACTTCAGACAGCAATAGCAATAGGCAACGAAGTTTCAAAAGGCTCCATCCCGACTTGAGGTGCGAACTTGGGTCGAGAAAGTATTCCCTTCAACTCACCATGGCCTCTGTTTCTCAAGCCGCAAGAGGTCGAGCCACATCAACGAACACGAGTAGTGCTTGAACGCGTACTCTTTTCCGATCTCCAAGAAAAAACGATGCCACTGACATCTGCCTAAAGAACGGTGAGAAAAAAAGAATTGTGCTCATGGTCTCAAAAACTGAGAAACTTATTTTAGCCTCGCGTGCAGGACACAATGCGAACATTGCTGCATCCTGTCTGCAAAGACAGCAAGTCGGTGAAGACTGAACATGACAAAGATAAGCTATATCATATGGATATTCCAAGCGGTCGGGTCCCACAGATCCCAAACGGCAAACTCGATATGACAGGTTCAACCGAGTCTCATGTTGGCAAGCGGTTTTGAGTCCCACTGTGTATGATGAATCAAAGCAGCCATGTGCCGAGGGACCTTGCTACCCGGTATGCGTTGACAGGGCTGTGACAAACTGCGAACTGATAGCAGCACTGCCGCAATGCGTGGCTTGGATTTAGGGTTTCCAATAACGTATGCAGTTCGAGTAATGCCATGGGCTATTTTTGTTGCGTTGTGAGTCGCTCTAAGGCGGGTTGATGGAGTATATCCACCAATATAGCATGGTGTGCCGGGTTCATATTTCGCTGCTCGATATACATAGGAATATCAGTCTCGGTTGAGTACGTACTCGCGAGATAAGACCCTTGCAAGCACAAGCACCAAGTCAGCCATTCACACAGGCCACGTGTAGCCACTTCCTCGCCTATCTGAAAAAAAGAATGCGCCAATACGCTTCTCGTGATAGATCACGCCGGGCTATAATGCTGATGCCGGCACAGCAGTTGATGGTACGCTGACGTTCCACAATAGCTCTGGCTGCTGGTGGACGCGGATTGCATTTGCTGCTCACCATGCAATACGCAATCCCGAGAAGCATTGTGTCTAATATCGCCGGACCAGCGAATTCGCAAAGTAGGGAATACACCAGGAAGACTCTGTAAGAGATAAGGTCATATGTAGCTGGTATCTACAGGCTGAAAGACCACCCAACAATTCGTATAGCTCAGCAAGATACAAACAACAAGAACATCAGTCGGGAGATAGTGGCAGATCAGGTTCATCCTACCGATGAGAATGTGGCAGCTATCAGAACACTCAGCACTGAGGTGCAATTCCCTATCAAGATCGTTGATGAGAAGCGGTCAAAACAGAAGGATGTTCGGACGCACTGACACAGGAAGTACCAAGTGCATCCATTGATCAGTGCTATTTAAGGTTGGCCTAACCGAGCCTCCACAGTCCACACAGGATCGCCCGCTAATTTAGCTGAGCCCCACTCAATCGAGTCGTCACTCGTCAACCTCGAATGATTCTACACTCTACTGTGCAGAAAGTAGATACGCGAACATTCAGCGATCCTTTGGCTTCATATGGAAATAATCTCGAAGTGAGTACTGAGACTGCGGCTGACTCGGCTCAGGGAATACCTCTTGCATTGTGAGTGGATTTTAGCAAATCTCAATCACCAACTTGAGGTGACCCATCCAATCGTCCTCTCTCAGAATAGCCGAAATGAACTACTGGTCCGTTAAGCAAGGGTGTCGGTCGACAGAAGTGGGAAAGTTCCGGGGCAAGAAACTCATCTCAGGTTTCTTCCTAGGAAGCACAACGCACAACAAGTAACAGTGTGTGCTTCCTCGCTAGGGAGTTGGGCTCAAATTGGAGAGAAATCATTCGCTACTCCGAAGAGGGATGACAGTAGTTTTTACTATCCATTGATAGTGACATTTGATATCCACTACTAGTCATCCCTTTCTTTCAAATCCACCAATAATGTATCATCCGGATTTCCTGCCACAATTGACCAATATATCCTTACATTGCTTGCTCGCTCCCTTTGTGAAACAACACGAAGTTGCTCTATCAAGGCCGAGACAAGTAGTCTCGGATATGAGACAGAAAGACATATTCTTCCAAGGGGAGCAAATCTCTCTGAGAAGCGGCAGTATCCTTCAATTTCTTGGGTGCTCAACCTAGATTGAACACTCAAGCAAGGAAGCAGAGATAGTCGTAAAGCCGTAAATTGTAATCAATGTACGGAGTAATTTACAAGGATAATTAGTTCCAATTCCAAATGGTCTCTGTGGGTATTTTGATCAACGTACTAATTTAGCTCCCGCCGTTGAACTAACCCGATTAGTAAGAATTCTCGAATATTCTCCTCTTAACTAATTAATTAGTAGTTGCTAGTTCAGCCTCCAGACTTGTGTCTAACTGTCTATCATGTCAATTGCCTGGAATTGGAAACATGGACCATGCCATCTCCCAATGTCAGCTACCCTACCTAGTTTAGTCGAAGCCGCAATCTGACCACTTCGGCCCGGTTACAACAATATCATCGGAACTTTATGTCAATCCCTTCTATGAGATGCCCCATTGACCCAGAGATTTACCTATTCCAATGCTGACGTACTCTACCAGGGCCCAGATTGTCTTCAGATGAGCCATTTTGGTTGTTCATATGAATGCCCTCCATACATGCATTATCTCATAGCGCGGCTCGCGAAAATCACCGACGACAACACAGCAGTGAGTGTACAACCGATCGATGCTTTAGAAAGATAGTGAGAGAACCGCCATTTGACGGAATCGGGGACCCTTATCTCGCTTGGATGCACTTGAGAGATAGACTCAAATGAACCCCGACGAGTATTCATCAGCAGTCGGCTCTGTTCCACCAGCCGATGGAAGCAGGCTGACAGGCTTTTTGGTTGAATTCCAGATTACCCGCCCATGCATTTTTTTGGAGAGGGGGGGGGGCAGATTATCAGTTTGTGCATTGCATCTTGCACACGCTTCAAACCGTGCGGTGGACGCCGAGGAACCAGTTCCAAATTGGATCTATGATATGAGCCTCGATATCGATCTCACTGTCCTAGTTAGTGGTAGACCGTGCGCCAGATTGCTGCTAAGCCACATCTTCTGGTCCGTTTCCTCTGCTGATATCGACGAAGTGGAGGTATTATTAGGCATAGAAATGATGAACAGGTAATGAAGTAAACAACAAAACGATCGACCGCCCCCACTGCAGACCCACCAATAGTCTAATTTGCAGCTGCGTCTACATTGGCATAAGGTATCAATTTACCTACCTATGTACCTAGGTAGGTACCTTAGGTATGATACGGTATCGTATTATCCTACCTACCTACCTACCTACCTCCATAGATCACTGAGGTGACTGAATTTCCTCTTTCCTTCCAATCACTACCAACAGTAATCCTTCCTGCCTACGATGACGCTCTCCCTTTGCACTGCGGACTTGACTTTCTCACCTACAGACTTAGACTTGATTCTCCTTTAGTCTGCTCGCTTCTGACACAAGCTCCACCTTCTTCCCCCAACAGCTCTCCACAGCAACGATGCCCCTACGCTTGGCTGTTCACCCAGCAGATGATCCCCCCGATCATCCTGCACAGAGGCGATGGCTGGTTTGGGACCCGGAAGGAAGGTCTCCAGGTCCGACAACACGAATCAGAGACACAGGTAATCCTTAATCTTTTCCTTCTGCGGGGACTCTCCTCCCGTAGCTGCTCGTCACTTAGTCTATCAGCGTGGTTGCTGCACCAGCTGTCCTAGCCGGTAACAATGCAGTAGTAACAAACACCCAGGTGTCGTTCTATCTTGCTTGTCTTTACGGACTCACTTCAGTCTCTGCATCAGTGGCTGTCCAAAGTTTGATTCGTCTGCCGGGCTTTCCAGTCTTGAGGTGAGTTTTCTTCATGCATGATATCGGACAGATTTCTTATCCTCTTGCTTGCTCTCGTTTGACCTCTCGTCTATCTTTTCCTTCTCAGTTGGTTTTGACTGACGCTATGGCTTGTTTGTCTTTGCTTCTCAAACGTTATCTTTTGTCTGCCGATGGCTGACAGTATCCATTGATATTTTAGTCATAACGAAAAGAAAAAGACGCAAAGAGAGGGTGGTGATAAATTCCCAAGGACCGGACGGCAAGCTCACTCGAATATCTCAATTTTCCAAGCGTCCTCCCTGGTGCTACTCAATATCTTACCTTTCCCATCTCTCATCCGAGTCTCATACCATATGCTGCTCTCCTAGGTCAATCACAATTCTTATTCCTCAAGTCGTCAGTCGACGCACGACATGAAGTGGACGTCTCCGAGCTCACTGCTAGCACTTTTCGCAGCAACTGCAGCAGGATGGCCGTACGACGAGTCTCTTGTAGACTACAACCTCAACACAAACAAACAAGCCACCAACCCAGCCGAATACTCGACAGATGGGCCTGGATACAAGTACACCCCCTCTCCGGAGAACTGGCGGTTTCCTGTATATACACTGTTTTTGGATCGATTCGTTAACGGTGATCCTACCAATGATAACATCAACGGGACACTCTTCGAACATGACCTGAATTCAAATCAAATGCGCCATGGTGGTGATGTTGTGGGCTTGGTTGACACGTTAGATTATCTTCATGGAATGGGCATCAAGGTGCGGTGGCTACATTTCTACCATTTCTCGTTCCTCGTTTCTTTGTGAACGATGGCCATGCAAGCTAATACTCGCCCACTCAGTGTATCTATCTAGCGGGAACGATATTGATCAACCAACCATGGGGTGCAGATGGCTATTCGACCTTAGACACTACTTTGCTTGATCAACACTTCGGCAACATCCAGACTTGGAGGGACGCAATCTCGGAAATCCACAGACGAGGCATGTATGTCATCATGGACAACACGATCGCCACGTAAGTTACATTGAATACTTGGCCTGTGATTTTGGTCCCATCGCTAACTGATGAACCCTACTAGAATGGGTGACCTGATTGGTTTCGAGGGATACTTGAATACTACTACCCCTTTCTCTGTCATGGAACACAAGGCGCTTTGGAAAACCGATCGTCATTACGTCGATTTCCAGATTGGCAACGAATACAACGAAAACTGTGACTACCCTCGATTTTGGAACGAAACTGGCTGGCCAGTTGATCAATCTGTTCGAGATCAATTGAACGGTTGTTACAACAGCGACTTTGACCAATATGGTGACCGTGAGGCTTTCGGTGTCTACCCAGACTGGCAGCGGCAACTGGCAAAATTTGCTTCAGTTCAAGATCGTCTACGCGAGTGGAATCCTAGTGTTAGGGAAAGGCTGATTCGACATTCTTGCATGATCATTGAGGCCCTTGATATTGATGGCTTCCGGTACGACAAGGCCACACAGGCCACCGTGGACGCCCTTGGAGAAATGTCGCTTGCATATAGAGAATGTGCTCGCAAAGTCGGCAAGACTAATTTCTTCATTTCCGGTGAAATCACTGGTGGAAATACATTCGGATCCATCTATCTTGGTCGTGGTAGACAGCCCAACCAATATATGGTGTCTGCGGTGGATGCGATGAACATGACAAATTCATCAGACCATCAGTATTTTCTGCGCGAGCATGGACATGAAGCTATTGATAGCTCGGCTTTTCATTATTCGGTCTATCGTTCTTTGACTCGATTCCTTGGCCTGGATGGTAATTTGGCGGCAGGCTATGACACTCCAGTAGACTGGACCGATGCCTGGAACCTCATGGTTGTCTCCAACGATATGATCAACGCTAACACTGGAAAGTTTGATCCTCGGCACATGTACGGTGCCACGAACCAGGATGTTTTTCGCTGGCCGGCCATTGAGTATGGGATAGAGCGACAGCTTCTAGCTTTATTCGTCACGACCCTGCATCTACCTGGTATCCCTATCTTGCTGTGGGGTGAAGAACAGGCTTTCTATATTCTGGATGCCACTGCTTCCAATTACATTTATGGACGTCAAGCAATGTCGCCTGCCACGGCCTGGAAGACCCATGGTTGCTTTCAATTGGCACCTTCACAGTACTACAACTGGCCAATCCAGCGCGGCCGTGAAGGATGTCATGATGAGACAGTCACGTACGATCACCGAGATCCGTCCCATCCTGTCCGGAATATCATCAAACATATGTATCAGCTAAGGGAGAACTATCCTGTCTTGAATGATGGGTGGTGGCTACAGAAGTTGTCCAAGCAGACGCGCGAGATCGACCTACCTGGCTCTAATGACACACACACTGAAATTGGCATGTGGTCAACCCTACGAGATGTAGCGCCGGGTATCCAGAAACTTGGTTCAGCAACGGATAACCAACCAGTCTGGCTGGTATATCAGAATGACAACCATACCGTTGACTACAAGTTTGACTGTGGTAGCAAGGAAACGGCCTTGATTTCTCCGTTCGCGAGTGGTACTACAGTGCGCAATTTGTTCTATCCGCATGATGAACATACTCTCAAGGATGGGCCGCAAAAGCTTGTGTTGAACAACTCGACGGCTCTCGGTGGCTGCCTTGATAGCCTGACCCTTAAGCCGTTTGAGTTTCGCGCCTACGTTCCAAAAAAGAGCTTTGTTGGACCGCGACCGATGGTCACCCAATTTACTCCGGGCCATGATATGCCACTTCTCTCAAGGGTAGCGCCTAACCAGGGTGAAGAGTTAGATGTCAGCATCCATTTCTCTGCGGTGATGGACTGCGACTCTGTCACGAAATCGATTAAGCTGGAATCGACAACGGAATCTGGAAAGACCCCATCTATCGAATTGAAAAGTGTTAGTTGCAAAGAGACTCCGGCAAGTCCTACACAGTGGACGGGGCAGCTACCAGGCATTTGGGTCTGGGCTGGGAAATTGACTGGAGTTCACAACGGGATTCATCGGTTAACAGTTACCAACGCCAGCGACTCTACTGGGGCGAGCACAACGAACGCAGTGGATCACTTTCTGTTTCGTGTTGGCCAACAGGACAATCCTATGGTGTTTACTTCTGCGAACTACTCAAGCAGTCTACTTCATCAGTATGACAACGGTACACTTTACATTCAACATCATGCCGCTGGTGCCGACAAATATCGCTATTCAACCAACTGGGGAAGTTCATTTTCTGATTGGATGGTGTATAGAGGCGGCAATGAGACCATCGAGGAGCTCCCATGGTCTGGTACCAAGAAGCAAAAGTGGGAAGGCAAGCATGTGCGCGTGGAGTACTGGAGCAAGTTGACTGGGAGCAGCGACTATGTGCAGGAGGGTGATTCTGGGTGGGCCTCAAGTCACCCACGGCGCTTCCCTCACCTCTTCTTCAACGGACCCTATAATCAATACGGCTATGATGCTGGTCTGGACAACGTCGTTAAGTTAGGAAGTGATGGCCTCTGGAGATACCGATTTATGGCGGAATGGCCAGCACAAGGCCAATTCAATGTCTGGGGCATCAATCCCGATGGACAGCCTGATCAAAGCTTTGTGTTAGGTGATGCAGATCAAGATTCGGTTCTAGATCGGATGCCTCCCTCCTCCCTCAGTGCAACGCTGATCAACATCACCGACTATCCCCCATCGCCTCATTTGGCGTGGATACTGCACCTCGACGATTCGACTCTCCGATTTCGACTTGAACCCACGGGGTCCAGGGCAGTTCAAATGGCAGTATTCTTCCTACTCTGGCTCATACCCGTCCTGACAGCTGCTGCATGTGTGTATGCATTCATGAAGTCATTTTACCAAGTCAAATTCAACCAAGTAGGAGTCAGCGAGAAGAAAACACTGGTTCCCCTCTGGCTCGGAAGAAGACTCAAGCACGGTAGTTCCGAGGATGCTGAGCCCATGAATCCTCTCGTGCGTCTTGCCAACAAATCAGGCTTTCTCCAGAGTACGTCGGCCTTCAACACAGCGGCAACCCAACGAAGGACTGTTCTGATTGCTACGATGGAGTACGACATTGAAGATTGGGCGATCAAGATCAAAATCGGCGGTTTGGGCGTTATGGCCCAGCTCATGGGCAAGCACTTGGGGCATCAGGATCTGATCTGGGTTGTCCCATGTGTGGGCGGCGTTGAGTACCCGGAAGATCAGCCCGCTGAACCTATGTTCGTCACAGTTCTTGGAAACTCATACGAAGTCAAAGTGCAGTATCATGTTCTGAGCAATATCACCTATGTTCTTCTTGATGCCCCTGTGTTTCGCCAGCAATCGAAGGCTGAGCCCTATCCTGCACGGATGGATGATTTGGATAGCGCCATCTACTATTCCGCCTGGAACCAGTGTATTGCACAAGCGATTGAACGCTTCCCTATTGACTTGTATCATATTAACGACTATCACGGCTCAATCGCGCCACTCTACCTGTTGCCACAGACAATTCCCATCTGTTTATCACTTCACAATGCCGAATTTCAAGGGCTGTGGCCGATGCGAACTCAGAAAGAGAAAGATGAAGTTTGCTCAGTTTTCAACCTCGATATCGATGTGGCAAGCCGCTATGTGCAATTTGGTGAAGTTTTCAACATGTTACATGCTGGCGCAAGCTATCTTCGGCTTCATCAACAAGGTTTTGGCGCAGTGGGTGTCTCCAGGAAGTATGGAAAGCGCTCGTATGCCCGGTATCCAATCTTCTGGGGCCTGAAGAGAGTCGGCAACCTCCCAAATCCCGATCCGTCAGACACAGGGGAATGGAACCGGCAGCTGGCCAGAAACAGTGATGTTCAAATCGATCCGGCCTATGAGGCCCGCCGAGGAGAGCTCAAGCGTCAAGCACAGGAATGGGCAGGACTGAACCAAGATCCCAATGCTGACCTTCTTGTGTTTGTTGGCAGATGGTCTATGCAAAAGGGCATTGACCTTATCGCTGACGTTATACCTGCGGTTCTGGAAGCTCGCCCTAATGTTCAGTTGATATGTGTTGGTCCAGTTATTGATCTTTATGGTAAATTTGCCGCGTTGAAGCTCGACTACATGATGAGACTGTACCCTGGACGTGTGTTTTCACGACCAGAGTTTACGGCACTTCCTCCATTCATCTTCTCCGGTGCAGAATTCGCATTGATACCATCTCGTGACGAGCCTTTTGGACTTGTTGCCGTTGAATTTGGTCGCAAAGGTGCCCTTGGTATTGGTGCACGTGTGGGTGGCTTGGGACAGATGCCTGGTTGGTGGTATAATGTCGAATCTACAACAACATCTCACCTTCTCCAACAATTCAAACTGGCGATTGCAAGCGCGTTGAATTCCAAGCCGAAAGTCCGAGCCATGATGAGGGCGCGCTCAGCAAAGCAACGCTTTCCTGTTGCCCAATGGGTGGAAGACCTGGAAATCTTGCAGACGACTGCCATGCGAATTCACGGCAAAGAATTGGTCAAATCAAATGGACAGTCACTCACGCCATCAGGGTGGACTACCCCAAGTGGAACAATGACGCCCCCAATTACAGGAACTGCGACACCGACAGGCATTCAGACCCCCCCTCTCATACACTCCCGAGAGCCAAGTGTCTCAAATCTAAATCGCCTCAGTTTGCTTGGTCCGCAACAACGCAATACCATCGTATACAGCCGAGATCCAAGCCCTGGTATGGCCGAAAAGCCCAAGTCAGGGCTCAGTCGGCAATTGTCGCTTGGGGTGAGGGCTGGGCCCGGGCATCTGGAGCGTTGTGGTCGTCGTAAGGCCAGAAGAAATCAGCTGTTGGGAAATGAAGACAACCAGACTTCAATCACCGATGTTGAATCCAGCAGCGATGACGACATTATTCCCAGCTCCTACGGAGAAGATGAATATACCTTGACACCTGAACAAGCAGAAGAGGGGCGCCAGATGGAGGCTCCCCAGCAGCCGGGGCAATATGCAGCGTGGGCAGCTCGCGAGTTCTTTAATACAAGACACTCAAGTCAGAGTTCGTTTGCCTCTCCTTTGTCTCCCACCAGCACTGGGGCTGCAGAACCGGACAACACTCTAGTCCCTCCTGCACGACGTTTGCTGGAGCCTGCCCATCCAAGCCACCGACTCAGCAGTGCATCAGTTCTCTCAGTCGATTCAGTTGTTGGCGCCAAGAAGGATTACAAACTCCAAAAGGTTGATCCATTCTTCACGGATAGTACCGGCGAGTATTACAAGATTTTCGAGAAAAAGTTGGAAACTCTGAACGGCTCGAACAGTGAATCACAGCTCTGTATTGAAGAATTTCTTGTCAAAAGTGAGAAGAAATGGTTCGACAGATTTCGGGATGCAAGGCTAGGCCTCAATCAACTTCCGGTTTCTTCTGTTGTCCACCCCAAACGTGATGCTTCGCCGAACACTTCAGATTCGAACGAGATGGTATCACAGGAGAGCGACAGTGAAGTCAACATAAACGTTGATGAATTCTTCCTAGGCAGTGACTATGTCCCCCCAAGCGGTCTGAAGAAATGGATGCAAGTACGAATTGGTGAATGGCCCGTCTATTCAATATTCCTTGGTCTGGGCCAGATTATTGCGGCGAATTCCTACCAAATCACGCTCTTGACAGGCGAGGTGGGACAGACGCCAGAGAAGCTCTATGGCATTGCCACCACGTACTTAATTACCTCTATCATCTGGTGGTTTTGCTTCCGCTACTTCAAGTCAGTGATCGTTCTCTCAGTTCCTTGGCTGCTATATGGTCTTGCTTTCATCATCATTGGTGTTGCACACTTTGAAAGCAACTCATTTAGCCGCGGTTGGATCCAGAATGTGGGAAGTGCAGTGTATGCTGCTGCGTCCTCCAGTGGCTCGATATTCTTCGCATTGAATTTTGGTGATGAGAATGGAGTACCTGTCAAACAATGGGTGTTCCGTGCGTGCATCATCCAGGGCAGTCAACAGGCCTACGTGATCGGCTTATGGTATTGGGGCACCACTCTAGCTAGAGCTGCAAACAGTGGGATTGTTAATCCTCAGGGGTCTATCACAGATACCTGGAGGATAACGTAAGTTCCACATCGCTCCGTCGATTCTTGGACTAGATTCTTAGGCTAACTGAAATTTATAGTGCTATCTGTCTACCCATCGCCGTCTTTCTCTGGATCGTCGGTCTACTTGTCTTCTTCGGCCTGCCGAACTACTACCGACAAACCCCTGGAAAGGTCCCCTCCTTTTACAAGTCGGTCTTTCGGCGAAAGATCATCCTGTGGAACTTTGCTGTGGTTATCATCCAGAACTTCTTCCTCAGTGCACCATACGGGCGGAATTGGAGCTGTAAGTCCTCTGCCCCAGGACGCGGTTATCATAGACCATGACTGACAACATCCGTTCCATATATAGTTCTTTGGAGCTCTAAGAATGCCGAAGCATGGCAAGTGGGAATCCTGTGTGCTTTTTTCTTCGGCGTCGTCTGGGCGGCATTGCTGTTTCTCTTCGGTTATCTTTCCAAGTCACATAGCTGGATCATCCCAGTCTTCGCGTGTGGCCTCGGGGCCCCACGATGGGCCCAAATGCTATGGGGAATCTCAGGGATTGGTCATTACTTACCTTGGGCCGGTGGGGATGTAGGAGGGGCCTTGGTCTCTCGGAGCCTCTGGTTGTGGTTAGGAGTGTTGGATTCCCTACAGGGCCTAGGGTTCGGAATGATCTTGCTCCAAACTCTGACCCGGATACACATATGCTTTACCCTGCTTGCATCACAAGTCCTTGGTTCAATTGCGACGATTTGTGCGAGGGCATTTGCTCCGAACAATATCGGCCCTGGGCCAATTTCACCAGACCTCACAGCCGGCGCCAGCTCGGTTGCGAATGCTTGGTTCTGGATCGCTATATTCTTCCAGTTGATTATTTGGTAAGCACACTACAATTGTTGTGGACATTATTCGAGCTCATAGCTAATACGCTGTCACAGTGGTGGATTCTTGTTATTCTTCCGAAAGGAGCAACTCTCGAAGCCTTGATAGATATATAGACGTCCGGTGTTGGGTTGGGATATTTCTTGGTCTTTTAGGGACTGATCTTTCTCGTTGATAATAATGTACTATCGCAACATAGACGACAAGCTTTGTATATGAGTGATGGCTTTTCGGTGGATGGGTCATGTTTATGTTATTGAATGAATGCCAAATGTCATGTCATGTCATCTGTTTGTTTATATAGCCTCCTGTCGCTACTATACCACGTTTTACTTGATTCTTAGCCTATTCAATACGTGTTGAATTGCAAGGCCAAAGGTAGAGAATATCCCCCTCCCTAAGCTCTTCTCCGTCGAAGAGCAGACCAGGCCCTGGTCACGGAAAAGCTTGATGGAAGGATACAGGATACAGCATAATATCAACCGTTGGGAGCAACGCCGGACCACCAACATCTAGACTCTTTTCGGTCTTTCCAAATCCAATATGGACATTAAAGATGTATATCATTATCGAAATTTCATACGTGTCTGGTATTTAACAATCCCTGGGCCAATGATCCCGAAAACGCGCCCAAATGCAGTGTACAGCAATGACAAACAAGGGGAAAAGAAACACCGGTTGGCGCGTATAATAGCGCGTAAAAACGAAGACAAGAACGTTTTGTGGGAACGGATAGGTAGATAGATAGAGAAGGGGTGGGGGTGGAGGATCACAAATGCATCAACGGTCGTTATAAGTTTGTCAAGTCACCAGAGCTTTTGAAAAAGGGTTAAAATAGGATTTTTTTGTTTTTTTTTTTTTACCACTCCAGAGGCTCGGTCTTGACGTCGCCCCGGTTGGTCTTGGGCACCGGAACGGCCTGGATCATGGTGGCGCCGCGGGCTCCACGCTTGAGGAAGCCGCTACCGTCGAGCCAGGGGGTCTCGAGGGTACGCTTGGACTCGAAGGAGCGGATCTTGTCCTCCATCTGCAGGGTGAGGCCGATGTCGTCGAGGCCGTTGACAAGGCAGTGCTTGCGGAAGCCGTCGACTTCGAAGGCGGCGAGCTGGGCGCCGGCGGCGTCGCGGATGACCTGGTTGACGAGGTCGATTTCGAGCTCGCGGCCGGCGCGGGCCTCGGCGGCGATGGCCTGCAGGGCGGCCTCGTCGGAGACGACGACGGGGAGCATGCCGTTCTTGAAGGTGTTGTTGAAGAAGATGTCGGCGAAGGAGGGGGCGATGATGCACTTGATACCGAAGTCGAGGAGGGCCCAGGGGGCGTGCTCGCGGGAGCTACCGCAGCCGAAGTTGGGGCCCGTCACGACGAGGACCTTGGCCGCGCGGTAGGGCTCCTGGTTGAGGACGAAGTCCGGGTTCTCGGCGCCGGTGGCGGGGTTGTAGCGCAGCTCGTAGAAGAGCGCGCTGCCCAGGCCCGTGCGCTTGATGGTCTTAAGGAACTGCTTGGGGATGATGGCGTCGGTGTCGACGTTGGACCGGTCCATAGGCGCCGCGATGCCCTTGAGCGTGGTGAACTTGGGGAGACCCGCGCTGGCGCCGGAAGCCGTCGCCGCGGAGGTGTTGGCGTGGGGCTCGTTGCCGCCGGGCATGTCCATGATGCGGTCGAACTCGTCCTCAGTCGTGGGCTCCTCGTGGTGCTGCTCCTCCTGCTGCTGGGAGATGTTGACGTGTGGTTGCACCTTGCCCAGCACGGGGCTGGTGGAGACGTGCTCTCGTACGTCGGCGAGCTTGCCCACGATGGCGGCCGCGGCGGCCATGGCGGGGGACATCAGGTGGGTGCGGCCACCGGCACCCTGGCGGCCCTCGAAGTTGCGGTTCGAGGTACTGGCGCAGCGCTCCTGGGGGGAGAGGATGTCCGGGTTCATGCCCAGGCACATGGAGCAGCCGGCCTCACGCCACTCGAAGCCGGCGTCGGCGAAGATGCGGTCGAGACCCTCGGCCTCGGCCTGCTGCTTCACGAGACCGGATCCGGGGACGACCATGGCGCGCTTGATGTTGGCGGCGATCTTCTTGCCGCGCACGACCTTGGCGGCGGCGCGCAGATCCTCAATCCGCGCGTTGGTGCAGGATCCAATGAATACCTTGTCCACGGCGATCTCCTGCATCGGGGTGCCGGATTGCAGACCCATGTACTCGAGGGCACGCTTGCAGGCAAGCTTGCGGTTCTCATCCTCAAAATCGTCGGGGCTGGGCACGACGCCGGTGATGGGGATCACGTCCTGGGGCGAGGTACCCCACGAGATGGTGGGGATGATGTCCTTGCCGTTCAGCAGGACGGTGTTGTCATAGACGGCATCCTCATCGGAGGCCAGGCTGGACCAGAAAGCAACCGCCTTCTTCCATTCGGGGCTGTCGTACTTGGGGGCCAGCGGCCGGCCCTTGAGGTATTCGAATGTGACCTCATCGGGGGCGATCATGCCCGCGCGCGCACCAGCCTCGATGGACATGTTGCACATGGACATGCGCGCCTCCATGCTGAGGCCGCGGATGACGGAACCGCAGAACTCGATCACCGTACCGTTACCACCGGCGGTACCGATGACTCCGATAATGTGTAGGATCACATCCTTGCTGGTCACGCCGGGGGGGAGCTCGCCATCGACCTGGATGCGCATGTTCTTGCTCCGGCGGGTGAGGAGGGTCTGGGTGGCGAGGACGTGCTCGACCTCGCTGGTGCCGATACCGAAAGCGAGGGCACCGAACGCGCCGTGTGTCGAGGTGTGGCTGTCACCGCAGACGACGGTGGTGCCGGGGAGAGTGAAACCCTGCTCAGGACCGATGATGTGGACGATACCCTGACGCTTATCTCCCATGCCGAAATATGTGAGGCCGAAGTCCTTGACGTTCTCTTCGAGGGTGGTACATTGCAGACGGGAGTCGTTCTCTTCGATGAACTCTTCGACGTTCTTGAAGTTTTTCCGCGAGGAGGTGGGGATGTTCTGTTGGAGACGACAGTTAGTTCAGTCTTGTCGATCGAAGGCAAGAGAGAGAACGTACGTGATCAACTGTGACGAGAGTGCAGTCCGGCCGGCGGACCTTGCGGCCAGCATTCTTGAGACCTTCGAATGCTTGCTATAGAGAGCTGTTAGACCATCGCCTATTCTGTACACCAGAGAGCAATTATAGTATGACGATGGGGGGCGCATTGCGACTTACTGGAGAAGTCACCTCATGGACGAGGTGTCTGTCTACCGAGCTTGTTAGCGGTCTTGAACTTCACTCCGTTACGGTCTGCGAGATGGCATACCGATATAGATGAGAAGAGTGCCATCCTCCTGCTCATTGACAATATGATGGTCCAAGACCTTGTCATACAGGGTCTTGGGCTTCTTGTCTGCGCCAGGCATGAGGGGCAAAAGGGAAAAAAAAGACGGAACGTGGGGAAGAACAGGTATACACAACAAAGCGATGCAAGGCGTCGTCTGCTTCAGCTAGAGGGGATACGAGCAAGTTGAATAGTTCCCGAAGCTGTCAGCTCTTGTGAATAATATGACACAGATTGATGATGTCTTGTTGAGCGAGCAGATGCCAACATTTTTAACCGCAGTCGAGGCCGCGATGTCGCTCGGCGTCTACGAGGGGCAGGTCCGACTTCGGCCAGGTCAGCACCGAATATACCCGCGCTGATTGGTCGGTAGGTGTGCCGGTACCGGCGCGGAAGATCGATCGCTTAGCGTCGGCATGTTGGGCCGATGCATAGTTGAGTCAGCAGCTATCTGGATAATCTGGTAGAGCCTGAGTACTACTAGAGAGAGAGCAGCAGCCCAGCAGGTAGTCGAGACGGTGAAAGAGTCATCGCGATCAGTCTCTATGGTCTACTATCGTTATCGATGGAGATGGCCCTACATGACAGTTGACTCATCCAAAACACTTAGGTTCTGACGCTTCAAAGGTAACTATGGAGTAATTGAATAATAGAGCAGCAAATGCTCAGACAAAGAGACGGCGCTACTCGGACTCCGATGGGATGTTTTTACAGCACATATAATTGGTTCCACACCAACGGTCTACTTATGCATGTCTCGTGTCTACACCAACTGTGTGCATACTGAAGGAGTCAAGATCATCGTTGAAATTGATCCAGATATACTTTGTACTTACTCTACAGCACTACTCCACTATACGTACTCCGAACTACTGCATCCCAGAGAGATAAAAACAAAGTCATATGCATATATATTTAAGTCAACATCATACTATACGTCGAATAATAATGATCAATCGATCGATCAAGCCAACCCGATGGGTTTCGGTTCCGTGACAAAGGCCAATGGAGCACTCGCAGCCAACAGCCCCGTTGCTTGGCCCGTCACATTCGGATCGGGCCCAAAGATGTTACCCGGGAAGCCGATATCGAAGGGCTTGACGCTCTCGAGATACTCGACTTGCTCGGGCGTCAACTTGATGCTCAGCGCCTGAATATTGTCGTGCAGGTGTTCAACCTTCCGTCCCCCGACGAGCGGGAACACATTGGACACCTTGGCCCGGACATATGCCAGCGCAATGGCCGTCACGGACTCGATGCCATGCTCCGCCGCCACCTTGGCAAGCGCCTCGCTCATCCGGGCCTCCTCCTCGGTCTGTTCCTTCACGGGGTCCAGGCTGCGCAGTTGCTCGCCCTTCTTCTTTCGCTCCTCCAGCGCCTTCTTCGTCTGGAACTTGCCGCTGCCCAACACGTCCCATGGGGCCAACGCCATCCCAAAGTGTCGCGCCATGGGGATGATGTCGCGCTCAAAGTCCCGGAGCATCACGTTCCAGCGTCCCTGGTAGATGCTGAAGGGAGTCTTGCCGTGCGCGCGGGCGTACGTGTTGGCCGCGCTGACCACCCAGGCCGGCGCGTCCGAGATCCCCAGGTACATGACCTTGCCCTGTTCGACGAGCATGTGCATGCTGTCCATGACCTCTTCAATGGAGGTGGTGTAGTCCCACCAGTGCAGGTACAGGATATCGATGTAGTCGGTCTGCAGCTTCTGGAGCGAGTCGCGCACGCTTATGTTCAGATTGCGTCGATGGTTACCGCAGCAATTGGGCGCATTGCCCTTGCCCACGGCGTGGGACCGGTAGTCGGTCGTGAACTTGGTGGCGATGACCATCCGGTCGCGGTTTTGGCGGGCTGCCATCCACTCGCCGATCCAGGTCTCGGACTGCTCGTCTTGGTAGTTGTTGGCGGTGTCGATGAAGTTGCCGCCGGCCTCGACGAAGGCGTCAAGCAGCTTGAAAGAGGACTCCTTGTCCATCGACCCCAAGATGTACGACCAGGAGTCGCCGATCGACATGGCTCCGAGTTGCAGGGGGGACACCCGGATACCCGCAGTCGAGGAGAGAATGCGGTACCGTCCGAGCTCGGTGGAAGGCTCTGGTGCGGGTCGGAAGATTTCAGCCATGGTGAGTGGTGTCAAGAGATGTTATCAAGTGCAGGATTGTTGTGTAAGATAGATTGGAAGGTATTCTGTGTGCTGTAGAGAAAGACAACAATATCTCAACGGTCGTAGATGGAGACCTTTATACTCGAGCGAGATCATGGCCAGCCATTGTCCTCCCCCAGATCATTCATCCGCCGTAAAGCATACCTACTATCTCCGAACTCATGAGTTTCCTCCAGTGGCGAAGTAACTCCATGGTGATCTAAATGCGAGCGGCTGACAGCGGCGGCGGAGATACACACAATTATGGGTAGGCACTAGGCAGCTGGACTGCTGGAGCTTTACCAAGTATAATAATAATACGAAGACAAGAGCCTATTTGCCTTGGCTGACCGGGGGAGTTCTGGACTTTAGTTTTGGAGTTAAGATGATGAATTCTCGCGTGGAGACTAGATAGAATTTAGGACGCGGAGTTAAGCGGGATCGATGATCGACTATAGAGAGTCTAGAGGCTGATCTCCGAAGGTTATTATTCTGCTTACATAGCTACAAACTTACAATTCTTGCTGACGCCCGGAGATTATTATTATTGCAGTCACTGTCAGCATTATTATTATATAGTCTAAGGAATTAAAAGAGCTCCGGCCTGATGGATCAGCCGATCTCAAACTTCGCTTTTGCATACAAACTAGGTACAAGATGGCGTTGTGGATTAAAAAAAAGAAAAAAAAAAGAAAAACAATGGAACGCATATTTAGTATACATCTCTATAGTCTATCCTAATTGAAAGTCCATGCTAAACTCCCGGCCCAAATGCCCGATTATCCTGCTGGAACACCAACAATGCCAGACGATGGCGTACAAGCAAGCCAAGGATACCACAGGCGGTTTGAAGAAGCACCATATGCCACGCAAGGCAATCCTCCCGCATCGGACCCATCCAGACCAGCCACAGATTCAAGACCGTCAGGTTAGTCGACTCGACGATCTCACCATCCGCATTCTTGACGAGGCGAATCAGTCGTAGCCGGTGCAAGATCTCCAGGCCAGTAGCCACAAGAGGAGACGGTGGCACGGTCCACTCTGTCACCGACGCATCCAGCATCCCGCTCATCGCGTTGAATTTGGGCAATCGGTGACGAGGACAGGGGATAATCTTGAACAGCTGCGGGGTCGAATACAGGAAATTGAAGATCTGCGGGATGAACAGAAGAAGGAGCGTTTTGCTGAAGTGGCCGAGAATCCCCACCACGGCGAAAACCATCCCCGCAAAGTAGCAGTAGGTGTCGCCGACGAACACCCTGGAAGGGTACCAGTTGTGGCATAGCAAGGCGAAAGAGACACCGACAAAGGGGAGGAGAAAGTACAAGGAAAAGAGATGCGAGTCGGTGGCAGGATGCGGGAATGGGGTAGTAGGTGCGACATACAGCAGGTCATTGGCAATCAACAGGACAGCGATCACGAGAGACTGTGCGACCTCCACGCCATTGATCCCCGCCAGCATGTTGATGGAATTAGGGCAGAAGATGGCAATGGCCGCCATATACACGTAGTATAGCCATCCCAGGTCCATAAAGGAGCCCAGGTAGGGCTGCAGCGGTACCGGAACGACCACGTGCGTCACACCAAAGTCCACAAAATACACAATGAGCATAGGGATGCTCCCAAATGCCGGGATCAGCACTTTATGTCTCCAACGGATATCAAGTAGATCATCGCCGATACCCAGTATGACGATGCATTGCAACGACAGAAGGCCAGAGAGATAGGAGGCGAGCTGCAGCGACGTGTCAGTCCTTACATGAACCTGATATGGGAGGAAATATTGGAATGAACCTTGGAATGCGGGAACCGATGTAAAAAACGGCCATTCTCGACATGGTCAATCTCAAGAACTACATCTCGATTTCCACCACCCGAGGTGGCTGCCACAATGTCCTTGTAAAAGGCAAAGGGTATGAAGAAGATGAGCGCCAGGAGGTATACCACGGCACAAACCGCCCCCATTGTCTCTGGTCTGGTACATGACAGTCAGCAATGGCAAATTTCTCGCGTTCTGAGGATGCCTTTTCAATGACAAATACCGAGCAACGACAAACTAATGAAGAGGAGAAACAACGAGGCGTCCACATACATCTCAGGTCTCCTTGGCTTGGCCATATCTTTGCCTTTCAAGCCCGCCTTGAGAAATACAGGTCCCAGCCATCGGATCAGACTGAATGTCACCACAAAGGCAACAGCACTAAACGCAATGGATGCGATCAAGGGCGCGCCGTCGCCTTGGAGAGAATTGACAATGACACCGAGGCCTGCTCCCGCCAGGATCAAGAGGCGCCATGTCTCCCGGCGGGAGAGAGAGCTTGAAGATGCAGCGTTCGTCATCCTTAAAGCAAGTCCTGCATATCTGCCTTGAGCTCTGTCTAAGTACGAGCTTCAAATAGCAACCATAAAGATTCCTGGGATATCCTGGGGCAGTTCCACCCCGAGCAGTGGAATGCAATCTGGCTTCAACCTTCTCTACTCCGATGTTCATTCTGCCGACCATTCGTTGACCGCTAAATCGGCGGTCAACAGCTTGTCAAGTAGTCCGCATGCGGAATAGCGTCAAGCTCTCCCCCACGGGCTGATTATTGTGGTGTTGATTCACAGCGCTATTATTCCCATCTAATAATGCGCATGCACATCCTTCTTGACTCTCTATATGGATGGTATGCTTGTCTACTGGGACCCAGTCAGACGCGCTTTCTTAACTCCTGATTGTGTCTCTTCTGTATGATCCCCCAATTAATTAAAATTGGTTACCGGGATCCTGGACAAGGGACACCTTGATCGGCCCGACATGTCTTCTGGGTTCGCCGATTTCGATGCCGGTCATCGTGACTTGGTAACTGTGACCAAATTTAATTTCTATGGCAATCGTATCGTCACTGCTTCTTCGGATCATCGCATGAAGGTTTGGGACCAGAAAGACGGCGAATGGCAGCTGGTGGATACGTGGCGCGCTCATGATGCAGAAATACGCGATGTAAGTTGTTCTTGGAAAACCCAATTGACGCTTCATACTTATTATGCGGAATAGGCTACTTGGAATGGCCCATTCACCGGTCAGCACATTGCCAGCGTAGGGGAAGACATGAAATGCAAGATCTGGCAAGAAGACGTCACTCAACCTCCCAACTCAGGGCGACGTTTCAGGTCCATCTTTCGGATGACGGCTCCGCAACGGCATCCGTTCGTCTCAATAGACTTCCGTAACATCGATCTCGAGTCGTGGCTTGCTGTAATCACCCGGGATGGCTACTTGATGATCATGGAGCCTGTCGGTCCAGACTCTCTCGCGGACTGGCAGCCCCTCGACCAGTTTCGAGTTTGCGCGGCTCCTCAAAGAGGGGAGGAGACAAGCTTCAAAGTGCAGTTCCACCACGATCCCGCGGATATCACCCATCTTGTCAATTCCGGTTGGGACCGCAAAAGTCTTTCCGTTGTTGTGGCAGCAATGGATAGCGTCAAGGTGTATCGTACAGACGCCAACCGTCGCTTTTACCACGCAATCGAGCTGACTGGACATGGCGGGCTTGTCAGAGATATCTCCTGGGCCAACGGCTCTGTTCGCGGCTACGACCTAATTGCAAGTGGCTGCAAGGATGGTTTTGTCCGGGTCTTTGAAGTGTACACATCGAAGTCTGACGGTGGTTCTCAGAATGCCAATGGGAAACACGTTGAGTCGCAATCGCAATCGCCTTCCCTGCGCGCAACTGCGCAGTCTGGGATCGGATCGGCTCTGGCACATCGCACACCTGAGTCGGTAACAAATCGGCCAGCGAATGGTGATTCGAACTTCAAGCATTCTTTTAAGCAGGTCGCTTGTCTCGACAGCCAGCATCTTGATGTATGGCAGGTAGAATTTTCATACGCAGGTGAATATCCGAAAACCTACATTGACCTCCAATTTTATCTAATATAGTGCTCAGGGGATTGTCTCATCTCATCGGGTGACGACGGTGCTGTGCGCTTCTGGAAGAAATCCTTGTCGGGGAAGTGGCTCGAATACGCCGAAACCAATATGGCCGATCAATGAGATTCCACCGTTTCTAATTCTTCAAGTTCTTTAACAATGCACCCTTTGATCCCTTTTTAGCCGATCCTTTCAGCAGGGAAGTGAGTTGGGGGTTATTGAATTCGCGTCCTTGGTGTTGTGGTATCACCAGGAGCCTGCTGCTACTCCATCCTCATCCCTGTTTTTGTGTGTTAGATTATGATACCCTTTCATCTTTTCTTGGCAATTAAGCCCTATCTTTAATCTTTATCTCTTCTGAGTGACTGATATGATCAGAATCTGCTTCCGGCATTAAGGTCAAGGACATGCTGCATCTGAGTTTTTCACACCCAGGCCATCTGCTCCTTCCAATTCTCAAATAACACGGACTCTGGGTTCGGTGTGGCGATCGCATGCGAGGCAGTTACAGCCATCTTGCCCTATTCACCCTATTTCGTCCGATCTCTATCTTCCTTCGTCTTTTCCGTCTTATCAATTCTCTCCTACAGCTTGTCCCTAGGTGCCTTACATCCTTACAGACAGAATGATCCCCGAGTCTCTCCTTCATTATTCTTAAAAGACATCATCATGGCTGTAGGGCCGACTCTCGGGACCGGTCTCTTTATTGGCGCCGGCCAGGCGCTGGCTGTCGGTGGTCCAGCTTCGCTCCTCGTCTCCTATCTATTCTTATCGGCGTTGGTTTATTGTCTTGCTACAGCCGTCGCGGAGATTGCAGCTCATATGCCCCTTCGAGATGGGACTATGTTGACTCATGGCTACCGATACGCATCGACACACTTGGGTTTCTCAATGAGCTACCTTCGTTGGTACTCGTTATCAATGCTGATCCCATTCGAGATCACCAATGCCATCGTCAGCCTTGGTCTGGTCAAGCCTTCTCCCGCAGTCGTTCTTCGCGTTAGCATTCCTGCCGCGATAATTTTCGGTTTCAACATGCTTCCCGAAAGGATGTTTCAACGGTCACAGGCTGCTTTCACCCATTTGAAGTTAATTACAAGCTCAGGGCTTGTCCTTCTGTCCATCGTCTTTGCCATTCCAGGTGTTCCTCATTCTCCCGTGCGTGGATTTCAGTACTGGAACAATCCTGGTCCCATGAATGAGTTCGTCTACAGTGGCCACTTGGGTCGGTTTTTGGGTCTGCTACAGTGCCTGTTGTATAGCACAATTGCCTTCTCCTTCGCTCCGGAACTCATCGTTCAGAGAGCCGAGCAGCTGGACTCAGAAAATCAAGCCAACGTTCTGAGCGTGGCACGAACTGATATGATCCAACTGCTTGCGCTGTACATCCTCAATGCACTGGCCATGGGTGTGATGAGCCCTTCGACTGATCCCTCATTGACCAACCATGGCATTGGAGCGGGGGCTTCTCCCTACCTGGTGGCGATCAAAGCAATTGGGATCCCTGTTCTGCCGGTGGTTGTGACCGTGTTGATCTTTCTCTCATCTGTGGCATCGGGACGCTCGTTTCTTTTCACGTCTTCCCGCTTGCTATGCTCTCTGGCTGAAGCCGGGCATGCCCCGGAATTATTTCAGCGGCGCAATCGGTGGGGCGTGCCTTACATGGCAGTCATTACATCCGCGCTCTTCGCCAATTTTGCGTACCTCTCCGTGATAATATCCAGCTCCGTTGTCTTCAATTCTCTCATGCAGTTCATCACTACTTCGGGGTACATTTCCTGGATCGGCTCGTGCATCGTTTACCTTCACTTTCGTCGACAGACGGAAGGACTGGGCTTCACGTCGGTGCACCGAGCCAGGATTCAGCCGTATGGAGCGTACGTTGCGATTGCCAGCTGTACCGTGCTGCCCGTGGCCAACGCTTTCATCTTAGCGACACCGTCACAGCTCACAGCCAGCAAGTTGGTTCCGCTATACATCGGAATCTCCTCGTTTTTTCTCCTCTATTACGGTCATCACGTGGGCTCTTTCCTTGCTCAGAAAAAGACCAAGGTGAAAGAGTCTGTGGTCGAGGAACCTGGTGACTGGGCCATCGAGCTCTCCCCGCAACCTCCGACGGTGGAACCCGGTACTTGGGCCATGAGTGAGACGTGATGGCCAGCGCAACGCTGTTGGAGTCGTAATCAAACCCGAGGGGGAGGTCGGGGGTCCGGAGTCCAGGTGTAACCGAACTGCCGTGTCTCTACCTGTCATCTGGCGACGTCGAAAAGGGTCGTACTTGCTCGCTAGACTGTTCAGCTGGAATTCTATTCCTATAGTTATGGGACGAATAGAGGCTCTATGAATCTGTTGAGATAATGCTTTTTATACTCAAGGGTAATCCGTCTGCTATAGTACAAGGTTGCCACCAATGGGTTCCTCAATCGGCATGAATGTACGAGGCACAAGGTTGTCTTTGTAAGGAATAAATGAACAACATCATTTACATATACGGCTCCTGTCTGTTTCTCCGGGACCTAGGTAGATCTTATCACTTACTCTATCCAGTCGCAAAATGCTTGGGGGGATCAATGCTACTTGACTGCCTCAGGCAATAACGAATCTCGGATCAACTATTGAGCATGGAGAGTCCTCCTTGACACCATCATCAATGCTATTCTTGATCTTTTCTACTTCTTCTTTTCTCCTACATTTTCTCTCCTTGACAGTGAGCCCGAAAATATTTACAGCGTGGAGGGGAGAGGCAAAAACTTCCGCTGTTGCCATCGACAACTCGCTTTGGGAAGCGTCGGGGCCTAAAGAAAGAGGTTGGGCCATCTTTGTGAGCAACAACAGCAGCAGCAGCACCACGGCAATTCTTCTTTTCCTCTCGAGAGTTATTACTATGGCTTCGACTGCTTTTTCTGTCTTGCAAGTCTCTAGTTTTCTTTGATCTCCTTCTCTGGATTTGTATACTTTCTAACAGGAAGAATCCCCCATCTTTCTCGACTCGGGCCCGGCAAGACCAGACGGCTACTTTTTTTTTTTTTTTTTTTTTTTTTCTTTTCCTCTCTGCTGCCACTGCGGTATTATTCTCCCCTCTTCCAACGCCAATTCAGCCGATATCTATCTCCCAGGTCAAAATCAGATTTATTGTATTATTGAGGCTCCTTGATCTCTATCATTTTCTTCCCTTTGGTCATTCTGAGATGATTCTCTATACCCTCCCCCCCAGAGCATGCTGCTTCGAGAGCGAGATCAGTACCACGCAGGGGGGATTGAGGCTGCATATCTTCTGAGTTGTCCTCGATCCTGAATTCTGAATGAATCCGATCCCGGAGTAATTCCCTCATCCAACCGACTGCCCTCCAGGATGATACTGAGTTGTTCGATATCTGACTGACTTCACAGAGGGTCCAAGAGACCCGCCAAGTTGCGGTTCGATTGACGACTGAAACAGTTCTCTTGCAACGACATTTTTTTGATACTTCTTTTGTCCTTGTCCCATATCCATCTTTCTACTACTAGTTACTAACTACTAGTAACGACTGTCTGCGGTAGTCTGACTGAGAGATTTATTGGCTGGGTTGCCTGACTCGGGGCCAAATGTACAACACGCGGATGAACGCTTCCACCTGACATGATCGGCCATTGCTGTCTGTCTTGCTCCCTTGGCTAATAATCGTCTTCATGGACACTAACCCCAGTCCTCGCTCCTTTCCATCTTTTCTTTTGTATGATTTTCATTCTAAATCTATTCGGAAACAGTCCGCCATTCACATACTTCTTGGAAGAGCAGGAAGGAAATGATGCCTCCTCATTCTTGGGCTGTTGGCCCGCTTTGCTCAGCAAGCTGGGTTTACCTGACTGACCCCGGGGGTTGAAGTCAAACCCCTCTTGACCCTCATCTCTGACTATTGACTACTGACTACTGACTATGGGGATGAGTGCAGTGGAGTCTCGCCTCTCTCATACATCTGTCTACTGACCACCATTGAGATTAATCTACTGAGATGCGCCCTCCTTTCCCTTCCCTCGTTCTCTCTCTCTCTTTTTTTCCGCTTCATGAACCCTGCGTGTCATGTGGATTCCCCGCTATTCCCAAAATGAACCATTCCAATCACCTTTCCTTTTCGGGACTAGCCTCTCCGTGACCTACCGCAAACAGACAAGCGCCAGGATTGACAATTAGATGCCCAACCTCTCAGGCTGCCAGGCATTGAGGCAGCCAAGGCGCTGGTGTAGGGGGCCTGGCTTTTCAGGCCTCCAAACGCAAGCCCTCGAAACGAACCATGTTCGTTTTCGGGATGTCTGAGTCTGATGGCTTGTCTGCACTCGAAACAAAGCTCCTATTCTGGTCTAGGTGTTTTGCTTGCTTTTTGCTTCTCCCGCGTCCTCCCAGTTCCCCTCCTTGGATCTCGTTCTTTGATGGCCAGCCGAGTTGGCATTGGTCCCCGGCCCCCTTCCCATCATCAATCAGTTTTTCTAATTACGATCTTTTGCTCTTGTGTTCTTTTTTTTTTTTTTCTTTTTTTAATTCTTTCCTCCTCTCTAATTCACCTTATCATTATTATCTATATTGGTGGGGGGGGGGGTGGTTTCTCCTTTCTCCTTCTTCATTATCTGGAATGGAGACTCTCAACAAGTCGATCACAAAACTCGTGATCTCGAACCAGATGAGAGCGGGTGGGAAAAGAAAAAAATTCGACGCTTTTCCTCTTTCTGTCGGAAACTCTTGGAACGCCGCTTGAATGGTCCATCCGTGTCTTTAGCCTCTCTCTCTCTCCCTCTCTCACCCTCACACACCCTCACCCTACCACTCTCTCTCCCTCTGGTCGATTCGCTAGGTGCTGCCATTTCATTGATTGCTGCTGCTGCTGCTGCTGCTGCTGCTCTCCCTCCTCCTACTCACTCCTAACCACTTGTGTGTGTCCTCGTCTCGTCTCGTCTCTTCTCCTTCTCCTTCTCTCCCTCTTTTACTCTTTCTCTCTCTCTTCCCTCCTAGCTGCTTCTTTCTCGCTTACCTACCTACCCTTTCACTCTTCATCTCTCATCTCAATCCATCCTTCTTTATTCATTTTCAACTCTCTTCTATCCTTCATTCATCTTTCTTCTTCGTCCTCTTCCACCATTCTCCTGAATCTTTCGTCCCTTTGATCTCAAACTCCCAACGCCATCCGTCGAGTTCTTCTCGTCCTCGATCTTTCTCATCTTTCGCCGTCGCCTCCTTCCTCCATGCGACTCGTGCCTCGCCTGTCTTTGCACCCTCGACGGCTTCTGACTCTCGATACGTCATCCTCTTTCCACGGTCGCACGCGCAATCCACCTCGACAGCTTTGACTTATCCTTACAACGGACTCGATACATACCTCTCGAGATTCGAATCCATCGTCGTTGGCCACGGAAATCATCTCTTCTGACAAGCGTGGTTGATATCTGGCAATATTTTCTCATACCTCTGCCAGGCGTCTGGGCCACTCTTCTGCTGGAGGGTCGCTACACGGGGTTCTCATCCATTCCTTCCCACCAAGGGCAGGATCTACAAGGGCAATCATTCCCCAGGTGGTCGGTGATATGCCTGTTGGGGTTTAAACGGGTCCTTCCAAGCCCAGATCCTCAGAAAACAGCAGCGCGTTCAATCGTCTAGCCTTGGAGGGGGTATTCTGTCGGATTATGACAGATACCTCCCCAGTCGCCATCACGCATTCAACCACGGAGCCTGATCCGGTCACCGTTCCCTTGAACTCCCCCGCCCTCAACGGCGCTGTTTCCGACTCTGCCGTGCCGGACGAGGAAGAGCCGTATACCATCAAATGCATCTGCGCGTTCGAAGATGACGATGGCAACACGGTCTTCTGCGAAGGCTGCGAGACCTGGCAGCATATCGAATGCTACTATCATGGTCGAGCCGTGCCGGACGTTCACAACTGTGTGGACTGCGAGCCTCGCTACCTGGACGCCAAGCGTGCCACCGAGCGGCAGATACGTCTCAGGGAGCGCAACGACAGCGGTGACCGGAAAGCGAAACGGGCAGGGCTCAAGGGTCAGAAAAAGAAGATCAGGGAGCCAGGCGATCAGGTAAACGGATTCCACCATCGCACTGACTCGGGGGCGCGCGACCAGCCACCAGCAAAAAAGGTCAAAACCACGCATCGCGCCACAGGTTCCGTCAGTTCCCTCCCAGGGACTGCACCGCTCCAGCCCGATGCGCGTAAACGTACCGCAAGCTCCATGAGTCCCGCCAAATCCCTGGCCCCTGCTATTTCTCTCTACTCGAATGAATTTTTACACCTCTATGATCGTGATCAGCACCATGCTCCAATGGACAGCAACCTCTTCGTGAATCTCCCTCTTGCCGCAGATCTGGCCTCGTGGGTGACGGAGCCTACGGCTCTTGCTCGAGTGTCTCATGGACGGTCGGCTCGGGATATATTTACTTGGTCGGATGCTGCACTGGATCGGTCTCTGTGGCCGTCACTGTCCACAGAATCCATCACGGATCCCCACGTCGATATTGACGGACGTCACCCGACATGGAAGGTCCTTCGAACACGGGACAGTGTCGCAAAAGATCATATTGTGGGTGAGATTACTGGCAAGATCGGCCTCCTCAGGGACTACTGCTTGGATCCTAGCAATCGCTGGCAGGAACTCCGCCACCCAGAGCCCTTTGTCTTCTTCCATCCTCAGCTTCCCATCTACATTGACAGTCGGCACGAGGGCAGCATCCTTCGCTATGTGCGGCGCTCCTGTCGCCCCAATGTGACTATGAAGACCTACATCACCAATGAAGTCGAGTATCACTTCTGCTTCGTGGCCAAGGATGACATTCCCGCCAATTCCGAAATTACCGCCATGTGGTACCTGGATCCTCAACTTTTCGAGTCGACTCAAGGCCTGGTGAAGCAAGAGTCAAGTGACAGCGTTCAGGAAGTTGCTGCCGGCTGCATCAGCAACGTGTTGGCTAATTTTGGAGGCTGTGCTTGTGATCCTCCGTCCAACTGTTTGCTCGCAAGTGTGGATCGCAGACGACATCCGAAGGCTGCTCTTGAACCCAAACAGGCCAATGGTAAGCGGAAAAAGGTCAGGACCAAATCCAACGTCTCTCCTCCGGCGACCAATAGTCGCGCGGGCAGCGAGACGACCAAGAACATGGATGAGGACGAGCAAGTAGACAGTCGTTCCGCCTCTGGTTCCACGCGTTGTCAGCCGCGCAGTCGGGATCTGACTCCAACGCTGTTGCACCACGATGGCGAATCGGAGCTGTCGGCTCGCGAAAAGCGCAAGATCGCGGCTGCAGAGAAGAAGTTCCAGCAGTTGGAACATGACCAGCATTTAACGAGTAGGAAGAAGAAGCGGCCTAGCGGGCAGTCCAACCAAGCAATGGGCCATGGCCAGCCTCGCACCGCCTCTTCCACCTCGCCGTCAGGAACCATGGCGCGAAAGACTTCCGGCACTGGTCCCATTCACGCGCGGTCCTCCCACGCACGTCCACAGTATGTCGACTCGGCCATCCAGACCGAGCCGGATGCTGCGGATGGACTGGGCACGTCTCTCATGCCGCCCTCGCGACGTCCAAGCTTTGTACCATTAACCCAGCGGTTGCTGAAACGCTGCCATGCTGACCATTTTCGGTTGGAGGCGGTCAGCCGACGACCGCTTCTGTCACCATCGTCTCAATCCGCCGTCTCTCCACTATCTGGAAGCCCACACGGGGCTCTCCATGCGCACGCCACTCCACCACATCGGACGACGGCTGAGACTGAAGACGTAGACATGCAGGATCCCGACTCTCCAACCGTCATGTCTTCTGGTGGACGCTCCCAGGGACGCGAGGTCGAAAACCAGGCGAGCCCTCTGTCAGCTACCAAGGGGATGACCAAGCCTACTGTGCCACCTCCCTGGCCCTCTACTGCTGCCCATAACGCTCCGGTACCAGGTCGCATGACGAACGGCCATCGTACAAGTCTTCAGGTCCCCCTGCCGCCCTCTGATATCACACCTGCTCCGGCCAGTGTCAGTCAGGGCTCGGCCACCCCGTCAACTGTGGATTCCACCGCTCTCCCCATGTCCGCTGCTCATGGATCGGGTGTGACTGCACCCAGTCCGGTTAAAAAGAAGCTGAGCCTCGGAGACTATCTCATCCGGAGGGGAACCCTGGCGGGCGACAAGAACCAGGCACAATCGACTACTATGCCTCCTCCACAGAAGCCTGCGTCGGAGCAGTCTCCTACCAGCCATGATTCATCCACCGGGGTGAATCCTCCCTGGCCCGAAGCCAAAGCGGTGGGGGAAGCCGAATCAGCCAAGCGGGAAGGCCCCAGCGCACCGGACGTGACAATGAAGGATACACCAAGCTCTACGCAGACCTCACATGTCTCATCCCTCGCCCTGTAATCTGCAGTTTTCTTTGTTTTCTCTTACCTTGGTGGCCCTCGGGGCCGGAGCCTCTTGATCGTTTCTCGACCAATACCCTTCTTAGTGGAAAAGCGTTTCAAGCAAGTCTCCTTTCTTTTTTTTTTTTTCTTCTTTCTCTCCATGCGTTGTGATCCTACTTTTCACCAATGCTGTTCGTGTACACGGTGGGAATTGGCGTTTTAGCCGTGGGAAATCGGGGTTTGTTTTTGACACACAAAAGGCGTCTCGGGGCGTACGTTGGAAGCGGAAATACTCTGGGATCGGGATGGGCAACAGGGTGTTGTTTGGTTCTTCCTTGCTGACGGTGCAGCATCTGCTTCACTCGTCTTTTTTTCCTCTTTTTCTTCTCTTCTTTTCTGTCTTCTACTTCCTCCACTTCTCTTTTGCTCGGCGATCCATTAGGCTTTACTTGACGTTTGATATCTGCGACGACTCTGTGTTTCCACAGGGACTTGACGGCATTTGACGATCCTGACTTGATCACTCGAGATGAACCCAATGCAGAAATTAATCTAATGGCTGCTATTCGAATTCTATTTCTTTGTTTCACTTGTAGATGGGGGCGAGTTGGCTGGACGAGTTGACGTTGGGTTGTGAGATTTGCTGGTATGCTGGTATACTTGCTGTGCTTCATGCAGACAGACCCAGCCGCCCGGGAGACAATGGTTTTTATTCGGGGTCCATCGCGGCATTCTCTGGGTGTGTTGCAAGTGACTCAATGGCTTCTCTTTCTCTCTCTGCCTGTCTCTCTCGGGAACTATATTGGCGTTGCATTGATGTCTGCTAACTGCTTCTAGTGACCAATGACTCCTGCCGGCACGCGGGGTAAACCAGATCAACCGTGATCAAAATTGAAATTGTGACTCTGACCTTGACTTGTCTCTCAACTCGTGAACAACATCGTGAAGGAGAGTCTCATCGAAACAACATGTCCGACCCCAATACCACAGAGCTGCATACTCTAACCAGTTCGCCACCCCATGACATCGAGCAGCCACCGCTGCCACCGACAGACCGAGGGAAAGATGCTTGGCTGATGCTGGCTTCGTGTGGGTTGATTCAGATGCCAGTCTGGGGTGCGTAGGACGTCTACTAGGTATCTCCTGGATCACTCGCTGAACGGCTATGCAAAAGGCTTCTCGCTCGTGTTCGGTATCTTTCAAGAGTACTTCATGACACACGACCAGCTCAAGGGAAGTAAAGGGGATCTGGCGATCGTGGGCACCACGTCAACGGTATGGTAGATATTTCTCTCAGACTACTAGACGTATACTGACTGGATGTCCTAGGGGATTCTATACCTCCTCTCGCCGGTCACCTTCACCCTTCTCACCCGCTACCCGTATCTTCAGAAATACTGTGCTACCTTCGGTCTATTCCTCAGCGTCGGTGGATCGCTCCTTTCGTCCTTCTCGGTGTATGTCTGGCATTTGATCTTGACACAGGGTGTCATCTGTGCCGTTGGTAATGGGCTCCTGTTCAGTCCAACGACTTTGTATCTGGACCAGTGGTTTGTCCGGCGAAAGGGCCTCGCGTACGGCATCATGTGGGCCGCAAAAAGCGCCTGCGGCGTGGCTCTGCCCTTTGCTGCACGTGTCTGTCTGGAGCGCTGGGGTCCCAGGATCACCCTACAAGCGTGGAGTATCACCACGGTATGTCCTCTGTGCTCTAAAAAAAAAAAAAAAAAAAAAAAAATTGGTGACCGGCCTTCACCTACTAATGGTCACAACAAAGCTTCTATCCACCGTCGCCGCATTGCCGTTCGTCAAGCCACGTATCCCACCGGCCTCGTCCACCTCTGCCCGACCGTTAGATCTCAGCTTCCTCAAGCTATCCACCTTTTGGTTATTACAGGTCGGGAACATCATCCAGAGCTTTGGGTACTTCCTACCCACCACGTATCTCCCGTCGTACTCCACGGCGGCGGCAGGACTGCCCGACACTGCAGGCACTCTGCTCGTCGCGCTGTTCAACGCCACATCGGTGTTCGGGGGTATCGCTCTAGGCACGCTCTGCGATCGATTTGCAGTCACGAATATCATGCTGTTGTCCTCCGTGGGGTCGGCGCTATCTGTCTTCCTCTTCTGGGGCCTGGCGTCGTCCCGCGAGTCCGCAGCACCGACCTCGTCTTACTCGCACGCTGCAATGACCCTGCTCATCATGTTCTCTATCTCATACGGTTTCTTTGCGGGTGGATTCAGCTCCACCTGGTCCGGAGTGACCACCCAGATTAAACGGGACCGACCGTCGCTGGACACCGGTCTGGTATTCGGGCTGCTCGCAGGCGGACGGGGAATTGGCAATGTCATTAGTGGTCCGTTGAGCACGGCATTGATCAAGCGAGGATCCGTGGCTGGCGGTGAGCATGGTGGAACAGGGTATACGACGGAGTATGGGGCTTTGATTGTGTTTACAGGGGTCACGGCTTTTCTGGGGGCCTGGAGCTGGATGTGGCGGTATCTGACGTTGTGCTACTCCCGTTGACAATTTCTCGTTCTTTTTTTGGAGGAGGGGGAGGGTGTTTCCAGAAGGTCATGTTGTTCTATTATTTGGACAGTTGTGGCAGGAAAGCAAATCGGTTTTTATGGAATCGAGTGTAGTCACGTGATCGGACGAATCTCCTGCTTTCTGCCAGAGCTTCAGCTTTCACCTCACCAGCAGCCAGTAGCCTCAACCCCCATTCATTTCACCTCATTTCCTCTACCGGCCTGCAAAGACTGCTCAAAGATCCCTCTCCCGTACAATCTTTGACAGGTTTTGTTTGTCTGGTCTGCCATTCCCATCATGGCCAGCGTCGATCCCTCTCTCCCAGATCCGCTCCTCGCTCTTCGCCGTGCAATCGCGGCCGGCAGCCTCCCGACACCCACCACCTCCGCCGAGCTCTCGGACCAGCACGCGACCGACGACCTCGCCAAAGCCACGCACCTGTACTTCCGCGATCCCCTCCCCCAGACGCTCGCGCTCACGACACCGACGCGCTTCGTCTCCGCCTCCTCAGACTCCGCCGTCGACCTCCGCAGCATCTTCTTCGCCTGGCAGAAGAAAGATGTCGCCATCCCGGAGTACATCGCCTCGGCGCAGGAGCTGAACGAGGCGCTCTCGCACAAGGAGCGCGCGCAGTCCGATCCCGAGGAGAAGGTCCAGAACCTCGTCTTCGTTGAGCGCCTCGACCTCATCACCTGGCTCGAGGGCGCCTCCGACGAGAGCGAGTACATCAAGCCCCTGGAGGGTGCGGCCGCGGCCGCGGCTGCTGCTACCGCAGCGGCAGTGGCTTTGGCAGCGGCTCAGGCTGGGACGGCGGCGCTTGTCGGTGGTGTGCCGGGTGCTGGTGTGGCGGTCCCTGCTGCGCAGGCGGCTGGGGCGCACGCGGGGCGAGCGCCCAAGGTCATCGACCCTAGGTTGCAGGAGACCTATAATGGGGAGCGCAAGATGGGGGATCGGAATAGTGTGCTTCGCGGGATTAAGCCTACGGTGAGTTCTGACTGGGCTGTGGAGATGGAGACAGAGAAAGAGAGAAAGTGTGTGTGTGAAACTGGGATTGGCATCTAAACTGATTGAAATGGGGCAAAACAGGATTTCTCGCATGTTCGCAAAGTCGCAGAGACCTTCCTTGGTCGCAACCGCTCACGCACAGGACAGTACCCAGCCGGCACGAAGCCTGGCAGCAAGCCGTCGTCGATGCCCGTTGTGCCGGCGCCGTCGGCCGGCCTCTCGCAGCCGCGCAAGAGCGGCAGCTCCAAGAACCAAGACCCCATCATCCTCCTCTCGCCCTCCGCCTCGTCTCTGATCCGCATGTCCAACGTCCGCTCCTTCCTGCAGGACGGCGTCTTCGTGCCCCCGGACCATCCCACGCTCCCCATGCCCAGCGCCTCCAACAATTTCCTCTACATCTACCGCCCGCTCCGCTCCGGCGCCTCGTCGAGCTCGTCCGCGCCGCGTCCCGCGGGCCCACAGTCCGCCGCCGCCCGGAAACCCACCCGCTTCATCCTCGTCGACAGCACCGCCAATTTCCGCCCGGACTACTGGAACCGCCTCGTCGCCGTCTTCACTACCGGCCAGACGTGGCAGTTCAAGTCCTACAAGTGGTCCTCCCCGCCCGAACTCTTCAAGCACGCCTCCGGCGTTTACGTCGGTTGGCGCGGCGAGGACATCCCCCGCGAAGTCCGCGGCTGGGGCCGCGGCGTGCAGAGCTTCGCCGTCGAGCGCTGGGACGAGAAGGGCGGCGTGCACGGCGCCGGCCGCTGGCGGGACCGCGAGGTCGTGGAGAATATCTGGACCGCGATCGAGGAGGGCATGAAAGCAAGAGGGTGGGGGTCCGGGGGCACCACCAAATGATTTCCTTTTTTTTTTTTTTTTTTTTTTTCCCTTTCAAAATACCATGTCTGCATTCCCTCTCCATCATTAGACAGACCACAGACATCTGATGCTCTGCTGCGATGTACCTAACTAACTCGGAACTACTTTTGCTCGCTCGACTTGATTATTATTCTTTCTCTTCTTTCAGCAAGGAAAAGGCGTGATGCGGGTGGGCGGGGAGGCGTTGGTTTGCAACTCGAGTTTCCATACCTTGTTTTCTTTTTCACTTTTTCCCCCATGTTTATTTATTAATCTTCTATCTATCGCATGGCAGGTTTGGTCTTGTCCCCCTCTTCAAATGGATGTTCAATGAGCGTTGGGTGTGGGCTTGATGCCCGGTGGTGAGAACACCCGCTGGGGTTCTACGCCAACACATGATGAGAGGGGGAAAGGGCATTGGAATCGTAGAAAAACGTTCTTGCTAGGCTAGCGCTGCATTTATTACCCAAGTCCAGGGAGAGGAAGTGTTTCTCGAGATGCGTGTCTGGATTCTATAGAATACAGCTCGCGCCTAGGTCTGGAAGAACATGTATCATGGAGAAGTTTGAAGGAAATCTGATGTAGCAAGGTCTGCATAGGCATGTACATGGACTCTTTAGAAAAAGCGAAAAAGAGAAGAGAAATGCTCGGCAAGAAAAAGAAAAAGAAGACAAAAGGCTGTGCAGTTTCATGCATGCATGCAAAGATGAAGGGTAAGCAAAAGGGTAAAAAAAAAGAGAAAAAGAAAAACGCCTTTCTAATGCTGGAAAACTTGCATGTTTCAGCCTCCCCTGCGATGTAAATGTAGAACAAAGGAAAAATAAGAGTAAAGGAGAAGAAAAACAAAAGACATTATTATGAACACCCCAGGCCCAGCCATCTCTATCACATGATCCATAGATCGTAAACATCTTTCATCCGTCGTGATGACTTGATTACAAATGAAGAATATCATAAAGGAGAGTGAGCTGCCGACGAGCTCAACCGTATATCAAGTGTGGGTGATGTAAAAAAAGGAAGAAGTTCATGGAGCAGGGCAGGATCAGTTCGAGTCAGAGTCGCGTAACAGGACAGTGAGAGATATTTTGTCGTATCACTCGATTGGTTGCCCTGAAGAGGCTTCATCTGCCCGAAGCGGCGGAAGTTTGATTGTACCTGAGGTCGGGAAATTCCCAGGTGCTAGAAAAGTCACCTTGACCGGCGTCGAGCCCGACAGAAGGTTGTACTCCGTGCCATGCTGGTGTCTCGCGAGGACGAGCGCAATTCGAGCGAAGCTGCAGTAAGACCAACTCTGGGACTTTGCGCTCACTGGACTTGCAAAAACGCAATTCGTTCTCGGTGGTCAAGAACGCGCCGAACGGCTCACTGAGCGTTCGGGAACAGGTGCAGGGGTAGGCGAATAGGCTCTAGGAGCGCCTATTAAATCCACGTCGTGCTCTTGAAGAACAACAGCGTACTTGGGATCACGCAGGAACTTGGGGACGGAATCCTGTCGTTCAAGTTAGCAATGGATTCCCAATCGCATCGTCTCCAACCAACAAAATACTCACGCTAGACATCAGTTTGAAGACTGAGGTCTGTGCCATCTCGAACAACTGCACGACCTCCTGGAGACTTTTGAACATGGACTCGTCGTCGCCGACAGCTTTTGTCATGCGGCCAGCCAAACTGTTGCGCAGCGCATGGTCGATGTTGAGCTCGCAAGGGGAGCCAGGTGCCAAAAAGGCATTGTAAAGTCCTTGAGAACAGTCAGCCAGAAAGCACAACAATAACCGGTCCGAGCGCAGAACCACTTACCGTATGCCGCAGCGAGCGTTTCGCGAACCGAATCGGCCTTCTTAAATGCACCCAATTTTTCCGCCTTGTGATAGGTAGCAGTGAATTCGGACACATCCAGGTAGAACGACAAGTTCTCCTCGCAGAGCGAGTTCCGCAAGAACTCACGGAACAGCAGCCGCAGAGCAGGATCGTGCAGGATATGGTTCAACCGAGCGTTGTTCGAATCTTTTGGCATACCACGGTTGTCGTAGAAGGCCGTTTCGCGCGACTTGTCCCGCGCGATCCAGCCGCAAACCCGCTGTCCACGTTCTGTGATTCCGTAGATCGCGTATTTGGATGGTTGAAAGGCAACGATCGATAAATCTGGCTGAGGATATCCCTTGTCTTCCAGAAGCATCATAATTAGGCCGTATTTGACAAATAGTTCAGCGATGAGAACGGTTTCCCGCCGCTCGATAGTCGTCGAACAATCCATCAACCAGTCAACCGCCGCCTTTCCAGTAAAAGTGTTCATAAAGATTTTCTCGTTGATCTTCCGTTCTTTGGCCATCTTCACTCCAACCAACCCATTCGAGTAGTCGCTCAACGAGTCCGAGTCAGAGGTTGAAATGCTATTCTTGACATTTGGACCGTCCTGACCAGCGAACCGCCGGAAAATGACCTCGATGGTCGCCCGATCGTGCGACAGCTTGTCCGTTTCCGTATCACGTTCCAGATTAACCAGTTGCATCGTATTGCGAGGCGATTCCAGCACATCTATCACATGGCGAGCGGTAATGCCGTTTCGCTGGCAGAATCTCTGCAGAATATTGATACCCTTCGGAGTGAGCTGGAACAAGGCGCCCTTCAGTGGAAAGATAGGGAGCGGTTTGCCATCGACCGGTTCGATGAAGCGAGCGTCAACGAAACGCTGGCACACCGAACGAGCCATCTCCTTCGCCATGGAAAACGTGGTGGTTGTGGTCGTCGTGACGATGCGGGATGGATCCTTGGGATCCGGCATACGGTTCGATTGGGAGAACTTGAGCGAACCAAGGTTGTTGATGGCTTCTTCGGAGGTGAAGGAATGATCATATTTTGTAAATCTCACGCGATGCGAATCCAACTTCAAGCTGACCATCAAGGTTGAGAACAAATCCATGAAATCCTACAAGAACACCCAAAATTGTCAACGACCATTACTATTGCCTTGGGGGAAAACTGCAACCGAGAAAAGGAGTGAGGGGGGGAAATTGCATTGTCTCTCGCCAGACCAAATTCTCGGGGCTCTCTATTTTTTCCCTACCTTTGTGAAAGGACGGTCATCTTCCGTCATTCGCAACAGCCTAGAGGACGTTTGGTGCATTTTGGACGGAGGTGCGGCGGAACCGACTTCCGATTGTAGCTCTGAAAGAGGTGGAATGCGATGGAGAGTCTGTCGCCGCCTGTCAATTGAACTTGAGTGATGATCTAGCACGGCCGGAGAAGACAAATTGGCAGGATAATCGATATACGCGGGGCTCGACTGCTCGCTGCTTGTGCTTCCGTCGGACAATGGCGGGGTCAAGGGCGTGAGACCTGCGATCTCGTGGATACTGATCTGAGACGGCTTGCGCGAATGCTTGGAGAGGCTCCCCGCCGAGGCGGACGTGCGGAGTGAAGAATTGGCCGTGCTTCCAATGGCTGAGAGATTGGCGAGAGCGTTGGAAGTCTTCTCGCGGGCTAACGCAGCAAAAGACCGGCGGTTGCGTCGCGAAATCGAGCCAATGACCGAGCCAGTGAAACTGGACGTCGTCGTGGTAGTGTTGGTGTTATTCCAGAGGGAAGTAGTGGTGCTGGGAGTGGTAGTAGCCGGAGGAGGAGGAGCAGCTGGAACCGAAAGAGGGGGGAAAGAAGAGGCGGAAGAAGAAGATGAAGGATGAACGGCGGCCGGGGTGGAAGAGACCGGAACAGGAGTAATAGAAGTATGGGGATGATGAAGAAGATGGTGATGATGAGAGGAGGGAGGAGATCCTTGGTCGAGGGGAGTGGAGGATATGGTTGGCATTGAATAGTGCGAACCAGATAAGTGGGAGTGGAAAGAAGAAGAAGAAGGGAGGGGGGTTGTTGGTTGTATGTATGTATGTATGTATGTTCGGTATGGAGTGTAAGATAACCGGGACAAAAAAATATATATATATATATATATGTATATGTATAACAGAAATATAAATTGAAATAGGGAAGGGAAAAAAAAAAAAAAAAAAGGGTTTGGAGGGAAACTAAAAGGGAAGAAGATTGGGTAGGCAAGTGGAGGAGGAGCAGATTGTGGGTGTCAAGTCAGTTGGTAGGTAATGGGTACTACTATGGTAACTACGACGGAGAATAGGTAATATGAGTAAGTAGATAGGTAGGAGTAATGGGAAGATGATCGAAGTCGCAATTATGGTTGAAGGGAAAAAGGGAAAAAGGAAAACCGCAGAAGAGAAGGTAATGATGAAATCAAATCAAGCGATTTTTGGTTTTAAGGGGGGAGAGAATACATACGTAGTAGAGAAACAAAAACCATACAGAGTATATATAAAATAAAAGAATAAAAAATAAAAAATAAAAAATGACCCTGATAAAAAAAATAAAAAGAAACGAAATAAAATAAAATAAAATAGAATAAATACCAAATAAAATACAAAAGAAATAAAAGATCGAGCGGGGCTAGTCTGGCTTGGTAATGACTTAGTCAATTTGCTCTAGAAGTCCTGTAACAAACTATGTTGCCATTGCTCTACCTAACAGACAGTGTACTCCGTATAAAGCCAGTGTAATTGACTGGAGTCTGGATTTGCAGGAGAGGGTGAGTGAACACTGTGTAGAAAGAGAACATTAAGAGTCAGATTCTTACTACAGCAGCATCAAACCGCATCAGACATACTACTAGATGGTTACATACGGTATCCTAGCTTCCAAGGTATACAGAGTACTTGCAAGGTGCAACTTGCAAGGGACAAACTGAAAACATCTCCAGGGGCGTGAAGAATTCGGCCTGTCATTCTCGACCCACTGTGCACGCGGACAGTTTCATGCGCCAGACAACGTGGGCCAAGGACAAAAGATGAATAGAGATAGCCTGATCATCCTCTGAAGGGTTAAGACGAAAAGCCGCCCTTCCCTTGCCTGCAGAGTCAGGCTGGGTTGAGTGGGCGTTCCTGTATGTAACGGTTCCAACGCGGTATTTCAATGTCTGTAAGAAACCGCCTGTCCGGTCAATTACATTTAGGTGGTCTTGGTTTGTACCTTATCTATGGAGGTATAGATGTCAATTATGAGTTGTAAGAACCCCGAGCCTTCTCTTCTACGATCTATCCACGATATAATCTCCCCTTTCCAACCTGGATTTCAGTGAGAAAAATTGTACATCTCTAGCGAGAGTGGCATGTCTATATTGTCTTCGCTCTTCAGTCCTCACCATACAAGCTCAATCATCTCGTTCCCTGTCTATCTTCAAGTGGGACCTGTTCTCAGTTCTCAGGTCAAGTCTCAGCTCTCAAGCTCAACACTGGCACTGCAAGTGTCGAATGATCAGCAAAGACCTACAGAGTACGGAGTAATATACCTGGGGAAACTGTCGGCCAGGCCATCCATCCCTCAACCCTTTTTTTTTTTTTTTTTTGCTTTTGTCGATGAGCAGAAGCAATGTGCTCGATGATTGACCTGAGGCTAGCTGGATGAATCTGCGAATGAAGCTCAACATCGAATTCGAATTTGGAATCACCATGTTTCTGCTCAAATGGTTTGAATGAATCACGTTGGGGCACTGCGAGGTGTGTCGTTCTCATGTTGAGTCTTGCGACATGCTGTGTGATCTATACAAACTACAAGTATCTATGTACAGTGTACTCTAGGTCTTGTATCCTTGCGGAGTAGATCTCCGAAACTTCCTGAGTTCAGACAACTTCAGAGGGACAACGCAGAAAAGGGCACAAGTCTCATTTTTGGTTGAACAAGGCGCTGGTAAAACAGCAGAAAAACGTGGGATTCATGGTGTGCCACGGGAGCTGACCAGCCAAGGCTGCTAGAACGATAGAACAGCGGCCAGATGCCGACCTTGGGATCTTGGGGCGGTCGGGTTGTTGCGAACTCACCTTCCACTTTAAGCATCCAGGAAATACAGGACCTCCACTCTAATCCAGTAGGGATCGCCGGTTATTGAGTCATAGGTTGGCAGGAAATCCCCCATCGAAGTCTCCAGCCAATAATATTATCGGAACAGCAGCAGCCCGACCAAAGGCTCTTGCCTATAGTGGTTTGGCGTGACTCCAAAGTTCATGGGGCTAAGCAGGAAACTGGGGTCCCTGAAGCCAATCATATCGTTAAATGCAGGCATGGGTCCGCCTCATCAACGACCTTACCGTAAGTACAGTACTCAATTCGGACCCTAGGTATGTTGGTCTGTTGCTGTATCTTATTATTTGTGCTGACTTGTGAGCTGCCTCAAAACATCATTTTTAGGCAGGATATCACTAACACCGGTATCTCTCAACAGGAGGATATATGTTTGTAGTTAAGTCATTATAAAACTTTAACATTTTCCTGGGCCACGTGGAATATTCTACTTCCTCTTTATCATCCTGCACTAAGCAAACCAAGCATTGGCCTGTTGCAGATCAAAAGGATGAGGTATCTTTACTCTTTGCCTCAGTCATGTACATCTCCTTGAAACAGAGTGATACTGTCTGTTAATGTTGTTTGTTAGCGATGGAATAGCTAGTTATCTAGCTCATAGCATGATAATAGATATTGTTCCAAGTGGACACATCCTTAGTTTCTGCACGGGAGAGTCCTTCCAGTAACCAGATACTATCTGGACATTCTGGATAGTAGACTGGGATGACAGATATGTTTCGCATATGGTGCAACCCCATATTCGGGGACACGTCGTCCCGAAATCATGCTCTTTGCAACCAAGAACAAGGCCACAATCATATAGATACTTAGTCAAGAAGAGAGATCGGTACGTCGGTTCCAACAACTTGCTCATAACCAGCTGTGTTGCGAATTACGAAACCCGATAGATAGATGATCAATGGACATCCAATCCACCGACTGTCCATCTTGATCATTCTTTAGCCTTTACAGCCGTTCCAGGTGGCTTCTTACCCCTCCCACCGTCTTCGTCGAATAGTGAGTAACGAATCCATCCAGGCGGTCCCACGTGGACACACGTGGGGGAAGCGCTGGCAGTCTAGCGGGCTCCCAGTTGCTCAGGCGGCTTGGCCGCTATTGACCTGCAGCTCAACCGTCACACCGCGTCTTATAACTCGCTGTCATTGCTCTCAAGGGACTGGGGGATCCAGGTTGTTGCCATCCATGATTGGTGTTTTAGCTCCGGGATCTGGCAATGTTGGCTATTTGGGCTTTTTCTTTTTCTTTTTTTTTTTTCTCACTCTATTTCTGCAGTAGTAGTAGGTACCTATCTATGACCTATGTAATAATCACAATGGTTGGGTTTGGGTCCTCCTTATGTCCTATCAGAAGCGCTTGAGCTCTTACTGTTGTCGGCTTTGCTTATGGGTGCTCTGTCAGTTCGACGTTCGTTCTCAGTTATTGATCCGTTGTTTACGAAGGCTCGGGATGCCTAATCCCAAGATAGGTAGGGTAATCCCGCCTAGTGGGAATGGGAATGTTTGGTTGTTTCTGGATTGATGGCCCGCAGCAATCATCATAATTATAGTACCTACCAGAGTACTCCATAGCGTGATTAGTGATTAATTCGCCAGGGTTTGATCCATATCTATCGACGGTGAGGTAATACCAAAACGGGCCCTCCGTTGTCAGATTCCGCAATATTTGCGTGTTGAAGCCCGAAGCCCGAACTTTCCCTATCGCCAGTTCTCGTTTTCCCATTTGGGGACTTCAAAGTCTAAAACAGCCACGCAAGCTGTCCCTCTTCAGAGTTCTGAATCTCATACCCTCAGAATAGAGTTGATGGCTACGCGAAACTGGTCATTGAAGGATTTTAGCTTCAGGTGCGGTTGGAGTATTGAGTATGGAACTGAGTACTCCATACTCAGTACTGCCGTCTGCCCCTTCTACTGACTACCTACTACTACTGAGTAGATACGAGATACTGACAAATAGGGCAGACTCGATGAGATTGTGATGGTCATCGCCATTGTACATTGTAAGTATCAGTATTACCATGAAGATCACCAGAGAATCAATAATACCTACATACAGTCCATGTAACACGATAACATGACTCTGGAGTTGTATCCATGTCGACACGACCACAGTGCGATGATTCAGTCGGTATCCACTTCTCCCTCCTGATCTATCAGATATGCAGCCATGGTAATAATAGAGCGGTGAGTCTGAAACTGAGACTTGCTCTGGACTCTGGAGTAGTTAGTTACTTGTGCCTTATATCACCACTTGATCCAGTCCTGAATCCTGATGCGTTGTTCTTCCTGGCAGATTGCCTGACTCGTCACAAACCAGGAAAGAATTGCGGTCAGATCGCAGAGATTCTGGAAGTTGAACTCTATTTCCATCAGCTTGTTTCAACGGGATCACGAGTTTTACCGCACAGATGTCAACCACATGGAAGAATTCCTAGACCACATCCTGAGAGCTTGGTTTCCGTCATCCGAACGCCCGGAAAATGGTGTGCTTCTTGGGATCCTGATGTCCTGAGTCTTGGTTTCTTGACCCATGTCCTTTCCAACATACCCTGACAGAATTCAAACAGAACGGCTGAACGGGAAGAAGATTCCAAGACAGACAGTCTTCTTGTTCTACCCATCACACAGCCACAGCACTGTCATCTCAATTGAGACAATTGAGCTGCTGGGTCTTTTAGTAGTATGAGACGAGCAGCATCAGTGGATACATCACGGCCTGCGCCAAGTTGCATAATCCATGCCAACCTGACAAAAGTGAAGATCCCTGGTTGCCACGCGAGAAGAATGTGGGTGACACAGACAGGGATAAGCCTCCTGGCTCTGAGATTGACAAGGCTAAGGGTCTGAGGCAAATCTAGAGTCCTGGAGTATCAGTTCCCTAATCTCTCCA